TTTCAAAATTTCCCCTTCCCCCCCCCCCCCCCCCCACTACTAAGTTTTATCTCATCGGTTCTTTTTAAGCCATCTTGCTTTTAAGATAGATGCCTAGTGAAACACCCCAACCGCCTATGGTGCCTGAAGTTAAAGTTCGTAAGCCATCTAATGAGTTGGATATACAGCAGCCGCAGCAGCTGCTGCAGCAGCAGCTGCTGTTGTTGTTGGCTACTACAGGCACCAACGATACTAAACGGCGAAGTTCAACTTCTGATAACCCTGATGAAGGTACAGAAGAAGCCGAAGACTTGTTAAACGAGATTACCAACAAACAATCTGCAAACTATAGATATGTTTCTTTCAGGCCATACAAGGACCCCAATGAAGAAACCAATGATGAACCAAAAAAATCAAAAAAATACATCAAACAAGTTTCCTTTGATGATATGAATATCCACGATGACGACGATTTCGATGACGATTATGACTACGATGATGATGTAGCTCGAGAATTGTACAGGATGAAAAATGGCACTAGAAGACAACCTGGGTCTTTTCTTTCAACATTTTATTCAAGAGGCAGGCAACTTTCACCGGGACCAGGAAGATTGTCACCTATAGCATCGCCTAGGGGCACATACGAGGAATCAGACAGATTGAACTTTCAAGATTTGAGACGACTTGAAATGGAAGGGTTGAAATACCCTACAACACCAATAACTATTCGCCGATGTTGCTCCATAACTCAACGACACAAATTATATGAAAGATTGTATAATGGTGACTTGTATCCTTTGATGCCTGTGCTTCCTCATCGAACTATACTTTTGTATATAAGTGCTCGTGTTCATACTTGGGTGGCGTTAGATTGGATTTTGAACAAGTTTCTTGAAAACGGAGATAAAGTGATTGTATGTGCAACTGTGGACTCTAGTATATTTGAACGACACAAGGGAAGAAGGTACCAATCAAGATCAAGATCAAGATCATCATTTAATGATCCCATGGATAGGTACAAGAGTAGAAGTCGACCCGAAAATATAATTACAATTGCAAAAAGTATAATGGACTATTGTATGAGAGTGATCAATCCAGAGATCATAGCCAAAGTAACAATTGAATTAGTGGCAGGTGGTACAAAAGATGTATTGAAGGATTTGTATAAACTATACGAACCGAACTTGGTGTGTACTGGAACAAAACCCAATAGTCACGTTGGAGCACCATTGAGGTCATGGACTTCATCTAAATTATCTGATAGATTAGTTAGGAATTTCCCATTACCAGTTATTCTTGTTCCTGCAATGAACATGTGCGATTTTGAATTTGCACTACAAAGTAGGGTTAATGGCGAATCATTACAAGAAACGATGAATTCTGTGGAAAGTATCAATGGTATTGATTGTAAAACCACTGGTATTGCTCAGAAGAATAATAATAATAATAATAATAATGCTGCTGCTGCTGCTGCTGCTAAAAAAGAAGGAAGCAATCAAGGAGAAGGACGAGATGAAGACGATGATGACGATGATGACGATGATGATAATAATGATGACAGTAGTATTGCATCAGGTGGATCACTGCAGAGTAGCAATGATTCAATCGCGTCATACAACTCATTCAACGAGATTTCAAGATTATACAAGGATTACCGATTTGATATTCAAACTAAAATGAAAGATTTAGAGCTGCACCAGCTTAATGCTGATTATTATGCTAACATAGCTAGAGCAATTTCAGATAATTCTCTTGATTTATGTTCGGAGATCTTACAAATACAACCAAATTTTATTGGCAAAGGAAGTAAACTAGCACGAGCCATAACAGGATCTAACTCATTTGGATATAGTCCATACAAGACCAAGTCATTATTGGTACCTATGGAGAAACCGGAAAAGATAGAAAGAGAAGTACCTAAAGAGCACCAAATGTCATTCAAAGAAGTGAGAGAACAATTGAAAATGAACAAGATAAAATCACAAGCGGCAAGTTCTCCTCCTCCTCCTCATTCTCCTTCTGTTGCACAACATAATCCATCATTATCATCGACGACAACAACAACAACATCATCATCTCATAACAATAACTCTGGTCCTGCTTCCGATAACGTATCACCGCCTCCTCCCTCTTCGCAAAGCTTGAAATGGGGCGGGTTGGAAAAACCGTCAAAAAACAGACACGGAGTATCGAGTCAACTTTATCGAAACAGATTGACCAAATGTTTAAGTGACGATGATAATAACGGAAGCAGAATTAACCTTGAGAAGAATCACTTGAAGCCTAGGAGTAGTCATCCTAACGGATCATCAATCCCAAGTCCACATGACACCGATGGGAAAAAGAAATGGAAGAAACTCAAGAACTGGTTCAAGGGTTGAAACATCTTTATCTCGTCTCATCTCATCCCATCTCATCTCATCCCATCCCATCCCATCCCATTTCATCTCATCTCATCCCTCTATAACCTATATAGATATTGTTTATAAGTGAAAAAATAAATATTTGAAAAAAAAAAAAAAAAAAAAAAAAAAGATGCTATTTATAGAACAGGGGTTATTCTTTTTCAAAGCTCCATGGGGACCTGATGCCATTGCTAGAGCTATTACTCCTATTTATCGGTGTAATAATTGCTCAGGATGTTCTATCTAATTTGCAATTTGACCATGTTGCGCCATTTCAGTATGGTAGTAAGCAACAACTCTCCAATGATACGTATCCCTTAACTCCCAAAGTAAAACACTATGACATGAAGCGATCCACTTCCTCCGAAGGGTTACAAGAGTTTACACCAATAAGAGATACGATTTTGCAATCAGAGGTGAAATACTATTCATTCAGTGTTAACACGTCAACGGGGTTAGGTGAATATTATGAGCTATTAATTTTTCTCACTGGTAATATCTGTTCCCAGCCGAGTAATATACTCAGTAATGAAACTAGTCTTGCTGTGTATTATTCCTTCAATTCAACAATGTTTGCAAATAATGAGGTTGGAAAGATGGAATTGTTTGAAAATGGATATTTTCAAGCTCTTGCTGATTTGCCTATTCCTGCCACTTCCACCACCACCACCACTTCCGCCTCTTCCACCACTTCCGCCTCTTCGGTGGATGAGGAAATCTTGTACATTGCAGTGAGAGCACCGCAGAATATTAACATTACTGCCTCATGGACTTATCAAATTGGAGTATCGCAAAACGATTTAGTCTTTCAGTGGGATGATCGGTCTTTTGGGTCCGTTGTTGATACAGACGATAATCTGGCACTCATAGTCACTGGCAACTTAACTACGTACACCAAAGATTGGGATTCGCTAAACGTATCAAATGCAAAATATTTCTTATACTTGTATCCTTATGAAATGAAGGATTATTTTGCCAAGATGAATAATAGCTGGTGTGCAGTAAGGAATGGGCCAGCGTTGATGGGACCCTGGAATATAGAAAATTCATATACTACAAGAAACGGAGGTATTCAGCAACAGTTTATGATTGAAAACTTGAACCAACTGACGAGGTACATTGCTTATATACTAGCGGATTTTAGCGGTAAGGATTTCGGTGGGGCATTGTATCGTCCTTTTGAATTTGAAACTATGAGCGACTCTGCATGCGAATTGATTTACGACTTGGAGTTTTGCAATAGAGTTGCTTATAGTGTTCCCGCAATAGGAAACGAAACTTTTGCTGGTGACAAAAATGCAACAAAGATGGTATACGACAATAATGTTAAACAATTGTACCAGAATTTCTCAAAAGCTTTGCAACAGATCCCATGTGATACATCACCGGATGCAGTTTTTTCGAATTTGAAAAATTGTCAAGATTGTGCAGAAAGTTACAAGGATTGGTTATGTGCTGTGTCGATTCCTAGATGCAATACAAAAAATTCATCGGCGGGGTATATTTTGAGAAACCTGACAAATCAAAGGAACGATTTTATGCAAAATGTGATTCGACCAACTCAGGACTACTATGAAGTACTACCCTGCGTTAACGTGTGCCAGGCAATAGTAAGAGATTGTCCTGCTGATTTCGGGTTTATGTGTCCTACAAAAAATGAGAGTATTTCCTTGAGCTACTATTGGGACTTGAACAGCAGCAGCAGCAGCCAATGGCCAACCTGTAACTACGTGGGTAAAATGGCGCTACATACAAGTAAAGCGGTAGAAGTGCTAGCAAATTGGGCATTATTGGCAGTCGTAGTCTTGATTCAATTGGTATAGATTTTTTAATTTTTTAATTTTTGATTTTTTTTTTTTTTTCACTCTAGCTAGACGCGTTGAAGAAAGAAAGCTCATACATTGAAAGCGTTTCTTCTCTTGGAAAACTCATACATAGAAAGGATCTCTTCTCTTGGTCAAAAACAAGCAAATGTCTAATAAGAATATTGAAAACTTACCATGGTATGTGACTTAGAGTAGATGAGGGCCTATTAACCAAGAACCGCTATTAACTCTTTCTTTAGGGTCGAGAAATACCGTCCTGAAAATCTTGAAGAGGTTCATGGTCAAGATGATATAGTCAACACGGTGAGGAGATTTGTCGAAACAGGCAAGTTACCGCATTTGCTATTTTACGGGCCACCAGGTACAGGTAAAACCTCCACTATAGTAGCGTTGGCCAAAGAGATATATGGGCCCAATTTCAGAAACATGGTATTGGAATTAAATGCATCAGATGACCGAGGCATCGATGTAGTGAGGAACCAGATTAAAAGCTTTGCAAGCACGAGACAGATTTTCACTCTGGCGTCATCGCCACAGTTTAAGCTAATTATTCTCGATGAGGCTGATGCAATGACTAGCGCTGCTCAAAACTCCTTACGGAGAATAATTGAAAAGTATACAAAGAATTGTCGATTTTGTATCTTGGCCAATTATTCTCACAAGTTGAACCCAGCATTGATTTCAAGGTGTACTAGATTTAGATTCCATCCAATTGATGAAGAATCAATTAGGAGCAGGATCAATAATGTTATAGTTCGGGAAAAAGTCGATATTGCTCCCGATGCATTAAATGCACTATTACATCTTTCGCAAGGTGATATGAGAAGAAGTTTGAATGTTTTACAAGCTTGTAAAGCAGCTACAGGCAATAGAGACGAGGTGATAGATATTGATATGATCTATAATTGCATTGGAGCGCCTCATCCGCAAGATATAGAAGCTTGTCTAAATTCAATATTGAAAGATGATTGGACAACGGCTTATTTAACATTGAACAAGTATAAAACATTGAATGGATTAGCTTTGGTTGATTTAATTACTGGGTTTATTGAAATTTTGCAGAATTATGAGTTGAATCCAAAGAATAGGATACATTATTTAAAAGGATTGAGCGATGTAGAATATGGAATTTCGAAAGGTGGTAATGATAAGATACAAAGTAGTGCAATTATAGGGATTATTAAGCAAGCCATGGAATACGAAGCAGGAGGAGTAGGAGGAATAGCAAGTAAATAATATTGAGTAGGTACAATTCAACCCTTATCTTGTATCTTGTTATGCTGGTAACCAACATAACAAAAAAGTAGAAATAAAAAAAATATACTTTTTGTCCACTAGTTTCCTACTACTAATATATCGTATTGACAAACAGGGTGCACTTCTTACTCAATGGCAACCAAACCCGTGTGTTTGACCCTTCTTTGCATGTAGACAGTTAGACCTGTGTGTACTCATCTTAAATAGTTATACCTTAAACGATTATTATTTTGAAAAGCCGTACCGCTCTTGGCGTAATGGTAACGCGTCTGACTACGGATCAGAAGACTGCAGGTTCGAGTCCTGTAGGGCGGGCATAATTTTTTTTTTCCTTCCACTATTCTACCACTTTTATCCTTTCGCTGTACTTGTAAAGCAGAATTCTAGAATACTGAAACTGGTATAGAGTACATATTGTCATTTAGATATGAGATAGAGGACATACGAGGTGTGAAAATACTGTGTTGAAATTTTTTTTCGCTAGTTGGAGGTTATTTAATTTTTTTAACCAAAATTTTGCATTCATTTGAGAGAAAGTTGTATTTGAGAGAAAGTTGTATTTGAGAGGAAAGTTACATTTTCAAGTGAGTTGGACTAGTTCACTTTTTTGATTATTGTATTGGGAATTGTATTTACTGTTGCATAACTCTGACCAACATAGAATAAGGTTTATAGCTAACAAACACACAGATTCTTAATGCAAAATACTAGTTGCTCATAAATTTTTTTTTCTATAACCCATGCAAAGGTCATAAAGATTATGACACTAGAGACTGCGCGGATAGCACATCTTTCCTATTCCTCAAGCCATATGTCTTTCTCTTCTCTACTTCTTTTTTTTTTATCCTTTTCTTCCACGTATTTCATAATTGATCTGCAAAATATATACAATACAAGTAAAAGGTTTAGCCTTTCAAACCTCGTAAGAGAGACTAAAACAACAGCCCCGCGTAAAATTTTTTTTTTTGTTTCCTTGTTTCCTTGTTTCTTTGTTTTTTTGTTTTTCAGATTTTAATTTGAAAAAGTCCTTTCTTCACCAACCGACGGAAGAACATGGTATTTTTTTCTTCTTTGTTTTCATAATCTTCAATATATTTGAGCTTTTTTCTTTTTTGGTAAAGTGTTGTATACTTGCATTTGTAGATGTTTGTGTTTTTATTTTTATTTCATCGTTTAGCGTGTGTCTTTCACCAGCGGCAAAATAAAATTGTGCTTAACAATTGAAAGGATCTAATAGGGCATTTTTTGCAAGGTGACGAGGCATGCTGCGCAGGGGAGTATCCCAGATTCTAGCACAAAACTAATAGAGCCAATCTAAAAACAGCAGTAGCTACGATACCCTTCCAATTCAACGAAATTGAGTACAAAAAAAAAGAAATCTATAATGTATGTCTTACATTAGTTTCGGATAACGATCTTAAAATGTCTTTCTTTTTTCTTTCTTTTTTCTTATTTGTTGGGATTTCTTCTAGCAAGGATTGTTATTGTTCACTGTACTTCTTGAGCAAACCGCCGGGTCCCTTTGTGAATAACAAGATTTGCAAATTAAGATGTGTTTTTTTTTCTTCTTCATCGACGTAGCTTTGTTTCCAACTTTGTTTCCAACTTTGTTGCCTCTTTTTCCATTTAGAGTGAATTCCAGATAAATTTTTTATTACATTTATTCTTACTTTTCGCTAGTTATTCATATAAAAATCTCTTATTTTTTTACACAATCCAGTCCAATTTAAACCGACTTAGACCAACTCAAACCAATTTAAACCGACTTAGACCAACTCAAACCAACTTAAACCAACTCTAAATTCAATATTTTCTCAATAACTTGCAAGTGTAATTGGGCTTGCCAGTTCCCTTTCATGAAAACCTTTTTTTATTTTTTTAATTTTTAATTTTTAATTTTTAATTTTTAGTTTTAGTTTTTTTTTATTCTGCGAGGGTTTTTTTTGCAGCTAAAAGCGCAGGAAGGTGGCTCTAAAACTATTGTTTTGGTAATTTCTTACCGATATCTTGTCTCTTGCCTTTGTGATTGTATTTTTTTAGTAACGGGAAGATTACATCTATTGGCGGTTGTTGGATTTATATATGGGTTCATTGATGCAAAATCTTGGCTATTGTATACTTTTGAGTTATTCAATGAATCTGTGTAAGTATTCATCAATTGGTGCGCGCCTTACAGGGATGTAAATGGTTGAATTGGGTAAACAATCTACTCTGAAAAGCACTAGGGATTGAGATACGGCGATGATAACTGAAATGATGAAGGCGCTAAGAGAGAGAAAGAGTCTCTTTTTCTCATTACAGATACATGCGATATGTAAAGTCTGTCAAACTTGCGTGAAACCAATTCTGCCATGAACCAATAGTGTTATAGTCCAACAGCCCCTTGGATAAGAAAGAAGATTACAAGTATATACTGTATCAAAGATTACAAGTATATACAATCCCTCTTTTTTTATTTTTATTTTTTTTAGGTTATCCATAGGATAAAGCGAAGCGAGATGGTGGAGCAGCACTGACTATCAACCTTGAGAATGTTACAAAGCGTTTTTACATTTTAACAATTGAATTAATCCCATTTGCCGCCATAGGTAATAATTATGTTGTTACTAAACAAGTTCGCTAAGATGGCCATAAATGATTAGCAAAAAAAAATTCGGTATAAAGGAGCAAAAAAGTGATAAACATATTAACACAGCAACCATATCTTTTGTATTCAATTAACTTGGTTTTATCGAGATAGTTAGATATTCAAGGTTCCACTTGGGGAAGAGGGTAGTAATGAAAAAAGCTAATCTTCTTTTGGAGGGAATTAAGTCAAGATAGTTCAAGGATCAACTCAAGCATATTTTACAAGTTGGCGCCAGTTATTGTGTAGCAGCAGCAAAGGATCAGCGAGGAAAGACACCAGATACAGGATTTCAAAGGACGATTGCTAAATTGCCAGTCTAAAGAAGAGGGTTAACAATGTCAAATTTGGAGAGAGGCATCAGGGAATCACTAGGATTAGAGCGCAATGCTAGGTGAGATAAATACCCGTGGCAATTCCATTTTTACTGAATTACTCCTTTCATTTTCTTTTGAAAATTGCTTTACAGCATAGTAGTCATATCTGGTTGGTATAGACGTGAGAGAAAATTGCTTTTCTTTGTATACCCCCCCTTCTTTCCAAGTAGATCTGCAATATCATTAGCCAAAGAGCAGTTCTGGGTGGTTATGAAACTGGCTACAACAATAAAAAAAAAGAAAGAAGATATAAGAGAAAAAGTAGGCTTTATCTTGGAGGCACAATAAGACGAGCGAAGCGAGTCTAATCGATAGAAATAGTAAGTAGATAAGAGCGAAGTGAGTCTAGTCGATAGAAATAATAAGTAGATAGGGGTTGAACCGTACCAGAGAGCAAACATTCTTGAAACCCCTTATGCGTAAGGTTGAATGTGGTGAACGGCGGCGGTATAAAAGATTAGGACATAGTATCGCTAGTGTCGGTAGCAGTCAGTGCTCCACTATCTCGCTTTGCTCAATAGTGTCATACATACATATATATATATATGTTTTCGGTATTCTACATCTGCGAGACAGGATCTTATATCTTATCTCTTGTTAGGGGGGTTATCACAATTAAAACTATGCACTTTTCTGTCAGACTTTATGTTATTTAAAAAATGAAATAATAAAAAAAGAAAAAGAAAGGAAGCAAATGAAAAATTTCTGCTTCATTCTAGTTTTATCACGTTATTGCTATTGCAGTTGGTAACCACCTTCCTACCTTATTAATTGCATCAGTAGTATTTGACGATGATGCTTTCTTATAATAATTCGCCCCTATCTATGTATGTACCTCTTTTGATACGAGATTAGCTAAATCAAAAGTGAAGAGAAATAAGGAGTTTCCACAAGTCAAGATGCGCGGGGTATAAATTGAGGAGGTATAAATTGAGGAGGTATAAATTGAGGAGGTATAAATTGAGGAGGTATAAATTGAGGAGGTATAAATTGAGGAGGTATAAATTGAGGAGGTATAAATTGAGGAGGTATGTTTGGGATTGTGCAGAGGAGGCATGTTTGGGATTGTGCAGAGGAGGCATGTTTGGGATTGTGCAGAGGTATATTTCTATATATTGCAGAGGTATGTTTCTGTGTATGTGTGCAAATAAAGGTTCTTCTTGAGACGTTGCATTTATCGTAATAAAGTTAGATCCCGCTGTAGCATCTGTGTGTGGGAGAATAAGATTTATCTATTGATTAGTAAAATCTTTATTTGCTTTGAGTTATTGGTGTGTTTGTAGAAAAAAAAACACACACACAGGTTTTTCACTGCATTGAAATAAAATGCATTGTAGATCGGGACTTGTGTTGGACTAAATGGCAACTTTAAGACACCAAAAAAAAACAAACAACCCGTTGAAGTCAAACACCAGCAACTCTTTCTAATTAGAGATGATAGATCTTACAAAGACTAATTGGTACAATTGTGCAAGCTAAGAACCAGTTGCAGAAAAAGAAAACTTACTAGATTGGCTACCTCCTGGCTCTAACACACGGGTTTGAAAAGTTTTAATAAAAATAACAAATTGTTATTATTACTTTTAGGAATGCTACTATTTGTTATCATATAGTACATTGTCGATTTCTTCTCAAAGGAGGTAGCGTAAATCGTATAAAAAAAATAAATAAATAAATAAAAAAAAAAAAAAAAAGAAAAAGAAAAAGAAAAAGAAAAAGAAAAAGAAAATACATTCCATCCATCTCTTATGTATTGTCCATTCTGTCTATCTTAGACATGAAACTAAGATAACTTAAACTAAACCAAGTATTAAAAATAAAACAAAGTGAATGCATTAGTGATTATGACAAACGAAACGAGTCAACCCAAACACAAAGCAACCAAAGTAAGCATGTTAAGTAAAGTAAGCCCAAAAGAAAAAAAGTAAAGTAAGCTCAAAAAAGTAAAGTAAGCTCAAAAAAAGTAAAGTAAGCTCAAAAAAGGTAAAGCTCAAAGAAAAAGTTATGTTAAGTAAATTGAAAGGTTGACGGAGATTTGCATATTTTCTAACTTTATACATCTATCATTTACGGGTTTTCTTGCACCCCCCCTCCCCCCCTTCTTTCTTGCACCACCATCTTCCTTATCTTGCATTCACCATTTTGCTTTCTCCATCCTTCATACTCTGCTTACTTTCTCGTTCATACTCTGTCTTACTTTTCTCATTGATACTCTGCTTACTTTTCTCATTGATACTCTGCTTTACTTTCTCGTTCCTCTATTACTCAAGATTTCTGTGCTTCCTCGCCCTTTCTCCACCAACTCGGCTTTTATCCTAGGTCTTTGCCATTGTCATGTTTCCATTAGCACCCCTCCAATTGTTTTTTCCCTTTGTTTTTATATCCCGCACATTTGTGTAACTTTGTGGGTTTCTTTGTATAACGAAAAATTTTTCATTTTTCAATTTAAATTTTTTTTAATTTTTTTTTTTTTTTTAATTTTTTTTTTTTTTTCATGCGAGTAACAGTAATTTAGTATAGAGAGTTTAAGGTAGTAAGTGAACCTAGTAAATAATACCAGTAATAAGGTGAGCATATCATCATTCAAAGGGTGTATTTTTTTTGTTTTCTTTAAGCATAGTTTGGCAATTTTTTGGCAATTTTTTGGCAATTTTTTTTTTTTCCAAATTTTTCAAAATTTTTTTTCAATATTTATATCCTGTTACATATCCCACATTTCAACACACTGTAATTTAAGTAGCATTCTCAAGAGGGGATTTTTGAACTTTTGCTAATAATAGGGAGTAATTGATTTTTTGAGATATATATATATATATATATACGTAATTAGTACACCTAGTAATAGAGAGCTAGTATAAAACAAGTCATATTATTTTCCTCAACTACCCTCCGAAAGCAAACTTGAATCTTTTTTTTTTTTAGTAAATTACATCATTATATATATATCACAATAGTCAAATGCCTTCGATTTGTAAGTCTCCTAGTTTGAGTAAACCCTTTGATAAGTCTACAACTAACGAGCCTAAACAACAGCAACAGCAGCAGCAGCAGCAGCAACAGCAGCACGAATCACTCAATAGCAATAACAGTAACTTTATAAATAAAAGGAATTGTAACGAGCTCGATACAGAAAAAGAGAATAGTGCAAAGAAAAGGAAGAAATGGGACACCAAACATGAGTCACTAGACTCGATTTCCAAATTACTTTTCCTAACTACAAATAAAACTAATCATGATTTTTTACTGGATTTAGAATCAGAAGTTGAAGAAGAGTCACGAAGGAGGAGTTTACAAAGTATAAGTCAATTGAAGGATAATTGCATTGATAATATACCAGCTCCCTACTCTTGCCAATTTGATGGAGCAGGAAAAGACGAAGAAGAAGAAGACGAAGAAGAAGAAGAAGAAGAAGAAGAAGAAGAAGAAGAAGAAGAAGAAGAAGAAGAGGATGAGGAAGAAGAGCCGATAGAAATTGAATCAGTGGATTTTACCAAGATATTACATGATAATATTAGAGAGTATTATAGAAAGAAAGGTCAGAATCAGTACAAGGACTCATTTGCATTATTAAACAACAACAACAACAACAACAGTACCAATCATCCGGATGATTATACAAAGGAACAACAATCAAATCTACAGTCGCAATCACATTCTCTGGCTGTACCTTTTTTCAAAAATGTGAATTTTGAGAGATCTAAAGATTATTCAATTGAGGATTTTGTAAATTATGACGAAGAGGAAGAGGAAGAAGAAGAACAGGTGGAAGTGGAAGTGGAAGAAAAGGTAAATGAATCCCAAGAATCAACTACTGTTGTTGTTGCTACAGAAAATTGTAAAGAAATGGACGATGAAGATCCTCATTCAAACTCGGTTTCGCCAGTTTCATCACCCAACACTCTTAAACCATCTTCAACTTCAGCTTCATTGTATGTACCAAACAACAACAGCAGCAGCAACCTAATAAAACCACACTACTCTCCATTTTACCGTTATCAGCAATTACACCAGCAACATTTGCGACAACAGCAGCAGCAGTTTAATTATTATCCAAGAAGTCAACTTGATTGTGGTGTGCATCAGTTGCAAGATGATTATTATTTATCCAAAGCTTTAAAAACACATTGTTTATATACCGGGAAAGCTAGGGAAATGGTATCTACCGGTAATTTCATGATAAACGATTTCTTCTTGTAATGGAGAGCCACATATGACTCACGATGGTTAGATTACTACTATTAACTCCACTATCGAGCGAAGCGAGATAGTGGTGTAACAAGCTACTAAGTGTTTTAACCCAACACTATTGAGCAACACTACAAGGGAAGCGACACACGGGTTTGATAGTGTCGCTAGTGGAGCAACACTACAAGGGAAGCGACACACGGGTTTGATAGTGTCGCTAGTGGAGCAACACTACAAGGGAAGCGACACACGGGTTTGATAGTGTCGCTAGTGGAGCAACACTACAAGGGAAGCGACACACGGGTTTGATAGTGTCGCTAGTGGAGCAACACTACAAGCGAAGCGACACACGGGTTTGATAGTGTCACTGTGGCTAAAAACAACCGACCAAAAAACCTCGAAAGTCGTACAAAAGCGAAAAATAAAAATTTTTCACTTTTATCAGTGTACACAAAGAAAGGAAAAATTTCACCAATTAGAAAAACCTACTTGTAGTTACTGGTGGTGTGCTGGTGGTATACAGGTTAGTAGTTGATTGTTTCGGGTCTAGGATTTATATTCATTACTCGTTACAACCTGTGATTACGAATTAGATAAACTTGCTGTAGTTTTCTTCTTGTCCTTTTTCAGTTCAAGCTACTTTTGTTATATATGTTTTATATACAGATATTTGTATCTAATAGAAAAAATAAAAAAATAAAAAAACTACAATCGAGCGACACTATCGAGCGACACTATCGAGCGACACTAGCGAGCGAAGCGAGATAGTGGAGCAGCACTGACTACACCGACACTAGCGAGCGAAGCGAGATAGTGGAGCAGCATTGACTACACCGACACTATCGAGCAGCACTTTGTAGCTTGTTACGACACTATCGAGCAGCACTTTTTAGCTTGTTACAACGGGTTTGATTGCAAAAAAAAGAAATTATACAGTAGACCAAAACTATCTCGCTCTGCTCGATAGTGGAGCACTTACTAGCTCATTTCAACACAACCTTGCTTATTACAACACTAACTAGGTCTGCTCGGTAGTAGAGCACACAAACTAGCTTATTACAATACTATCTCGCTCTGCTCGATAGTGGAGCACACAAACTAGCTTATTACAACACCATCTCGCTCTGCTCGATAGTGGAGCACACTTATTCCAACACTATCTCGCTCTGCTCGATAGTATTGGAATGTTTCAAAAAGCAGCAAGGAAAAGTAAAAAAAGGTATTTTTCGGGGTTGTCGGCGGCGCCAATATATGAAAAATGCAAAATGCCTTTACATTTCAAAAAAGTGTCTCCCCACTTTCTTTCCTACACAATAACTAGCTTATTACAACATTATCCCGCTCTGCTCGATAGTGATTCTCTGGAATGTTAGAGTTTGCCTACAACTTTATTTATAGAAACAGTAAATTTGTTAATTTTGTAACTAGCTTATTACAACACTATCGAGCAGAGCGAGATAGTGGATCACACTAACTAGCTCTGCTCGATAGTGGAGCAAACTAACTAGCTCACTTCAACACTAACTAGCTTATTACAACACCATCTCGCTCTGCTCGATGGAGCACACTAACTAGCTTATTACAACACCATCTCGCTCTGCTCGATGGAGCACACTAACTAGCTTATTACAACACCATCTCGCTCTGCTCGATGGAGCACACTAACTAGCTCATTACAACACCATCTCGCTCTGCTCGATGGAGCACACTAACTAGCTTATTACAACACCATCTCGCTCTGCTCGATGGAGCACACTAACTAGCTCATTACAACACCATCTCGCTCTGCTCGATGGAGCACACTAACTAGCTCATTACAACACCATCTCGCTCTGCTCGATGGAGCACACTATCTCGCTTTGCTCGATAGTGATTTCTTTTTCTTTCTTCATCAAAGTTAAATGGAATGTTTCAAGTCCAATTTTGACTTTGAAGAGCAAAAAAAGAAACCTGTATGTGTATGTGTTGGTATTTCAAAGTAAGATATAACTGGTACTCAAACCCGTTTGTTGCGAATCCTTTGTAGTAGAGACTGGTTCAGTCAACTTCTTTAATTAGTCTTGTCACCTCTACTTGTCTCGAAAATAATACACATTTTCCTTATAACTTGACCATTATTTTACAGCTGCCTATACTAGCGAGCGAAGCGAGCTAGTGGAGCAGCACTGACACTATCGAGCGAAGCGAGATAGTGGAGCAGCACTGACTACACAGACACTGACTACACCGACACTATCGAGCAAAGCGAGATAGTGGAGCAGCATTGACCACACCAACCACACCGACACTGACTACGCCGACACCAACCACACCGACACTAACTCGCTTCGCTCGCTAGTGGAGCAGCATTGACTGATATTTTCTTGCAACAAGCTCGTGTGTATTCATTCTCGAATGCACTCCTTCTCAGTACTACAAAAGGGCAGCTAGTATGCTCCACTATCGAGCGAAGCGAGATAATGTTTAGAGCTAGTATGGTCAATAGTGTTTAGAGCTAGTATGCTCGATAATGTTTAGACCTAGTATGCTTCACTATCTCGCTTCGCTCTATAGTGTTAAGAGCTAGTATGCTCTACTATCTCGCTTCGCTCGATAGAGCTAGTAAGCTCTACTATCTCGCTTCGCTCGATAGTGTCGCTTCGCTCAAAACATATTGTCCTGTCACTTGAAAACAAGATGATAAATTATCTTGATTCTTGCAACCCTTTTTTCTCCTTTTTCTTTTACAACACCTTTTTAAACACAACAGCTTTTCAAAGTTAGTTGGTTTGTGGTTACAACTAGTTGTTGATAATCCTTTTTTTTTTTCGATAAAAAGGGTATGGGATTAATTCTGTTTTTCCTAACGTATTTATGTGGACTTGTTAGTTTCCCCTTGATAATCATCTTGATATTTCACTATCTTTTGCCATCTGAAAAAGATCACCAAGACAATGACTACAATATAGAGGATGACGGAGTGATTTTGAAAGCAGGCGAGATTGAAGAAAAACACCAATCGGGGTTGGAAAGTTTTAAACTTGGGTGGATCGTTGTAACAAATGATTACATTGAAAGCACAGATGAAATCAATAAAAACACCACATCAATTACCGAGTCTCCTGAGACCAAATCAGCTTATGCTTCGTTATTTAAGTTGGTGAATAAGCAGCAGCAGCAGCAGCAGCAACAGCTGCTGCTGAATAGTCAACAGCAGCAACAACCATTGGATTTAACCGACCCCCTGCATAATGAATTTGGAGGAGACGATACTACTTGTGAAGTGACTTCCATTGCATCCTCGTTGCGAAATACACAACTGTCGCCACCATTGAATCCCCAACAACCGCCATCTCAACCACAACCACCAGCTCAACATCCACAGCAAGTCACGAGGAATTCCTTGAAAAAGCATAGGTTTTTTGCCGTTTTAAAGCATGGAAATTTATTTCTATATAAAGATCAACTGTTGAAAGATGTCAAACATGTTATTGTATTGAACAATTACTTTGTCACAATATGGCCAAGAGAGTTATCCGATGCTCAATTGTTTACCAAGTACACTGCTATTGCTCTCATCAACCCTACAAAGTTTGCCACAAGTGTGAGTAAATCGAGTAATAACAATAATGGTTCTTCCCCTCCTGGAAGTTTCTTCATATACTGTGACACCACTTCGGATAAAGAAGATTGGTATTTTGCATTAATACGAAGTACAAAACTTGATAGCTATATTTCAACATCAGCATCAGCTACCACGACCACCACCACCACTGCCATGCCCCATTCCTCCTCATCAGCAACAGCAACCATATCCTCTTCTTCGTTCCCATCCTCGTCCTCCTCCTCATCATCAACAACAGTTCCATGCAACCTCAGTGCAACAAAGTACGCACAAACATTACATTTTTCAACCAAGGATATGATCAACTTGATCCAAGCATTGTACAGCTCAGAGGGACACTTACAAACCAAGTGGATGAACGCATTAATTGGAAGATGGTTTTTAGCCATTAAGGATACAAAGTATTTTGAAAATTATATCTATACTAAACTAAAAAAGAAATTGAACAAAATTAAAAAACCTGGATTCTTTGATACTTTTCAAATTACGGAGATCCACCCTGGTAATTCAGCACCATTTTTCACTTACCCCAATCTTAAAGAAATCAATCCTGATGGTACTTTAGTTGTCTCGTCAAATATCTCATATACGGGAGGTATATCAGTAGCAATCAAGACAAAATTAGATTTGACGTTTGGAACTAAATTTACTACAAAGGAAGTTGATTTATTGTTGAAGATTTCACTCATGAATCTAGAAGGTCCTTTGTTAATCAAGTTGAAACCTCCGCCAAGTAACAGATTCTGGTATTGTTATGAAATTGAACCAATAATGAATATCAAAGTTGAACCTATTTTGAGTAATAAATCTTTGAATTATTCCTTCATCACTAGCTCAATTGAAAAGAAATTTAAGGAAGCAATCAAGGAAAGTTTGGTATTGCCACATTGGGATGATATTGTATTCTATGATACTCTGAAGGAGTTATATCGTGGTGGTATATGGAAACCTAACAAAGATACTAATTGTAATGGAGATAAGACCACGACCGTACTGGATGGCAGAGACAAATCCAATGTTTATGACGACGATGACGACGATAACGACGATGCATCTTCCAGTATGTTGAGAGAGGATGATAATATTGAGTTGAAATCGCGGTCGTCAAATAGATCATTGAGGAGTTCAAAAATCGGAACTACATTCACTGATTTAACGAAGAAAATGAAAGCAAAGAAAGGTTCTTCTTTGCATGATGAGGAGTTTTCAAATACCACTACAAGTACAGCAGCCAAATCTGTTAATGAACATGGGGTCATGTCCAATACTTTTAAGAAAATTGGCAAGTGGTATTTTAAAGATGACAATAAGCAGCAACAACAACAGCAACAGCAACAGCAAGAGCAACTACAGCAAAAGCAAGAGCCACAACAGCAAGAGCAAGAGCAAGAGCAACAACAGCAAGAGCAACAGCAACAGCAGCAACAGCAACAGCCATCACAAACTATATTCGAAGGGAAGCCGCCACTTCACCAACAGCAGCAACATCAACATCAACATCAACAACAGCAACCAAAACGTTCAGTTTCTAGCAATTCTTCATCTATGCCATCGTCCGAGATGTACCATCCACCAGAAATGATTTCAAACCGTCGACCACGGCGTAAAACATCGAATGCGAATTCGGTCATCAGTAGTATGTCCGGAAAAGTTAATTCAACCTTGCCTCAAACTACTACTAACTCGTTCGATGCAGTTAAAAGCGGAACAATATCGCCAGCCGAAATCACTTCTTCACCTTCATTTAATTTTGCAAGGTTTGATAACACATCGGATAATTTCTTAATACCGCCAGCACCAGCACCAGCACCAGAACCAGAAGTAGCACCGCCAATGCCACCGCGTCCTTCTTCATCAGTGACAAACTTGCTTGGTAATAGCACAGCGGGTTCACTAAGTGCCTCAGGACTATTCAATGCTATCAACAATTTACCAAGCTCTCCAACTTTGAAGGATAAGAGTAGCAACGGTAATGGTAATGGTAGTGGCAATGGCAGCGACACGGTCAGTCGAAGTGATAGTTTTCCTGCTCTCAATTTGAGCGAGACTACCTACGACGTTAAGAAACAAAGTTTGCTGGTGCCCACATCCGAGGCAGGGATGCTAACTGGCGAACCCACTGTTGGATTATCACAACCAAGTTCTCCCAAAAGATCAAAAACCTTGAGTAGAAAGCCTCCACCAAAGTCACCTTCTTTAAACACAACTGCCCTGGTATCCGTCGGTGTGAATGATAATGGAATACCAAAATAAAAGGGAAGATAGGTCATACAGAAATGAAAGGGAAGTCATCTACATGTAAATACAATTGAAACACATCTCCTATTGTGTATATATGTATATATATATGTATAGAAATTCCACCAACCTTTTTAAAACAATTCTTTTTTTTTTTTTTTTTTGCTTTCATACATATGCACTCCAACCTCCATACATCAGAGCCAACCGTTCAAGCGAGGTAGCTTCTTGTATGAGCACATCGACTTGTCCATGTATGTTCATGGCCAAACCTTCTTCTTCATTGATCAAACCCCTAATTTTTTTCCTTACCTTCAGTAAATCTCTCTGAGGATCTTTAGTCATTTTCCAATCCAATAATGGATCGTATAATAAATTTTCCAAGATGTTCATTAATGCATGTTCATTATTCCGTAACAATTGGCCAACTACTTCACACGTCTTTCGGAAACTTCCATCAACTCCACATATCCCCATTGCATCCACCATATTTGAAGTTAACCTAAATGGTACAACTTCAGGAGTCGGTAATGTTTTCCCTTTTTCGAATAAACAATCAAAATCAATATGGAGAATGGATCCTGTGTTTTTGAAGAATAAGATGTTCTCACAATGTCTATCACCTAAACCAATCAAGTATCCTACTATGGACATCACTGCTGATGATCTAGTAAACAAATTCCTTGCAATATACCATGAACTAGGATCAGAAAATTCATCTACAAACCATTGGTGTAATATAGGTGGATTTTTCTGTAATATACTTTGAAATATTTCCGTCAAAGCCTCTAGTTTCAGCCCATCTTCATCGGGTTTTTTCTCCTTTATAAATTTTTGCGCTGATTCGAGTACCATGAATATCCTTCGTTCGTTAACCACTTTACCTAGCCTCCTTCGTTCTTCTACTATTATACTTTTCATAGTTTGTACATCCATTACAAATTCGATTACTCCAATCTTTTCCGAAAGCGGTATAACTGAATAATTGGCAACACTTAGCCTTCTTTTCCTGGCTTCTGTACTTGTTGCCAAGATACGATTCACCATTGTTGTAAACTCAACAACTTTTGCGTCTTTTCTTGTATCGTCACTCTTGATCATCAATCGGTACGGTTTACCATCAGACCCTCGGATTGTGATCTGTCTGGGCATTTGTAACGAAAAAAAGATATTCACCTGATCATCAAAGCCATCAAATGTAACTGAAGCACTTTTGGGGAAACACACATGATTTGTCAGTTCCTTTTGAGGTAATCGGATTTGTAAATTTGATTGTACAGGTATGACCAACTCATCATACTGTCGACTAGCATCGGTGATGCCAAAGTATTTGGATAGTGACAATTTTTTGGTCTTGGAAGACTTGGGCACCGTCTTCGAAGCGATATCAATAAATTTCGAAAATAAGTCCAGAGCTCCCAATATCAACTTACCATGCGACGATTTTTTTGATTTCTTCACAACTTCCAAAATGGTTTCTACTCTTTGCTTACGTTTTTGATCAGTGGAATGAACATGAGAAAGCACATACCACAAACTGTGTTTGGGATAGTCCTTCACAATATTTGTGATTATCGTTGCCAAAATTTTGAACGAAGGTTCGTGATCATGTACTATTCTTGATAATATTTGAGTAATTGCAGTGTACCATGCATAAGTGGGTATATTTTTGAGACTAGTTTTAAGGTCTCCAATTATTTGAAGAAGCATTTTCTCTGCTGTTTTGGTCTTGCCGGGTTTTTTAGCAAAATCGAGCCAAACAGTAATTAATTTGGGTAATGCTTCAAAAATGTACAGGGTTCCAATTGAAATGGCCCTTAAAAAATTCCGAATTGTTAGGTGTTCATACAACCCTGAATTATCACATGACGAGTCTTTTAACTTGTTGTAGTATTTACCAATATCATAACAAGACTTTTCATACTCCATGTCCAACTCAAACGCTTTTGTATACTCGTTTATGATCTGATGTGCCGATACATGATTTGATTCGTCTAACCAATTGGCATACTGAAGTTGTACTTTTGCTTTAGTTTTTTCATCAATCAATTGGCCACTACTACTACCATTACTGCTGCTGCTGCTGCTGCTGCTGCTACTCAACGTCTCCGAAATAGACTTGATCGCTTCTGATTGTTTACCCTCAGTCCAAAGTAGTTTTGCATACTCAACATTTGCAAAAGGATTATTCAAAGCCATTGCTCGAACAATTGCCTTTGTAGACATGTCTAATCTGCCACTTTCTCGCGCCAACTTTGAGGCGTGTAATAACATCTCCGACACAGCATCATTAAGCCCAAGGATCTCATTGGCAACAATGTGCGTGTTCAAAATCTTCATTTGAGTATCAAAGTCTTGATCTACATTGGTCAACCTGATCTTCCAGATATCACTTGATCCTTGGGTTTGAAGAATCTCCTCAATATCATAAATAGTATGTAGTTTATTCATAAGCTGAACATTCTTACTAAAGCTCGATGAAACCGATGAAACAATGGATGTGCCCACTGAATTGTAAATTTTCTTTACTGATTCTTCAAATCCCTTTCTGTCTTTTGCTGATAAAAAGAGCAAACATTTTGCCAACTCATAGTTGACCAGACTTTCCGTGTCTAATGGTCTTCCTGTTGAATCTGTAACTTCCAACCAATTCTTTATCTTGTTCATATTTCCAGAGTAGACAGCCGACTGCAACCCTACTAGAGACCAGTCTAGTGGTATTTGATGCACTTCCCTATCCTCAGTCTTCTCTAACAAAGTAGTAAGCACCTCGTCGTAAACACCACGTCCACTCAAAGCCCTTAAAAACTTGGTATTATAGTCAACCCCAAATTTTTCATCATCAAAGCCCAAAGCCTTAAAAGACTCATACGCCAAGCTCGAGTTATCGCTGTATTCAAATGATGCTAGTTTGTCCCTCAAATTGTTTGAAGAAAAGATCTTCAAAACCCCGTTCAACGTGTCGTAATCATTGAGATTAGCATACATGTTTTGCAAAGTACGAGCTGCATCTAGATCCCCCAATTTGAAGGAGGTGCTACTACTGATCTCATTATCACGATAACACTTTTCAATATACATTATTGTACGCTCGTACGAATCGCATGCAACTGAATTGACCGCTATATGTCCTTTGTTGAAACTATTGATGAACCGCTCCACAATTGCTATTTTGCCAAGCCAAATATCCGAGTCTTTGGCATCCAGTGATACCTGGTAGCTCACGTGATGTCTAGTTGATGATAGCCATTCGTTGAGGTAGTCAAATACGGAGAAAATAGTCTGAAAACACAACCTTAGTTGCACCTTCTTATCTTCCGACGCAAAAATCAAGTTGCTTTGCATAATGCTTGAAAATTCAACCAAAACTTCTTTCTCAACTTCTTGATTTGGCGATAATATGTGGCTCAAAACAACATATTTAAGCAAATGTTGACATAAAGCTATATCTTGATCTTTATGTATCAAAATGGCACAAGTCTGAAATATCTTTTGTCGCGCATTGGGAATCTCATTCTTTTCATAATGACATCCTCTTTTCAACAAGTAAGAAGTCAATTCGGCTAGCCAAGTATCGTACCGCATCCCAGCGTCAAATAATGGGAACTTCAAAGTGCTTGGTTTTGGCTTCAGCGCCGCATATTTGGAACTCAAAAGGGGAGTCAATGTCGCTTTGGCAACATCACCAAATCTATTCCACACTTCGTTTTCCTTTCTCGTACAACTTTCATTCAAATTCATAATAGAAAGAAAGCTTTGCATAGCATACGCCGAGAATAGTTGTTTATGTGGATCAGTGGAAGCCCAAAATAGCTTCAAGACATAATTTTCAATCAAATCTACTAAAAACAAAACATTTTCGCCTTCACTTTCAAAATTTTGTTGCACAATTATCAGACGCTGGACAGTGTTGAATTGAAACTTATTGGCGTCTAGTGCACCTATCACAGCAAGTACTTTAGCGCACTCGGAAGATATTCTAGGGTTTTTATTTCTGAAATGGGTAGCTGTGTCAAAAATTGTCCTGACCAAAGTGGTTATTGCTGAGCTCAAAGCAGTATCCTTGAAGTACTCCCTCTGACAATTTTCTTGATATTTTTGACAATAATTGAAAAGGTCAAACAAAGCTTGTTCCACAACGTATCGATTACTGGTACAAAGCCGTCTATTAAACTCTTGAAATATGGTAAGACGAGAAGGTGATTTCATGTTTCGAAATTCTTTGATAAAAGTGAAATCGGACATGTAATCCAAAAAGGGAAGCGACAAATAGTACAACGAGTAGCGATTATACTTGTCTTTAATCTCGGTGTAAATCCTCTGCAAGATTTCAATAGCAATGTTTTGAGCATCTTGGTCGAAACCTTGAAATTTTCGAAAAATCAACGAAATGATAATATCAATTAAAGATATTAAATGCGTCAGCGGTAATCTTCGTACCAATTCGCTCCAACACTTTAACGTCAACACGTGCAAGTCCGGTTCTTCCAAAGTAGCTTGTAAGCATGTGGAAAGCTGACCCAAAGCCGAGGGCAAGGCATCTGAGTGATTTCTTATCAAATACAATACTGCCTGAAACGATTTTCTTCTTTCCAAGTAGGGCTTAGCACCTCTTAGTAAATGTGTCACATCGCTAAATTTTTGAACTAGTAACAACATCTGCTCTTCAATTAATAAACTTGCAAGTTTCCCCTTATTTGCATTTTGCTTTTTTTCACTAAGGGCGTTCTTCGCTACAATCTCCAATGCTGCAATGACATTTTTCAAATTTTTGATATTACCAGACTCGTCCGCTTGTATGTCCAATAAGATATGCCAGGTAATGTCACCAATACGAGTAAATATCTCATCACTGGATACTTGTTTATAATGAGGACAAACGCTGCTCAACACTTTTACCACATATCTTTCATTGGATGGGTCTCTGACTAAATAAGAAGCAAGAATTCTTGGCAAGTTATGAGCAAGTAGTTTTTGAATCGACATATTGGAAGCTTCTGCTATTTGTTTAAGAAGCGTTGGGTCCTTATGGTACTCTAACAATTTAGGTACAGTGTAGTCCTTTGTCCTGTTTAAAAAATAAACTTTGGTCATTCCCAATGTTTGAAGGAACCTTCCCAATAATAAAGGCTTTTTGATGATTATGTCTGCGATACTAGGAAAATATGGCGATAGTAGTTTGTACGGCGACAAATTCTTGGCTTGAGCAATATCTAAGAAACCACAGTATACGTAGTTTTGATGTTGATCATTTGGTTCTCCTAGCCAGTTGATCAATTTGAAATAAATGGCACACAATCTTTCTCCAGTACATACATGAGCTAGTAAAATCAATGAGGTTATAGTAGACTCTCCAAAATGGCGCCTTCCTTTTGACGCAAAATCAATCAGTGCAACTCTTTGAAAAATAAACTTGAAGATCTCATCGAGCATCACTTCACCACAGTCACGAATGAGATATAAAGGCAAGATACGCGTCACCAACATTCTGAGACTTCGATTTGGATGTCTCGCTAGTAGGTCAAGCAATACTGCAAGGTTTTTTTTGCTTCCTTCGTTGAACTCGGGGGTATAAACAGCATAATAGTTGAAAAGCATAATCAAGAAATTGCAAGCTAAAATCGGGTTATTCTTTAAGCTTTCTATTCTAGCAAAGAAGAAATCTCTAATCACTTCGTCTAATATTAATGATTCAGTAGTGCTTTTAACTACTGGTCGATGTCTATCAATTGAACCAAACAAGTCATGGTCCACCAACGTAGCTGCATCAACAAAAGAACAATTCAAGCACGACCTTGCACTTGCATCTGCACCTGTATCTGCAGCTGCAGCAGTTGTAACAACAGCGGCGTGATTAGGTGTTAAACTTAGCATGGGAAATTTACTCAAGGCTGTCATCAAAGTATGCATAGTGATATCCACTTCTAGCTCTTCAGGGTATTTCTTAGTTAACATTCGTACGTGCTGGATCCATTCCACGTAATTGACCTTGTCGTCAAGATCGTTTATTTCATGATATTCTAAATCTTCCCTAATTACAAACCTCAAAGCCTTGGTGTCGTTCAATTCGGTATCCTCCTTGTACAATTTGAACATGAGATCATCTAGTTCTGGATCCTTGTATGAAAATCTCTTTTTAGCTTGCAATTGCAATTGCAATTTCAAATGCTTAATGCTATTTTCAAACTCTTTACTCATATTGGCAATTTGCAAAGTTATGCAGTATAAAGTATTGCGTAATGGCTCCGGGAATGCAGATTGGTTAGCAACTCTTTCAATCAAATTAAGGAGATTCAAGTTTGCCACAAAATTTTGAATCAACTGTTTACTCCTGCAGAAGATAAAACTCTTGAGTAGAACCATTGACGTGGTTTGGAAAAGGTCTGAATGAATAAAACAATCTGATGGCTCTAACGCTTGGTTTATCACCTCAGCCGTTCTATTTAGTAAAAGTCCGATTTGACTCCAGTTTGTCAGGTAGTTCAATGCGATATTATCTAGTTGGTTTAGTAAAATTAAGGATTTTAAATAAACCAACATTTGTCCCAGGGTGTCATCTTCTGAGATCTGCATCTGCACCTGGCTGAGAATAAACCAGATTTTTCTGCCAAAGCTTTCAAGTTTCAATTGATAATTACCTGAATTTAATGATAGTTTATTGGCGATATCGTAATCGTTGACCACACAAAATAAATGACATGTAGATATCAAAGTTTGGAAAAACTCAGGTTTCAAATGACTCATTGTATTCTCAAAGCAATAAGACACACCATTCTCTAGCCTGGTAAATAATATTTCCCGCATCAATTTGACAAACTTGAAACTGTGCAATTTTGTCGAGACCAAATTGATAATTTGAAACATCAACTCTTTAAGACGATTGAGAATTAATCCCTCTTGACTCATGTTTGCAACATGGTATACGATAAAAGAAATCATCCATTCAAAAAGCAAAAACTCCTTCACGCAGAGCAAGTCCGAGGCATTATTAGGTGGTATATGAATCAATTTGTACTCATGATACAGTAATGGCGCGTTGAGCAAGTATAATTTATTGCTTAGCACCAATTCAACCGTATCGACTAGTTTAGCAACAATCTCGAGTTTTTCCTTATGCTCTTTACAAGTTATTGCGGCAAGTTTAATGTTCAAGAACTGCAATAGATAAAGAATCAATTTCTTAAAGTCTGTTTCTTCATCATTGATATTTTTCTCAATATCGGACAAAAATTGCAAAAGCTCTTCTGAACTCAAATGCTGGGTCGTAGTCATATCATATTCGCCTTGATTGTAATAACGGCTTCCCTTGCTTGTCGTTAGCGTGCTCCTAAATGCCCACTTCTGCCCCTCAATACTGCTTGTATCGTATCACAATTTTCAACACTTTTCCAAGAACATCTTGAAACTTTACGTGGATTTTTTTTGGTTGATTCCTTCCGCGTCGATGAAATGAATCTCTTGCAGAGCTAGCAACACTATCGAGCAGAGCTAGCAACACTATCGAGCAGAGCGAGATAGTGTTGATGAGAGCTAGAAGATGTAAAGATTTAAAGGATTCTTTCTATCATAACTCATATACAGTAGAGCTTTGAGACGGGGAGGATGGTGCTAGGTGATGAGATGTCTCAAACCAATGTCAACAGCTCTCTAACTAATATCAACCGATAACAGCTCTAACTAATATCAACCGATAACAGCTCTAACTAATATCAACCGATAACAGCTCTAACTAATATCAACCGATAACAGCTCTAACTAATATCAACCGCTCACAGCTCTCTAACTAATATCAACCGATAACAACTCTTTAACCAACATCAACCGATAACAGCTCTTTAACCAACATCAACCGCTCACTTATTCATTTGTTCACTTTCTGCTCATTTCACTTTCTGCTCATTTCACTTTCTGCTCATTTGCTCGATGCAAAGGCGGAAGGGGGACAAGATTGGTTGTAGGACCTTAAAAATTTTTTTTAAAAAGCCCAAAATTGTCATATCTTCAACACCATAGCCCACACCGGCAACAAGCTACACTAATGGAAATAGATTAGAGAGAGAGAGGGTAGATATAGACTATCTCGCTTTGCTCTATATTCGGGATAGTCAGGCTCTTTCCTCTTTCTGCTTCACTATTGACCATAATTGATTGGTCTCTTGAACAACAAGATATGCGGTTCTGGAGAGTGTGTTTCGTAATGGACCCAACCCAAACTCTGAGTTATTCCCAATCCTCTCCATTCATCTTCTAGCAAGATCCTCAAAGTACCAGTTTCGTTATTAAAGTAATCCTGAGGTATCACCTTTAGCATATTTTTGGGTAACATAACGTGTCTATACTCATGTGTATCATCACTGTACCGTGGACTATAATGAATCATATCTTGAAATTCAAGAACCTTGGCTCTTTCTAAATCTGTTAGATATCTTGGCTTACAAGACATTTTTTCATCAACCTCCTATATGCTGCTATATCATAAAAGTCAAACCCGTGCAATACCAAATACAAGCAGGGGAAGAAAAGAGGGAAAAGGGGTCACTAAACAATTCTAAATGAATGATTTTCCTTGACAATTTTTCATTGTTCAGTTTTTCATTCATTTTATATTCGTGTAAATTAATACGCGTCTTAGCAGACACCACTATCGAGCGGAGCGAGATAGTGGTGTACACTGACTGGCTTGTAGTGGCAGTATCGAGCGGAGCGAGATAGTGGTGTACACTGACTGGCTTGTAGTGGCAGTATCGAGCGGAGCGAGATAGTGGTGTACACTGACTGGCTTGTAGTGGCAGTATCGAGCAGAGCGAGATAGTGGTGTACACTGACTGGCTTGTAGTGGCAGTATCGAGCAGAGCGAGATAGTGGTGTACACTGACTGGCTTGTAGTGGCAGTATCGAGCGGAGCGAGATAGTGGTGTACACTGACTGGCTTGTAGTGGCAGTATCGAGCAGAGCGAGATAGTGGTGTACACTGACTGGCTTGTAGTGGCAGTATCGAGCAGAGCGAGATAGTGGTGTACACTGACTGGCTTGTAGTGGCAGTATCGAGCAGAGCGAGATAGTGGTGTACACTGACTAGCTTGTATAGTGCTTTTCGAAACTATCGAGCAGGGCGATCGACACTATCTCGCTCTGCTCGATAGTGGAGCAACACTGACTAGCTTGTACAGTGCTCGAGACTATATACTAGACCAAATCTTATAGAGGAAGAAAACAGGGGATATGAGTAGTAGTGCTCTTGAGACTGAATAGTGCTCCTGAGATCTTATAGTAATGGTCTCTTTTTTTCTAAAATGAAGATATGTGTTGATTTCCCTCTTTCACAATACCTAGAATTATCTGTATATAGGCGTATAAGACAACAAGATACCAAGTGTTACTCCACTATCTCGCTCTGCTCGATAGTGGAGCTTTGAGACGTTTTAAAAATTTACTTCTAGGATATTGAGATAGCCGTTGCAGCAGCAGCAGCAGCAGCAGTAGTAGTAGAAGTTGTTGTTGTTGCTGTGTCGATAGTGTCAGTGGTAGCTACTGTCAGTGGCAGCTAGTGTCAGTGGCAGCTAGTGACGATGGCAGCTACTGTCAGTGGCAGCTAGCGTGCTCCACTATCTCGCTTCGCTCGATAGTGTCGATAGTGTCGATAGCTAGTGTGCTCCACTATCTCGCTCTGCTCGATAGTGTTGATGGTGTCGATGGTGTCGACGTGAACTAGAAGGTTTTGTTACACCGTTTCTTTTACGTCGTTGATTATCTAAATCCTGTTTCATTTTCACTAATGGGTCATCACTCATGTATGACGACAGTGGGTTGTGATTGCTTTTACTCTTGCCAACTCCAATAATCTTGTGAATACGTTCATTCATTGAACCCAGGTGTCTCAGTTTGCCCTGCAGCAGGTTCCCCACTTGGGTTTTGCCTTGTAACATGTTTTCCACTTGAGTTTTACCCTCGGTAAATTCCAAATTACTTTCAATAAAACCACTTGAATTTGTAGTTTCTTGAAGGTTTTCAAACGGAACATCCTCATACATCCAGCTCAACTTGGATACCTTTAATTTCTCCTTGTGTGATAGCTGATCAATAGTGAAATTTTCACCATACTGAAGTTTCAAAAGTTGCAAGTATTCCTGTTCTTGCTTATGTTCATGTTTCTTTTCCTTATAATCCTTGTAGTCCTTCAACTTCTTCTGCTCCAACTCCCATACTTTTTGTTGGTTCTTGACCAAAGCAGGGTTCCATGACTTTTTGAGATTCAAGTCTTTGGCCATCCTTCGGTATGTAATACTCCTTGCTTTTTTTAAGATTATCGATTACAAAATATTCATTTTATTTTGTGTACTAAAGAAATATCGTTACTATGGAGCGATCGACACTATCGAGCATAGCGAGATAGTGGAGCACACTAGCTGCCACCGACTCTATCGACACTATCGAGCGTGACACTATCGAGCGTGACACTATCGAGCATAGCGAGATAGTGGAGCACACTAGCTGTTACCAACTCTATCGACACTATCGAGCGTCACACTATCGAGCAGAGCGAGATAGTGGAGCAATACTCTTTAATCTATCTACATTCTTTACACTACACCCTTTCATCTACCTACACTCTTTCAGCTACTTATACTATCAAGCAGAGGGATATAGTGGAGAACACTAGTTGTCACCGACTCTAACGACACTCGAGCAGAGCGAGATAGTGGAGCACACTAGCTGTCATCGACTTTATCGACATTATCGAGCAGAGTGGGATAGTGTCTACAAAGTGTTGCTCCACTATTTCGCTTTGCTCAACAGTGGATCACACTAGCTGTCACCGACTCTAATGACACTATCTCGCTCCGCTCGATAGTGTCGATATCTATGAGGTATATATATATTCATGTATTTAGAAGCGGTATAGCCTATATTCCACACTATCGCTGTATTCTTCTAAGCTCTTTTAACAGCTACTTTTACGCTTCTCACAACCAGGCACATCAAACATAAAACCAAACAAACAAGAAAAAATCAGTAAAGAAAGAAAAACTCACAATCAAAACAGAAACCATATTACATTGGTCTCATATAGCGGCCCCAGAATCGGAGAAAAAGAGGAAGCTCCATTTGCCTCTTGGCTCTTGCCTCTTGACCAGTGTGCCCTCCTCCTCCTCCTCCTCTCCCCACTATCTCGCTCTGCTCGATAGTGTCGGTATTAAAAACCGTGGATTTTGATGTTTTTCTTTGGAAGTTGTAGTTGAGTAGTCAAAAACTCAGAAACCTTGGTTCTTTGGTCACCTTGTAATTGAATAACTTCACCTAAATCATCGTCCTTGACAATATTACCATTACAAGCAAAATCTTTTTTCAAAACTTTTAAAATTTTCTTTAAATCATATTCATTAGGTACACCTTGAACTGTGGTTAAAGTCTTTCTACCGTTACGTTGTTGAATACGAATATGGATATAATTTGTTGGCTGGGCTTCTGAATCACCTGTATCGGCGAATGGATCAAATGCGTTTAAGTTTTGGATAGTTGACATAAAATTTTTCTCTCTAAAGAACCAAGTATAATTAATAACTCCCTTTTTTTATTTGATTAATTAACTCTCTAGTTTCTCTTTTGGTGTTGGGAAAAAAAAAAAAAAAAAAAAAGAAATTTGTAGATTAAATTTTCAAGTAAATGAAGTTGTAACCTACCCTAATAAGTTGTTGATTATAAGTAATAGCCTTTAATCAGCAAAGAATAATGTAGAGAAAGTGGAATGAGAAGTATAAGGGGAAGAGGAAAAAAAAGAAGGAAAAAGAAAAGCATTACTTTGCGCAACGTCAGCAAACAAAGAGAGCTTGGGAGGTGCATCCAAAAATACATAGACAAGGTTGCATATTGGTAAAGGCACGACAGACATCACTATCGACACTATCGACACTATCGAGCAGAGCGAGATAGTGTAGCAGCACTTAATAGCAACACTATCGAGAGCGAGATAGTGTAGTAGCACTCAATAGCAACACTATCGAGAGCGAGATAGTGTAGTAGCACTCAATAGCAACACTATCGAGAGCGAGATAGTGTAGTAGCACTCAATAGCAACACTATCGAGAGCGAGATAGTGGAGGCCAGTGACTACACCGACACTGATTACACCTACACTGACTATATCGACACTGACCACAACTGACACTTGACTACACCGACACTTACTGTACCGACACTGACCACAACTGACATTTGACTACACCGACACTGACCACACCGACACTTGACTACACCGACACTTACTGTACCGACACTTGAATATAAACAAAAGTGCACGACTATATAAAAGGGGAAGGAAGATTGACAGATGCGGCCTTACTTGACATAGTTTTTGTATGGTATATTTGTCTTATGTATCGGTACATAGGTGGAAAACACACGAGTCAGTGTCGTAGTCAGTATCGTAGTCAGTGTTGTAGTCAGCGGTGTAGTCAGTGTCGGTGTAGTCAGTGTCGTAGTCAGTGGTGTAGTCAGTGGTGTAGTCTCTACTCGATAGTGTCGTAGGGCGGCACGACTAAATATAGTGCTACCAAATGCATGCGATGAGGTGCGATGAGGTGCCCACAAGTGCGATGCAATGAGTAAGATGGTCTCTCTAACAAGGATGAACTCGAATTGATTGCCTTTTGCAAGCCAAAACTCAGTGAGGGGCAATTTCGATATAGTGCTGCTCCAATTACTTGCAACTGCTGCTCCTATTGATATAGTGCTGCTCCAATTACTTGCAACTGCTGCTCCACTAGCTGCTCCAGTAGCTGCTCCACTAGCTGCTCCACTAGCTGCTCCACTAGCTGCTCCACTAGCTGCTCCACTAGCTCGCTTCGCTCGCTAGTGTCGCTAGTGTCGTTAGTGATGACATCAAACGCAAGCATCTCCTCAAAAAAGCTATTTCTTTTTATATTCACCATTCGGTTAATAAACTCGTTTACAATATCGACTTTTTTCCAAGCAGACGAGTTTTATCAATCACTTGAACCAGCTCACAATTTTGTTTACGGTTATGGTTATCTCACATGGGAATGGCAAAACAAATTACGTTCCTCAATATATCCTTTGATATATAGCTTGGGTTACCTTATTTCAGGGGACAATATGCTCCTAATCGAGTTTGTTCCCAAGATCCTTGGTGCTTTTATCGCTAGTTGGGGCGAATATTATTTATACTACTTTGTACAAGAATACACCAAAAATAACAAGGATCCAATTGCATTGGACAATGTTGATTTACCATGGGTCACTTTATCTCTTTCTTTGTTAAACCCTTTCAATTGGTATGTTTCAACACGATCGTTTTCCAACAATTTGGAAACGACATTAACAATCATGGCCCTACGATATTGGCCATGGAACCTCGATATCAAGTCAAAAGGCTGGTTTATCAGTTTAGCTTGTGGTGTTGTGAGTTGTATTATTCGACCCACAAATATACTTATTTGGTCATCTTTAGGAATACACTTGATGCTCAAAACTAAAAGGTTGATCAGCTTGAAATGGATTTTGTGCTCCTTTTGCCAAGTGGTTGCAATTCTAATGATCAACACTCTTTTGGATTATCTATTTTACAAAGAATTGACCTTCCCGGTCTACAATTTCCTTGAGTTCAATGTTTTTAAAAACTTGTCGATTTTTTATGGTGTTGCCCCTTGGCATTTCTATATTTTCCAAGCAATTCCATTGATGATGACAACTTATTTGCCATTGTTGATCTATGGATTGAAAAGGGATGTTTTACTACTTACAAGCATAGTGTACTTGATTGGCTTTTCGGTAATCCAGCATAAAGAGTTCCGGTTCATCATGCCATTACAGCCGCTAATGATTTATTTCACAGCTAGAGGGTTTCGAGCTGTTAGAGCCAAGTATTTAATAGTAATGGGAATTTTACTCAATATCTTGATTGCATTGTTTTTTGCCAATATCAATGAAAGAGGTGTTATGGATGTAGTGAGATATTTAAAAGCAGAAAACCAGTCATCTATTGGCTTTATAATGCCGTGTCATTCAACACCATGGCAAAGCCATTTCCATAATCGTGATTTGGATGCATGGTTTCTAAGATGTGAGCCACCATTACATCTAACAAATCCAACAATGAATGAAATCAATGTATACAGAGACGAATCTGATCAATTCTATGATAATCCAAAACAATTTTTAACAATGTATTTCAATCAAGACTTGAAGAAAATGCCTGAAAATATCGTCATTTTTGAAGCATTGGAAAAATTTATCAAAGAGGAATTTAGTGGTGAGTATTATGAACATAAACGTTTCTTCAATAGTTATTTCCATTGGGATGATAGAAGAAATGGAGATGTAATAGTATACAAGAGAATTACACCATCGAGCAGAGCGAGATAGTGTCGCTGGACTCTTGTATTGATTGCATCTTTAATTGCATATTTACACACACGGGTTTGACTGCTCCACTATCTCGCTACACACAGGTTTGACTGCTCCACTATCTCGCTCCGCTCGATAGTGTCTCTGGGATCTTGTATACATGGATTATTACTATTACTTTGGCTTTTGTTAGAACATTCAAACACACACAAGTTTGATACTTACCTTTTTGTCTTGTGTCTAATATTCTATGCCTGAAGTTACCTGTCTTTCGACAAATGTCGTATAACTAAATAATTTTTGTCTTGTGTCGTCCCTTGTGGTAACGATGTCGTATTCAAAGTGTCGATAGTGTCTGGTATTTCTCTTTGGTTTTTGTCTGATTTTTTTTTTTGGTTTTTGTCTGATAAATATTGTCTTGTCTGGTTTTTTTTTTGATTTAATCAAGAGGATTAGGATCTTATCGTCTCTACAAATTGGCAATCAGCTTGAGTTATAGATCATATTATAGTTACACCTACTCGTACATAATTTTACAAAAACTCCGACTTCACTTTGAAATGAAGTCCAAAATTACCATGTGCGTTTAGAACAAAGCAACAGCAGCAAGTAGTAATGGTGCTGTGAACCATAAAGCAACCGAGTTGGAAGCAGCAGCACCTTCATAAGCAACTACTTGTGAAGGGGTGCTTTCGGCGCTTGGTGCAGAAACTTGAGGAAGTAAAGTTGATGTCTTCAAGATCGTGGTGTACTCAGTAGAATCGGATACAATTGATGCAGAAACTGAAGTTTCTACGTTAACTTGAGGACCAACAGGGGTTGGGATAGCTGCAACCCAAGTAGATGAAGCTGGAGCTGGGGCAGATGGCTGCTTGGCAACTGGAGCAACTGGAGATGGAGCTGGGGCAGATGACTGTTTGGCAGCTGGAGCAACTGGAGATGGAGCTGGAGCTGGGGCAGATGACTGTTTGGCAGCTGGAGCAACTGGAGCTGGAGCAGATGACTGTTTGGCACCTGGGGCAGCTGGAGTCTCAGTTTCAGCAGGTTTGTGGTGGATTGGAACAACAACAGCTGAGGCAGTCAATGGACAGTAAGTGGTGTAAACAGTACTAACATCGGTAACACAAACAACTCCTGTAGTTACAGGAACTTCAGTACATTTGTTTTCTTTACAAGATGTAATGGTTACGACAGTTGTGCCAATGTCTGTTACTGTGCTAAAGCCAGCTTGACCATGAGCAACGGTTGTAATAGGGGCAACAGCAGATGATGGTGGGTTGGCGACAACAGCAGATGATGATGGGTTGGCGACAACAGTTGAGTTATAGTAACCAGATGGGCCAGCATCAACTGATGATGTTGGGACAACATCTTCAGTGGTTTGAGGAGCAGGAGTTTGATCTTCACTAGTTTCGCTAACAGTGGTAGATTGTGGACTATCTGCGGTAGTTTGTGGGCTATCTGTGGAAGTTTGTGGGCTATCTGTGGAAGATTGTGGACACGTGTTTGCATTCAAAGCATTTTTGACTTGAACAACAAAGTTTTCGCCATTAGAATTAGTATTAATCCAGGCCCCTGAAGCGTCCCATAATGAAACACCTCCGAAATGTGGGTCGCATTTGATTTGGTTGATAGTCTCACTCAATTTTTCAATATCAACGTATCCGTTGACGTTTCCAGTAGCTGGTACACCAACAAATAGTTCCATATTTGGATTTGGTGCTGATTTGGCAAAGTTTGACCAGGTATCATAGTTGAATTGGCCATCGACTGAGCAATAATTGTTGTAAAATTGAATGAAAGCATAATCAACTGGAACATTGGCTAACAATGTTCCAACTTTTGTATCTGGGTATGGGCATTGTGGTGAAGCAGATAAGTAATATTGTTTAGATGAATCCTCGCCGAATTTGTTTCTCAAACTCAGGGCCAATTCTGGGTATCCAGTATTTTCACCTATTTCAATATCAAAGTCGAAACCATCGACAACAGCATCATCAAATGGTCTTTCATCATCACCTTGACCTTTACCAAATTTGTTCCACAAAGTGTCGGCGAATTTGGTAGCGTCGTCGGTATTTGCAAAACCATATTTACCAATACCACCACCAAGTGATAAAAGCACTTTTTTACCCGAGGCTTGACAGGCCTTGATATCTTCACCAATTTGTGGGCAGTGCAATAAACCAGAAGCGAAAGTAGCACCACATTGGTTAGCAAAATTGACATTTGTTGGATCTGGAAAATCATTCAAAAAAGATAACAATACTACGTCAACGTCAGATTCTTGGCAATAATAGCTTAATCTTTCTTGTCCTCCTGCACCGTTTTGACCCCAGTATAACGCAACTTTATTTGAAGCAGCTACAGTTGAGACTGCTGCAGCTAATAAAGATAAGATAGTTTTGGATAACATTAGTTTCTTTTGTCTGGGTATGTCTTTTTTTGGTTTTTTTTTTATTTAAACAAATATCTAAAGAGTGTAAATGGTTGGAAGAAGTACTGATGATATAAACGATAGACTGTACTTGCTATTCAATAAGAAAAGAATGTCGACTTGGTGAGATCAATAAACAGATGCTCAAAAAACACTATGAAGAAAAAGTGTGAAAAAGAAGGTTTGAAAAAGGGTTAAAAATAATGAGACAGGAAATATAATACTTTTTATGGGAGGGGTTTTTTATATGACTCGGGACTAATAGATCCACACGGGTTTGATTGGATCCCCCAAATTAACTAAAAACAGTTTAGTTGAGAGAACAAAACATTCTAAATAGCCTTTTATTTGTTTTAGATGATGGGACTAGATTGAAAACTTTGATTTACTTGTTAGAGTCGCATGTAACGTTCATTAAAAACAATTAGAGAGAAAGAACAAAAAGAATAGATGCATATATTGAAGTAAACAACGCGTTAAAAAGACATCTTTTCTGCTGAATGCGCTTTCTGTATTTGGTGTTGCTATTTCCTTTGGGGGAGAGTGGTTATGAAGGGTTTCGCGGAAAACCGAACTTGTCTCAAGGCAATATAAGCATGGTGCAAACAATTTTTTAAGGTCAAACCATTGAAAGTAAGAAAATGCAAACATCTCAAAGAGCAAAAGAATCCGGGCTTAAAATAATAAAGGGCGAAAAATTTGAAGCCAAGGAAGGGAAAATATATAAATGGTAATGAAGAGAGGGTACTAGAGAATCACATGGAAAGCACTGTGAAGGCACTGTGAAGGCACTGTAAAAATATAGAAATACCTTTTTTTGAGATATGGAGAATAATTCAAAACAAAAATATTCCACCATGAACAAAAAAGGCCGTACAAGCGGCATCGTTTCAAGTGGGAAATAGAAAGCGTAGGGTGGTGAGGGGGTCAAAAAATTATCTCATCGTTTCGTATATAGTATCGCACCTATTTTCGACCAATAACAACATGAATTACCGTATTGCATTTTTATGCATGGTACATAAAAATAGGTTAGGACCACATTTCATCATTGAATACTCTGAATTCATTTTTTTTGACGTGGTTTTTGTGGTGGGTCTAGTGGACTGGAAAAAATAATATTGAAGCACCACCCTATTTGAACTCTGGGAAATGAAGAAATTAATTTAGGGCAACAACAACCGTCCTTGTCAATAGTAAATGGTATTACTTTGCTATTGAAAAAAAAAGGCATTATTCCATCAAGTTCGGAAATAAGTATAAACCTTTTAGATAGCGCAAAATATGTTGAGCAGATGCCTCGAAAAAGAATATTGCCTACAAACCCGTGTTTGTGAGTACCTGTCAGAATTACATAATCTTTGCCTCGAAATTTATTGATGCGCAATATGGTTACAGTTTATATATTTGACAAGTAAGCATTGATTGCAATCCCTGGTGAAAATTGAGCATTCACTCCATAATCATGCTGTTTTTTTCTTTTAAAGTTATATTCGGGGGAAATTGATAGTAGGAATACAATTGAATCAAACTCCATGAGGTTTGTATGTCTCGAGCAAAGTAAATCAAATCTGTTGCTTTGAAAAGTTGACCTCAAAATGCTTTCAACCATAAGATATGTCAGTTGGTAGCGTCATCATTCGTGTTTAAAAAATTTGGTGTGGCTGGTAACTGAGGGGGAGGGGGAGGGGGGAAAGGGAGTTGAGCCATAGCATCTACTGGCAAAAAAAAAAAAACTATCAAATTCTTTCTGGTTTCAAAATTGCACCCGTTAACCTGTAACTGATTTCAATGGACTATGGACTACGTGACACATCTCAATCAGAAGAACCCGTCATTAGCGACAACTTCGAGGTATAACCTTCGTTATACTCATCCTGTGAAGTACTATGATTTCCATGTTTATTATTTTGCACATAATCAGAAATCTTTTCAAGAGTCGGAAAAATTGAGACAGAAATTACTAGACGATTTCCCTGATGCATGTTCTGATGGGTCTATACTTGTAAAGAAACTACCACTGGACAAAATTATTGGACCACATCCTACGCAATTTTGGGAAGCCGATGTGTTACGGCCGGAGGTGTTTATACAAGTATTGAGCTGGTTTCAATTAAATCATGGTAATTTGTCAGTATTGATACATCCCCAAACCGGTGATGATATTGAGGATCATTTCAATCGGGCATTGTGGTTAGGCGATAAACTACCTTTACTAAATATTTTTCCAGCTAGTGATGGAAGAATTCCCGAGTTTGGTGTTAAGAATGGGAAAAGAATTAAAACAAACGAGTTTGATGATTACAAAACTGTCTGTTAAGACCTTTAACGCTATATTTTGCACACATAGTAACCATGATTGCTATCCTCTAAACATTACATTGTATAATCTTGTATCCACATACCCGCATACTTGTAGCTACTTCCAACAGGCTTGGGCTTCTTTAAGTGTATCATGAGCGATCTCGCTATAAAGGAATAAAGATTTCTTCTCTTTTTTATTATTTCTTTTTTCATTTCTAGGTCGCACTTACTTTTGCACAGACTTGTAAACGCATAAAAATCTTTCTCATCTCTCATCTACTTAATTTAAACCTCTTTAGTCCGAAACTGGGCAATACAGAGGTTGAGAAAATTTTCCAAAAAAACTACAAAAGGTAAATGTAACCCCCTAGGACTTGTACTTTGATTTTACTTTTCTTCTGTTAATATATAGAAGTGAGACAGTTATTCCACCAGAAGGCCGGGAATTACTATCGTTTTTTTTTTTTTTAAGGAAGAAGGGAGGATACCAAATCCTCAATAGGCAGTTATACTAGTTGTTGTTTGTTTTTGAAGATGGCTCGATTATCGTCACAGGGTAACAATGCAATCATTTATCTATCTTATGCATTCATGTTAGCTACTGGATTATATTTAGCTTGGAAGTTCGCCTCAAAGTCCCTGTTCCTTTCATCGAACGGAACTCAACGTGGTATTCCATTAGCTTTGAATTTTATTGCTTCAGGTAAGTAAATAGCTGAACCAAAGAGGAAGGAGAAAGAAGGAAGGAAGGAAGAGAAGGGGAGAGGAGAGTGAGGAAAATGGGAAGATTAGTAGCATTGGCTGTTTTGAGTTTCATAAGTGCATGTTCTTCTGTGTTGAGCATTCCCAACCCCCTTCTCTTTTCCTTTCCTTTCCTTTTCTTACTTTGTTTGTGTTTGTCTGTGATTGTTGTGATGGTTTGATACTAACGCTTTCTTTAGCTATGGGGGTTGGAATATTTGCTACTTATGCTGAAATTGCAAACATCTCTGGATTGCACGGATTGTTGGTATATACTCTATGTGGATCGATTCCGATAATTGGCTTTGCTGTTTTTGGTCCTATTATCCGTGAAAAGTGTCCCGATGGGTTTATATTGACAGAATGGGTGAGACATAGATTTGGGATAATTACAGCTTTGTATTTGTCGTTTTTCACTTGTTTAACAATGTTTTTATTCATGATTGGAGAATTGTCAGCAGTAAGAGGTGCTATTGAGACTTTGACTGGGTTGAATGCTCTTGGAGCTGTTATTGTTGAGTGTGCTGTTACTACCATTTATACTTTTTTCGGTGGCTTTAGAGTTAGTTTCATTACTGATAATTTCCAAGGTGCTTGTGTCTTGATCTTGGTGATTATTTGTGCTTGTGGGTTTGGATCGTATATTGAAATCGATACGTCAAAAGTTGGTCCTCTGGGATTATTGAAAGGTAATAAATTGGGCTGGCAGTTGATCTATATTTTATTCGTTGCTATTGTTACTAATGATTGCTTTATGTCCGGGTTCTGGTTGAGAACTTTTGCAAGTAAGACAAACAAGGATTTGTGGATTGGATGTGGAATTGCCAGTTTTGTTACATTCATTATCACGACATTGATTGGTACATCCGGATTCTTGGCTGTTTGGTCGGGTGATTTAACAGTAGGCGATGAACAGTCATATAATGCATTTTTTATCTTATTGGTTAAAATGCCAAGATGGTTAGTTGCATTTGTGTTGATCTTTTGTATTGTTTTATCAACGTGCACTTTTGACTCATTGCAATCAGCAATGGTTTCAACTATATCCAATGATGTTTTCAGGAACAAATTACATATAAACTGGACTAGAGGTTTGGTTATTTTGATTTGTATTCCAATTGTTGCTTTGGCTGTGACAGTAGCCAATAACGTCTTACAAATCTATTTAATTGCTGATTTGGTTAGTGCTGCAATCATCCCTGCTGTGTTTTTAGGGTTGAGCAACAAATATTTCTGGTATTTGACTGGCTTTGACGTTATGTGTGGTGGTTTAGGCGCATTACTTGGAGTCTTCATCTTTGGTACTGTCTACTACCATTCAGCTAGAGAAGGTGGTAAATTATTATTAGTTTGGAACGGTATTTATGATCCCGAAGATTGGGGCGCGTTTGGTGCCTTTGTTGTTGCACCGGTTGGAGGAGTGGTGATTACCATGATTGTAGTCGGTGCAAGAATCTTTGGTCTATATATATGGTCCAAACTTACTGGTGCCCCATTCACTGCATTAGAGAAATTAGAAGAAGTTTTATATGTCGAAGACCATAATTCAGTCGTCGACCTGGGCGACGATAACAAGAAAGCTGCTGTTTCTGATGATACTCAAATAGACTCGTTTGACTATAGTCGCGAAGTGGATATCGATAGAAAGAGTGTATAGAAAGGTAGATTATAGATTAATAGAATGAGAGGGGATAAGAGATTCATCACCTGGCTGCTTGTCAATAAGAGATGGAAGAAAAAGGGGGTATGCCCTGCGACACTATCGAGCGGAGCGAGATAGTGGAGCACACTGACATTATCGAGCAGAGCGAGATAGTGGAGCAGCACTTTGTAGCTGCCACCAACACTATCTCGCTTCGCTCGATAGTGAGTTGTAATATCTAAAAATTGTTCCTATGCAAAGTTTCGAACCCACGAGGTTTTGTGGGGGGGTTTTTTCTGCCAAGAATAAACTGAGGGCATCTCAAATTTATCAGATATCAAAGATAACAGATTAGATCATCGGCTAATACCAATAGAGTCAGCAAATCCGGACAAACCCCTCCCCCAATAATTTAACAAGATGATTGCTCAAGATGTGTCCCTTTTCAAAAGGATGTCTCAATGCATTACGGCCATTTTAATAGTGCTTTTATCAGGAGGGACGATTTTTGGTTTTGCAGCTTTAAAGCCAGTATTGATTCATTCTGGAATATATGAATCCAAATGTGATATTCGCGATAAGTTAAATAATGACTCCAATGGTGTTGCCAAGTGTATTGAGCAAGATTTGAAATTGAATATGTTGTTCACTGTTGGTGCTGTGTTGACCAATATTTTTGCATTACCCGTGGGGAAAATCTTGGATGCTTATGGACCTCAAATAAGCGGACTCGTTGGTGCTTGCTTTTTGTACTTGGCTTGCTTTGCATTCATATTTGCTGATGGGTTAATTCAATTGAGCCATAATTGGGGTCACTTGGTTGATCCTTATATGTTGGGTTATTGTTGTTTAGCATTGGGTGGACCATTTGTATTCATATCTAGTTTCCACTTGTCGAACGCATTCCCAACGTATAGTGGTACAATATTGGCCTTAATAACAGGTGCATTTGACTCCTCGAGTATTGTGTTTTTGTTCTACAGGTGGGGGTATGAGTATTTTGACGGAAAACTTGGGCTAGAGAGTTTTTTTGCAATATATTTACTGATTCCTATACTCGTTACTGTTACTCAGCTAACATATATGCCAAGAGAGTCATACCAAACGTCAAATGCACTTGCACTTTGTGTTGATGGTGATGATGACAATTCAAGGTATGCGCAGTCCCTGCTTGACACAGAAGATGCTGAAACTACGCCCAATATGAGCGATGGAGAACAACAACAACAACAACAACAACAAGAAGAAGAAGAAGAAGAAGAAGAAGAAGAAGAAGAAGAGCTGTTCCACGTACCACAAGACTTGAGACGTCGTGATTCCGTTGGAGATGCTTTGAAACAACCATATACAAATGAAGGTGATAAACTTTATCTAGTTGAACATAGTGGTGGTATTTTTGGGATATTACATGGCTATTCGGCACAATATCAAATTCAAACTTGTTGGTTTGTTTTGATTTGCTTATTCAGTACAGTGCAAATGTTGAGAATAAATTATTTTGTCACCACCATTGATAGTCAGTACCAATTCATCTTTGGATCTCACTATCTCGCCAAATCTCTCAACAAATTTTTCGACTTGGCTTTGCCCTTGGGTGGAATTATTAGTATTCCTTTTATTGGACTTTTATTGGACAAGTTTTCAACAGTTTCAGTCATGATTGTGTTATTGACCATCTCTGTGTTGGTTGGAATCTTGGGTCTATTTTCAAACTATGTTTTGGCTGTTGCTGGAGTTTGCTTATTTGTTGGATACAGATCGTTTTTCTATACTGCAATTTCCGATATTTGTGCAAAAGTGTTTGGATTTGACACTTTTGGAACTGTTTACGGATTGTTGATGTGTATCTGTGGTGTTCTCAATAGCGGTCAGGGAATTCTTGATGAATTGACTCATACAGTCTTCAAAATGAATCCGTATCCTGTTAATATACTGCTAGTTTCAGTGACAGCCATAGTCGGACTAGTTACTGTATGGTATATCCATACTGAAGCTCAACGATACAAGATGAAGAAAAACCAGGCGAAAAAACAGAGTCCATTTACAATCATATAGAGAGCTACAGAGATTTAAAAATCACCACACAGGTTTTTGGTCTTCCTCCTCCTCCTCCTCCTCATCATCATCATCATCATCAAAGCGGATAAAGTCAGTGCTGTTCCACTATCTCGCTCTGCTCGATAGTGTAGGTACGCCTGTGATGACCACGAATAAACTCATATAAACTTAACTCAACCATGACAAAGTAAATATTCATGCCGTACATTTCAAGTGAAAAAAAAGAAAAAAAAAAGAAAAAAAAATTATTCAAAATTTCTTTTTATCAGTTTAGAAGAGAAGAAAAAAAAATAATCAAGCTTTTTCTTGATCTTTTTGACATTCAGATTAGATCGAGAAGAAGAATATTGATAGCACAAAAGGTGCTGGTGGTGGTAGAAGAGGTTAGGTTATCGTTTTTTTTTCTTTCTTTTTTTTTTTATATATATATCTTGTATGTGATATGAACAAGCTGGTTTTTGAAAAAGGTCAAGTAAATGGTTTGAACGGTATTCAGTTATTTTGTTTGATATTATCACTTTTACCATTGACAATTGCTTCGACTGGGGACAGATTACCTGAATTTCAAACATGTTTAGCTGATTGCAAATGTGATGAGATTCCCTGGAAATTAAAGAGTAGCTTGTGGTCGTGTTCATCAAACTGTAATTACTTTTGTCAGCAAACAGTGACTGATATACGACAAGCTGAACGATTACGTATGGTTCAATTTTATGGGAAATGGCCATTTCGACAAGTTTGGGGAGTGCAAGAGATATTTTCTAGTATGTTTAGTTTGGGCAATTTTTATGTTAATTGGGTCAACTTTTGGAAGATATACAAACAGTATAAAAAGAACCAGGCTTTTGGACATAAGCTTATGTATAGACAATATTTGATTTTATTACTTGTTAGTTGCTGCGGTTGGAGTTTTAGTGTGATTTTCCATATCAAGGATACTTCATTTACTGAAATTTTGGATTATTTTGGTGCTTTTGCTATAATATTGTCGAATTTGAATGTTATAGTAGTGAGATATTTTGGACTTTATTTTGTCAACAATATGTGGAAATTGAAGGTTTTCCATTTGGCATTGGTTATGTTATATTTGTATCATGTGATTCGACTATATCGTAGTTGGGACTATGAGTACAATATGAAGATCAATATGATTGTTGGCTTATCTGCCATGGTACTATGGATAGTTCATTCACTTCAAGTGGCGAGGATTTTCCGAGATAGTTTTATAAAGTATCACAACTCTGTCTTGTATTTGCACTACGAGACAAAGATATTATGGAAGATGGGTTATATATTTATATCGGATGTGCGGCTAATTCCATATATACCCATAGTCAACAATTGTGTATTATTATGTGGGATAATGTTGGAGTTGAATGATTTTGAACCGTGGTTTCGGTTAGTGGATGCGCATTCGTTATGGCACCTTTTAACAATAGTGCCTAATTTAATTTGGTTTGACTGGAATATCTGGGATATTGAATTGTCAAAAATCATAGAAAAGAGATAATATAGAGAAAAATTAAAGGTGTGATAGAAATAGATTAGAATTAGAGACGTTATTACTATTATTATTATTTATTAATGTGGAATGTTGTTCGTAACCTATGTCTATAAACCGAAAAATGCAGCAACGATGTAAAGAAAATGACAGCACGTACTCACTGGGTGTTGGTAGTAACTCGTAGCTATATATATATATATATATATATGTTAGTGGGAAAGTTTGATGGGACACTTCTTAGTAATGTGAATTGCAAGGAGGTAGGAACAAATAACCCTATTCAAAGTGAAATAAAGTAATGAAAATGAATTGGTAATACCGGGAATAACGAAATGAAAGAAAGTTGTTGTTGTTATACTCGCTTGAGTCTGAGTCGCGAGCGAGGCTATTCTTAACTCATACTATGCTAATAGGTCTGGACTTTTCCTTGACTAGACTTCTTCTCCGCTTAAAAGCGCGAGATATTGCCATGAGCATAAATATACATAGGATAAGAAAAAAAACTCTTAAAGTGTTATCTATTCCAAAAATGTGTTCCTTATTGAAAGATAGTAATTTTTCAAAAACTCCTACTAAACAATTTTCATGTGCACTTCCTTCACTCATGGAGTAGAATTGATGTTCCCTGAGTAAGTATGTATCTTGTGATGGGTGGGGGATCATTTTCCGAAATTGGTGAGACTTCTATTGAAATGTACTGATTATTGGGAAAGGGAGTTTGGGATATAGTAATAGCAGAATACAAGAGTAGATAGTAATGGGAGAACGATACGGTTTATGAAATGGTCGAGAAAAGATTAAGAAGCATTTTCTGTCCATATATATATATACATATACATATACATATACATATACATATACATATACATATACATATACGTATGTACTGTGGATTACACTGAGACCCACTTGCATGATCTGTCCTCAATCAATCCTCTTCTCATCAAACTAAATTTCTAAAAAAAAATTGTAAAAAAAATCTAAATAATGTATTTTGATGTGGTGGGGGCAAAAAAAAAAATCGAAAGAATAAGCAATATTCATAGTTTGTTAAGTTTTTCTTGTTTTAATCGCAACAGGAGACACGTATGTGAGATATAACCATGGAGAACTAGTAAGATTTGATAACTGGTTATATTTGGTATCTCTGTTCTAATAATAACAACAAAAAAAAAAAAAAAAAAAAAAAAAAAAAAAATATAAAAAAAAAGTAGAGATCTACAAATAATGTAAAGAGTAAGATGATCAGTAAAATAAAAGAAAAAAGGGATACACTTGGAAATAGGATTATTTTATGAATAAGGGGTAACCAAGTAAGGAAAGAGAGCAAAGAAAGGAGAGGGGCTAGGGTAAGTGCATACTACTTGCTAGTACCAGTAACTTCTTGATTGATTTTCTAGTTTTTTCGCAATCGGTTGCAGGTTAAAAAAAAAATCTTTTAATAAATAAATTACATACATACAAGAGAGAAGGAAAGGAAAAAAAAAAAGAGGTTAACTTGTAGCGTACATGAACTTTGCTGTTACTAAATATTGACATCTTTCGAAAATACTTTTCCTACCTTCTTTGTCAAATATAACAACAAACCAAAGGATAGGAAGGACAAAAATTGAGCAACAATAATAAAAGTAAGGAATTGAATTATTTATAATTTTATTGAAAATTGACGTTAAATAAGCGAGCTCTAATCTATTAATTTCTTGTTTACAAATTAATGCTTTCAAATTACTAAGAATTTCATCCCCCTTTTTCCATACACACACACTCACATACACACTCACATACACACTCACATACACACTCACATACACACTCACACTGACACATACACACTCACACTGACACATACACACTCACACTGACACATACACACTCACACTGACACATACACACTCACACTGACACATACACACTCACACTGACACTTACACACTCACACTGACACATACACACTCACACTGACACTTACACCTAACTAGCTTAAAGCCATGTAGCTTGTTACAACATTATCTCGCTCTGGTCGATAGTGTCAGTACCAGTCATTTTTTTTTTCCCACGCCCAGTGCTCTTGATACTTTTTATTTTTATCTTCAGTCAAAATTGTAAACAAAAGATTACAAATCGGTAATTCATTTAACCTTTTTTAGACCACAAACAAACAGATCCATTTCAACAATAGTATTTACTATTGTTGTCCTCTCCCCCCTGGAAAAGCATGCCAAGTTGTCCACAAAAAAAATATCATTTCTAAAGTAGTGACAATTTATTGCCAGTGAAAAAGGGATGGGTAGCTTGTCAATGATTGATGTTCTTCTTACTTTCTCACTCTCTCTCGTGTAAGAGGGAGAGTCCTGTAAAACTGTATGCCGAGATTTTTAAGCTTCTATGCAAACTATTTTCAATTTCATTTTCAATTTCAAAACGAGTAGTGTATTGCCACAAATTGCCAATATGAATTTCATCTACTAAATAGTATTCTTGCCGAGGTGCGTAATATTTGACATTCTTTGAGGCTTGGTGGGTTTGTAATCAAATATATTAATCTTTCAACCAAATAAAGAAAAGGCAAGTTGTAGGTTAAACAGGTGATAAAGGAAAGTATTGCAATATTTTTAATCAAACAACATTCTCGATCTCCTTTCTTTTTTTTTTTTTTCTTTTCTTTTTTTTTTTTCCTTTTTCCTCTCTTGATAGCTTTTCTTTGGAAGAATGTGCTACACTTTGGCGTTTGGTAGGAGAAGTGATTAAGATAATACAAGTAAAGCTGAGTCTCCTCCTCTCTTATAGTCAATTGCCTATAATAATTGTATTTGTTAATGATTCCTTTTGCGTTATCTAATGTTGAAGTCGTGTATCCATGTACAATTTGCAGCCGTTTTTTCGTTTTGTTATTCTTTTTCAAATTTAAGCCTTTTTAATGGTTGGTTTATGTTGAAATAGTTTCTAGTTTCATTCTTTTCACTAGTGGGATGCGTTATTGACTAACTTTCTTTAAGACTACTCAAATTAGTCATTGAACTTGTGCAATCTACATTTAGTAGTCTAAAATCATACTAAATGATTTGTAGTGATAAATCTGAGAACTTTGACAAGAATGGATGCGAAAAAAAAAAATGGTTGCGAAATTTTTTTCCTGCAAAGCAATAATAAAATGAAGTAATAAGTTTATGCGAGTTAAACATGAGATTGTTATAAACTTCTATATTGCAATTAGCTTCGCGATTTTCTTTTTTTTTTTTTACTTCACAGACTAAGGTTTGTTTAAAGATGGAGCTCTCTGAATAATCATTGGAAGCAACTTTAAAAAAAAAATTAACAACTGTACTCCCTTGCGGGGAATCGAACCCCGATCTGCTCGGTGAAAGCGAACCGTGATAGCCATTACACTACAAAGGAATTTCTTGAGAGTTTTGCACAAGCCTAAAGTTGCAGTGAAGATCAAGAATCAAAAAGAAAAAAAAGTTTTCCTTACTAACACACATGAAACTAAAAAGATTTTATTGATAATATGAATACTACAAATATCCTATTTAGTAGGTATGCAAATATTTTGAATCGTAATTTTCTGGCAATATGTATAACAAACATCCCTTATCAATAAGAGCGATTTATCAGCCAAACTACACGACATTATGAGTCTCTTTTCTCCTAATTTTACTTCACATGTGAGTACATTGCAAGTAAAAAGCCAGCTACTCGAGAACTAACTATGTATTTTAATCACTCCTGGCCCAAAATCCTCCAGATACGCACATACATAGGTTTAGCTGAAACTCAATACGACACTATCGAGGGAAGCGAGATAGTGGAGTAACACTTGGTAGCTTATTGCAACACCATCTCACTCTACTCGATAGTGTCCTTTATAATTCTGGATTTCCAGCCAAAAAAAAAATTAAATTTCTCCCTTGCGGGGAATCGAACCCCGATCTGCTCGGTGAAAGCGAACCGTGATAGCCATTACACTACAAAGGAAATTGACGAAGTTTTATTATTAGTAGCTTGATATATAAGTGTTTTGGAAAATATGTAGACACTATTGAGCAGAGCAAGATAGTGGAGCACAGTGACTGCCATTGTGTGTCTTACTTGTCTTTTAAAAATTGAAAAGAATGCATTATGGTATATCAACAGGGTCTCATTCCTCTGAATCAATTGGACAAGATTAAGCATTTGCAAAATTGGGATTTTCGTTTCAGAGGTTTTTATCATCAACAGTTTATTGATTAAAAGTCAATTTTAGCTAGGAAATAAAGATACCTCCTTTTCTTTTTATAAAGTATATTAAAAATACCTCTATTTTTATCATTCAGAGGTCGAAAACTAAATACTTTCATGATTATCCAAAGTAAAAAGGTTTCGACAACCATGCAATTAATACCTGTTCTCGTTCTATTTAATTCTATTTTCATTTTTTACGTAATTGTAGCTTTTTCCTTATTATCCTCAACAGCCAAATCTAATTTCACTGCATCATCATTAGAGAAAAAATCAGTGCTTGGTGTTGAAGCCAAGTTCTTGTTACTAGCATTGGCATTATTTGTATTGTGTTGCCAATTCAACAACAGGTTCGTTGTGTCTGTTCTATTAGCTTTATCAGGAGTGGAGTTGTTAAATGCTTTATATGTGCTCCTATCAACCAACTGTTTCAACTCTTCATTAATCTCAGCATCATCATCAATACCAGCATCACCATCACCTCCAACAGCTTCATCGGAATGAAGTTGTGTAGACAAGTAAGGAGAACTAGGCATGTTTACTAACAGCTTGTCATTGCGTGATTGTCTAGATGATGCTGATGATGATGATGATGTGTTTGGCCTTCTTTTGATGTTGACGCTAGGATTCTGGTCTACGGGAGTTTTGGAATTGGGACTGTTCTGGTCTCTAGGTGTTGGTTGCGAAAAGAAGTTCATCCAGTTGGTGTTGGCATCCTCATGAATGGACTGTAGCATGGCGTCAAACTCGGCAAATTCTTTTGCAGTAGCGGAAGAAGCAGCAGTGGTGGTGGTGGTGGTGGCGGCGTTCTTGTTGTTGATGGTGTTGATGGTTTGTGGAGGACAGTTTTCCTTATTTTCATCTTCATCATTGGCAATATTTATCACTCGAGTATTTAGTTTTGTTGCTTTTTTCGCGTCCAAGTCATCAACACCAATATTTATCACTCTTGTATTTGATTTGACAGCAATCATTGGAGGCGTTGCACCGGGCAACGGATCGATGTCGGTACTGGGTCCACCATAAACATTCAACTGGTTCATTAAGTCATTGTATTCGGGAGTCTGACCAGTTGGAGTTGGGTTCATGTGAAAATGATTATTCCCACTATGATATTTGTTTTGAATTACTTGATTGATAGTAGATGGTGTATGTGAAGGCGTTGGAAAGGTGGCAGGTGACGATGCCAAATTTTTCTTACTACTGGCTATAGTACTCAACGCCGATCTCGTCAAATGGTCGGCTTCCTCCTCCTCTTTTGAATTCCTCATTCTCAATTTTTGATTATATCTCTGCTGCTGATTATATTTCCGTACAACATGTTCCGGTCTCATGAATCCTTTATTCTTGTAGAATAGAAAGCATGCATTACAAAGTGGCCCATGCATGCCTTCGTAATGCTTCTTGTCAAATTCCGTAGCCCTTATCAATGCTGAAAAATGAGGTTTGTATTCCGTCTCAAAATATTTCCAAGCGATTGATGTTTGCGTGCGGCAGCACGAATTGATGCACACCAACCCGTGGTTTTCTGGAAGCTTTGAGCTCGATATTGTGTGGGTGCGTTTACTATCCAAATCTTCTGGAAGTTCCGGAGGCGTTTCTTTGTTCACAAAAGGTGGCTGCTGAGGCGTATAGGGCGATGTTGCATCATAGTCTTCATCGTCTTCATCTTCCTCCTCCTCCCCATCCTCCCCCTCCCCATCCTCCTCCTCTTCTTCTTCTTCTTCTTCAATATGTGTTTTTTGGTCTTCACCAGCCTTGTACTCTGGATCATCTGAAGAATAAGTTTCTTCGTTTATTGGAGATGAGGCCATCGTCGGGGTATTTACAAACATAGATCTGGTACGCACAGCGCGTTGAGGAAGTAGTTGTGAAGAAGTGAAAGAGCTCGACTTTGGTTGTGAGTGTGGTGGTTGCGAAACATTTGGATAGCGCTTCTGCCTTTTCTCGCCCTTGTCAAATACAACCTTGTCTCGATAGAACGATGCCAGCTTAAATCTGTTTTCCACATTTTCTCGATTATATCGCAAAGTGGGATTTCTATCCGCTTGTTGGATATCATGAATGTTTGCATATGAGGGTAGGGATAATGTCCTAGTTGCTTTCGCTGCCGGTATGAACGAAGAGACACTCAGCAGCAATGCATCGTAGGGTCTTTTGCGCTCAACTTGTAGTGTAGTGTGTGTTGTATGAAGGGGATGATGTCGACTTACCTGTTGCGGACGTGGCTGCCGCTGCTGTTGTGAAGAGTTGCGCATTGCTGCCATTGTTGTTGTTGTTGCTGCTGCTGTTGTTGTTGTTGCAGATGCCGTTGCAGATTGTGCCGCCTCGATTGTATGTAACTTTAGTCTAATTTCCAAGGTCAACGATGCCGAATTGCCCTTTTTGCCAAATAAAATATTCGCCGAAACGTTTTGACAAACACGGCCAGGTATTAGACATGACTCATTGCTGGATAAAAGTGATGAGAACACGCCATTGCTCACAAATGGTTCATCGGGTTGTTCAGTTATATCTTTATAGTAAACTGCGTAATCTTCGCTCTGGAGCTTGAAGTTTTCCAGATTCGTTTCAAGTAATTGTTGGATACAGTTTTTCAACTCAAAAGCACCCAAGGTGATCATACCGGGGGTTTCACCTAGCGAAGACTGGATAGGAACATCAACGGTCTGCACTGGATATAGCTGAGACGATCGTGATAAAAATGTAGTCAGATTGTTATTGAACGAATATAGTATCTTAATTTGCATCTGCTTATGAACCTCATTGCGGCTACTCATGGTATACAAAAGGGCAACCAATAAAACTTGTTCAGTTTAGTTGTTGAACACAGTTTTGGTTTACTGGTGCTTAAAAGGTCTGCTTCAAGGTCAAACTTTTTTTTCCCCCCTCTCACTCTCTCTCACAGTCTCTCTCACTCTCTCCTTTCAGTATAGAGCTCAGTTGTTGTGGATTGTGGAATTTGACTTGCTCAATCGTAAGAGATGTAATGTTTATATTTTCTTTTTTTCACTAAATTGATTTACTACTTGCTGAAGCAATGATGAGGAAAGAAAAGAAAAATTGAAAACGCTCCTTCCCTTTTTTTTTCTTCCCGCCCCAGCTGTGAATTCTCACCTACAAAACCTGGTACCCTTAGTAACTCTCCCCACGGCTTATGTGTCGTGTTTTTCCTCTAAACCTTGCCAGCTATTTAATTTGGTTTACGTGATTTAATCAAAACAACGCGCCGCGATGCGTGGATTCCTTTCATTTTCCTTTGTCTTGATTTTTTTGTTTCTTTTTTTTCACAGCTAAAATTTTACGAGTTCTCGTGTCGAGCCATCTCGCGCGAATGGCACAAACTAGTATTTTTGAACAAAAGTCTCAAGAGGGTTACTTTATGTGTTAGCGTCAAGAAATTACTCTGTATAATCCTGTGCTTACTAGGGTATTAGTGTCAAGATATTATTCAATGTGTATTAATCGCAGGATATTACACTCTATGGGTATGTATTTACAGCAACACTATCGAGCAACACTATCGAGCAACACTATCGAGCAGAGCGAGATAGTGTTGTAACAAGCTACTAAGTGATGACAGCTAGTGTGCTCCACTATCTCGCTTTGCTCGATATTGAAGCAACTTTTAGTAGACACTATCTCGCTCTGCTCGATAGTGACGATAGTGACGATAGTGACGACAGTGACGACAGTGACGACAGTGACGACAGTGACGACAGTGACGACAGTCTTCAGTCCATGCCAATGATTTGCTTAATCTGTTGTATATTCTTTTGAGCCATCTCTTTAGCATTGTCGCGACCTTTGTTACACACCTTATCGAGGTATGCCTTATCGTTCAACAACTCATCATACAATTGTCTCTTTTCTTTGAATTCATCAATGATCAAATTGGAAACATAATCCTTTAACGCCTTGTGGTCTTTCAACACTTGGAGACTGGCAACTGTCTCTTCAATCGACTTGTCGGTTAGACCCGACACAATACTGATTAAGTTCGATACACCTGGTCTCGAAACGGGATCAAAGTTCCAAGGTCCCTGGATGGAATCAGTCGTAGCTTTTCTCACTTTACGAAAAATCTCATCTGGCGTATCAGTAACGTACACACAACCAGCTTGAACAGGATCCGATTTCGACATCTTTTTCTCGGGGTTTTTCAAACTCAATATCTTCTTAGCTGGAGTTAATAGCGTTTTTGGTATAGGGAAGAAATCAACTTGGTAAAAACTATTGAATGCTCGTGCAATGTTACGGCATAATTCCAAGTGCTGTGTCTGATCGTCGCCTACCGGTACATGAGTAGACTTGTAAAGCAATACATCGGCCGCTTGCAAGACGGGATAGCAAAAAAGTCCTGCTTTAGTTGCTTCAATCACCGTGTCATCTAAAATAGTACTATTCTGTGATTGCTGTGCTTTCAGTTTCCACTGAGACATGCGGTTTAACTGGCCCATACTTGTCAAACACGTCAAGTACCAATTCAACTCCAGGTGTTCGGGGATAGCAGACTGAAAGTACAAAACACATTTCGAAATGTCTAGTCCACAAGATAGCAAGCTCGCAATAGCTTGATGTCGAAATTCTTTCAATTGAGAAGCAGGCTTCTGTACAGTAAATGCATGAAGATCTGCTATCCCAAAGATAAACTCACTATCGGGATTTGTATCAGATAATGTGCGCCAGCTTTTGACTGCACCAAGGTAATTTCCTAAATGGATACGTCCAGTCGGTTGAATCATGGAAAACACACGCGAGTGTGATGGAAGTGTCTCGTATACGCCTACTTGTTGTACACTGGGTACCTTTTGCGTGGTGGTGGTGGTGGTGGTGATATACCTCGCATTCCTAGTAATGGCCACAATTCTCCTCGAAAGCATACTTCTGCATAAAATCGGGCCGTATTTGTAAACGCTTTGAAGCTATTTTTTTCATTTTTTTTTTTTCATTTTATTTTTTTCTTTGATGTTGGTGATGGTTGGCTGGTTGGTTGATTGATTCTTGATAAAAAGTGAAAGCCATCCGCTTTTATTATGTCTATTAGATAAAACCGTAGTTCGTATACAAACTTTACATATTAACAAAACTCAACAATTAAACCTGTGCTCCACTATCGAGCAACACTATCGAGTAGAGCGAGATAGTGTTGTAACAAGCTACTGAATGTTGCTTCACTATCTCGCTCTGCTCGATAGTGTCCCACCTCCCCACCTCCCCAACTCGCCTTTTTCGTCTGCCAATCTTGTTATTATTTCACTACGAATTGCGATTGTTGAGACCTCAAGTTGCGTTGTTCATCTGCATAGCTACTGTTTGTAGCACCATTGGGATTATCCATTATGAATCCACCAACAACATTATTTGTCTGTATACCATTTTTCATTAGCCTTCTCTCCAACTTCAAACGCTGTAATTCTCTCCATCTATTTAATTTCGAGTATTCGTGTAACTTGAACCCAAAAACCCGAGGAACATAAGTATCTTTCAGATGCACCGGGATCATGTTTGGGAAATTTTGGAAAAACATAGCTGGGAATGATGTACCAAAGTATGCACCATCAATAACAGAATGACGTCCGGATTTTGGGTTGTACAAGTCCTCACATTTTGAGCAGTATAACTTCACGCTCGCCATTCGGGGCTGATCGTTTAAGCCTATTGGTAGTAGAGGGTTGAGCTGACAGTGTACTCTTGGACAATAACCGAAATCGCCATTTCTAAATTTTTCAAACATCTTGTTCAAACCTCGAGTTGTGAGGATGTACCTTGCATGGATCAAGCCGTATAGGATTCTCGCATTGTGTTCCAAAACCTCCCTATGTTCTTCGGGCTGTGAGTCAATATCAATAACATCGGTTATTATATCTATCAACGTGGGTAATTTTGTCACCTCCTGATTCAAGCCTGTCAAATTGAACCGATCGCGTATATATTCATCATCGATATCGCAAAAATACTCATTTCCCTTAATCCCTAAAAAGGAGTCTATCCAATACTCGGTGAAATCCGAACTAGAGTCGGTAACGTATTCATCGTTGGCCATCTTCTTTTCAGCAAGTACAAGCAACAAGCAACCAAACCTGTAAATCCTTGTAAATCTTTGTGGAAAAAGTAAAGAAATTATTCCTTACCCAAAGTATACCAGAGTGAATCCTTTCTGGACTCAATAAAGACAACCGATTTTGTAGTCGGTTTGATACCCTATAAGGTAAAAAAAAAAAAAAACCTCAATTGATAATCGAAAATTTCCGCTGGGATAGAATCGTGAGTTAATTAACAAATTTTTTCAACCAATCTTTTCTTTTTTTAGTAACACCATCAAGAAACACTCGAGAAACACTATCGAGAAACACTATCGAGCAGAGCGAGATAGTGTTGTAACAAGCTACTAAGTGTTCCTCTACTATCAAGCGACACCATCTCGCTCTACTCGATAGTGTTGTAACAAGCAAGTGAGTGTTGCTCCAATGTCGAGCAACACTATCGAGCAGAGCGAGATAGTGTTGTAACAAGCTACTAAGTGTTGCACTATCGAGCAACACCATCTCGCTCTACTCGATAGTGTTGTAACAAGCTAGTGAGTGTTGCACCACTATGTTGCTCTGCTCGATAGTGTCTACTGAGTGTTGCTCCACTAACTCACTCTGCTCGATAGTGGAACACACTGACTAGCTAAAGGATATAGTAATTCCATATATCGTACATTTTATAATGAGTGAGTCTCATTTGAGAGAATCAAGATTGATTTCTACCAGATGACTCTGTATTGGTAAGTAAATAACTCTAGCAAACCAAACAAAGATACATAATTCTAGCAAACCAAACAAAGATACATAACTCTAGCAAACCAAACAAAGGTTGCGTTTGTCTTGGTTTTTCTTAAAAAAAAAGAGCTTTTTGCGAATATCGGCGAGGCTTGTAGAGAGAGTCGTTGAGGGTGTTGTAAAAATGGGAGCTTACATTCTATAAGTTAACGGGATTTTAAAAGATTAGTCTGTGCTGTTGAGCGACACTATCGAGCAACAGTATCGAGCAACAGTATCGAGCAACAGTATCGAGCAACAGTATCGAGCAGAGCGAGATAGTGTTGTAATAAGCTACTGGGTGTTGCTCCACTATCCAGCAACACTATCGAGCAACAGTATCGACACTATCGAGCGACACTATCGAGCGACACTATCGACACTATCTCGTTCTTCTCAATAGTGGAGCAGCACCGACTAGCTACACTCTTTCATCTATCTACACTCTTTCTCTATCTACACTCTTTCTTTATCTACACTCAAAAGGGTTTGATTGCACCACTATCTCGCTTCATAGTGGTGCCAGTGGTCACCCCCTCTCCCCCATACACGCTTTTATACCCTTATTCAGACCCACTACCCTATGGCAGCTAGTGTGCTCTACTATCTCGCTCTGCTCGATAGTGCCGCTCGATAGTATCGCTCGATAGTGTCGCTCGATAAAAATCGAAAAGCACTTTACGTGTTGAGAAAAAAACTTGTAACCAAAACCCAATATATATATATATACTCAGAGACTATAAGCTGCTCATGAGAGGCTTCCCCCCTGCAGTAGATATATTGGTTTCAGGATGAGGTTTTTAGTTCTACCGCTGGTATTTCATGGTGGGGAGATACACTGCTTGGATATAAACAAAGATAACACTGGCCTCATTACTGGTGGAAAGGATCACTGTATAAGTATTTGGAACCTATTGGAATTGGTCGAAGTCGCTAAATTGAAAGCTACATCTTCAGAGATTGAGTTGAAACAAAAAGTCGAGGTCATTAAACCTATTCATCACATTAAATGCCACGACTCAACAGTCACGATGTTGCGATGGTTACCAAACACGATAAATAAATTCATATCGGGTTCTAGTCTGGGGCGTATCTACTATCATGATCTCAGAGACGACAACAATTCAATACACAAACAGATATACCCATTTAATGAAAGCACCGCTGCTCAATTGAAGCCTGTGGTTGATTTATCTGTCTCCAGAGACGGAAGATTAGTCGCTTGGAGCACATTGGATGAAAAGTTATACGTCTACGATGTAGAGCAAAACACGTTCCAGGAACTAAGCACGCCGTCTCTGGAGAAACCAGTAATACAAAGAAGTTTGGCATTTAATGGCGTTAGCAACTATCTTGTCTCCATTGGAGATGATACTCAAATAAATGTATTTCAATATGAATACGATTCAACATCATCATCAAAGCTATATAAATTTAGACTCATAAATAAAATCTCAAAGTTGTTTAGCAAAAACCCGTTGAATGTCAAGTATAAGAGAATCTCATGGTCCCCCGATGGAGAGTTGGTTTCGATTCCCACTGCAACAAAAAATCAAACATCATTGATCTCCTTATTATCCAGCTCCAAGAATTGGGCAACAAGAGCAAGCTTAGTCGGACACGATCTAACATGCGAAGTTGTTAAGTTTAATCCTCACTTGTACTCGGAACGAGAAAAGGAGATGAACAACATCTACAATATTATTGCCTCAGGTGGCTTGGACAGAACCGTAACAATTTGGAATACGTCTAAAACAGCCCCTATTATGATACTTCGCGATGTGGTTGATGCACAAATTTACGACTTGGTATGGACAACAACAAATAGCTTGTTGTTTTGCACATCAAGAGGTAATTTGGGAATATTGTCATTTGATGAAAATGAATTGGGATTCAAAGTCAGTAACAAAACATTGGAGAAACTCAGAACAATGCAGAGAGATTTGATCAAGCCAATGACTTATAGGTACGAATTTGAGCAGCCTAGTGGAAATAGGAAAACGTTAGCACCTATCGAATACACGGATCAAAAAGACGCCGTAAGTGCACTAGCTCAAGTAGAAAGTACTCCTGTTGAAAAGGAAACCACTGAACAAACCAATACCGAGAAGAAGTCTAGTGCAGTAAAGAAAGGCGAGGTTGAGCCCGAGGTTTTAACTGCTTCGGAACCATCCACAGAAACAATCATTACCACCACCACCGCCAGCACCACCGCCAGCACCATTACTCCCATCAATGAGCTGAAAAATCTTCTGCAATCACCACCATCACACCGCTTACAGGAAGGAAAAGCTGCAACAGAAACAAAACCTATCCAAGCTCTTCGTAATCAGAAAGTCACAACAAAGAACGGAAAGAGGCGAATCCAGCCAATGTTGATATCAGGCAACAGCTCCTCTACAGTTTCGGGGCTTCCCAAGTCATCATCGTCGACATTTTTGTCAATGCCATCAGAACTGATCCCAGCATCTGCCAATAATGCCAAGTCATTAATGGAGTTTAACAAGCCATCATACTCAGTAAGCGAGGAATTGAACAGGTCGAAAAGAGTGCGATCAGAGAATTTGTTGAATGGCAATAATGGATCACTTAAAAAACCAAAACGAGAAATGGAGCCTGTGAAATTCATAGGATCAGTTATCACCAATCCAAATACATCCTTTTCTAAGGTGCGTTTGGCAACTCCTAAAGTGAGATTTGGGTTTCAACTTAAAAGCCAAGATGATGATAGTAATTTTTATACTTTTGACGTTAAAAATGGATCAGGAAATGAAGCAAAACCTTCAAGAGTTACGTTCTTCAAAAAGGAGAAAGAAATATGGTGTGATTTTGTGCCCAAGTACATCCAGTTGGCAAGCGAAGGTCATAAATTTTGGGCAATAGCCACAATTGACGGTCAAATACTCACATATTCACGTGTATCAGGTAAAAGATTATTGCCAACCATTATATTAGGTTCCCCTATTCTGTTTTTGGAAAGCCACGGAAATTATTTGATGGCAGTTACAAGTATTGGAGAGTTGTATGTTTGGGATATGGTTAAAAAGAAAAACGAAGTTACTTGCTCGATAAGTGCATTGTTGGAATTGAGTTCCAAGTTCCTGGACGATGGTCTTTCTAGATCCGACAACATAACCATGTGTGCAATAACATCACGTGGTATTCCTCTTGTTACGCTATCAAATGGGTCTGGCTATTTGTATAATCAAGACTTGGAGGTCTGGCTAGTAATCACCGAATCGTGGTGGTTGTTTGGGTCGTATTACTGGGATAGTGTCGAGGACGGGAAAAAGACTCCACAAACTCTCAATATGTTTAACAGTGAAGAGTCGATAATTGAGCTTTTGGAGCATAAGACCAATGAAGAAATCTTGAGGAAAAGAAGGTCAGGAAGAGGTAAATACTTTAATAAGATTTCAAAAAATATGATTATGAAGGAAGGATTTGAAAGTTTGGAAAACACCATCTCGATAAGCCATTTGGAAAATAGAATTTTGTGTTGCGAGCTACTTGGCGAGAATAAGGATTTCCACAAGTTCTTTAAAACATATGTGCAAAGAATATGTGAGCTCGGATTCAAGGCTAAGCTTTATGAAGTCTGCGACGATTTACTAGGCCCAATTGACGACGACCAAGTGGGACAAATAAATGGCGCGAGCAGCAATTGGGACTCTAAAATATGCGGATTAGATAGAAGAGAACTTTTGAAAGAGGTGATAACTTTATGTTCGCAATTTAGAGATGCTCAAAGAGTGCTATACCATTTCGGCAAAAAGATCGGATTGATAGATGTTGATGTTAGTGTTGATGATCAATTATAGACTAGTCTTATAATTTATACACGTTCGAGTTGTTCCAATTTTTTGAGCCTAATAATCCCCTGACTTCGCCCTGCTCTCTATTTACAAGATCTTTCTGGCCAGCAACGTATTCGACAAAGCCATCAGGGCCACACACAATCGCCAAGGCAGCTGGCTTTTTGTTTTCCTTAGATGTCACAGCGGCTTGCTGTAATGCCGTTTCGTATCTCACACCACGCTCTTCAGCAGAGCGTATGCGTTTCAGAACCTTATCCAGTTTAGCGTTATTGTCTTGATTGTCTTCATTTTCACCTCCCTTTCCATCCATTACTTGTAGTCTCACCTTCAATGCTTCTTCTGATGTCATATTCGAAGTTACTTCTTCAAATCTTTTGGGAGAATAGTAGTTGGGTTCAGATGGCGATTCAATATCCTTTTCGTTTAGTATAGTTGTTGGTTGAGTGTCAAAGTGGTAGTAAATCTTGATTCTGTCCAATTTATCCAAAAATAAAAGAAATCTTTTCAAAATACCCAATTCTCCTGGCTTTTGGGCCGAGTAGTGCAAGTTTACATAACCCATGTAAGGGTTTTTGGAAAACAATACCTGAAGAATGGGCGCTATACCAGTTCCTGCGGCATAGAAGTTCAAATTATCGACATCCGGAATGTTGTGGTCTTTCTTAGTTGCTTCGATTAAATTGTCTGGTTCTACTTTTGATGCCAAGTCTTTAAATATTGGACGTTGGTGGAGTTTTTTCAAAGGGTGATATGGGAATTTGTACTCCACTTGTGGTCCTCGGATTTCCATTTCATCCCCAACATCGAGATCTGTTATGTAACGAGAAACTTCTCCTTGCTTGTACCTTTTCACGTAAAAACACATTGTTCCACATCTATCTAATTCGTCAACTGATGGGTCTAAAACTTTCAATAGCGGCTTTTTATCTCCAGATCTCGTATATTCAGATTTCAAGTAGTATAGTGGGAGCGGTGTGTATGACCTAACAACATTTATATCCGGTTGTTTAATTTCCACAGACCAGATTCTATCACCATCCCAAAACGACTTCTTGTCTGGATTTGTAGCAAAGCTGTATTTCCACTTGTCGTACTTTGGAGTTACCTCAATGATATAGTGGTCGTCATCAATCTTTTCCTTATGAGTGACAATAAATTTATGAAACTCATTCACATCTAGAAGTTCATTACTATCCTCGCCTTCTTCATTTTCATCAAGATACCACACTTTTACGGTATAAGCCGCCCACGCTGCAACAATTACTGTTAGGATTTTGGGTATGTACCTAGTCCACCTGGAGACTGTTTTCGGTTTATTGAAAAGATTAACAAAATCACTGTCCTCTTTGGGCAAGTCCGGATATTCAAAAGATAGCCGTTGATGCTGGAGCTTTGGTATATATGGCTTATTGCTCTTCTTCATTAGTTTTTCTATACCATTATTTTCCATCGGAGCCGGAGCCGACTTTGAAGTGGTATGTTTGATTTTAAACTCTTGCAGCAATCTGTTATCATCATCAGCATCGCTCTTTTTTGAAAGGCCTTGTGAGTCTTTTTCTTCTTGGGGATTTTCACCTTGGCTCTTTTGGGAATGAAGTCTTATTTGACCTCGTAGTAGACCTTGTAGAAAGCCTCGTCGTGAAAGTGGTTGGAATGACGTTGCTGTGGCTATCCTTGTTGAGAGCATCGGGTCAATGTGAAAAAGTGGAAATAGTGAAAAATAAGAAATAAGAAATGAGAGATGAGAGATGAGATGAAAAATGAAAAATAGCTGATAGATTTAAAATTGCAAAAAAAGTGGTGATCCAGACTTGACCTATTCAAGGATGGTGCATTTACTTCACTCAGTTAAAGCTCACAGTGATAAGGTATGGAGTGTAAGTGCACATCCAACATTACCGTTATTGGCAACTGCTTCTACAGATAAGTCAGTGAAGATTTATAAGCTTTCATTGACACAAAAATTCCCCCACATTGCTGACTTGGAAGATACACATCGCCGATCTGTACGATCGGTTTCGTTTAAGCCGCCAATGGGTGGCGTTGACTATAAACTGAATGTTTTAGATTTACCTGCTCTAGCCGCTGGTTCATTTGACTCTACGATATCGGTCTGGGGTATTGACGAGCCCGATGACGCATATGACATTGAGGAAATCATCAACAACCAAAAGGAAATACTTACAAACCCTTCCAATGAATGGAACTTGATGGCTATCATAGAAGGGCACGAAAACGAAATCAAGGCCGTTGACTGGAATTTTAGTGGACGGTATCTTGCCTCTTGTTCTCGAGATAAAACCGTTTGGATATGGGAGACAGATCCTGAGACATTAGAAGAATTTGAGTGCGTCTCGGTGTTGGCTGACCATCTGCAAGATGTAAAAAACGTCAGTTGGCATCCAACAATGAATCTTTTGGCGAGCTCTTCCTACGATGACACGATACGTATATACAAACAAGAATTCGATGACGATGAATGGGTTTGTGCGGGGGTCATGGACGCGCATGAAGGTACAGTTTGGTGCTCCAGGTTTGAGAACCCTAAAAGCCAAATGGCTAAAGAGGGTATAACCAGATTGGTATCTGCAAGTGATGATTTAACTGTGAGAGTTTGGTTTAGTAAAGACCAAGTTGAGCAGGTTGGAAATGGAGATGAATCGAGCTTACCGAGCTCGATAAGGCCAGATAATAATGAAATGGTATGGGAGCAAGAATGCATACTTCCCGCAGCCCATACTCACCCGATATACTCTGTGGCTTGGTCTGCAAGAACGGGGAAAATAGCATCAACAGGATCAGATGGGAAAATAGTGGTATACAAAGAAGAAAAAGAAAGGAAGGGGGAGCAAGAGGAGCAAGAGGAGGAGGAGAAGGAGGAGGAGGAGAAGGAGGAGGAGGAGAAGGAGGAGAAGGAGGAGGAGGAGAAGGAGGAGGAGCAAGAGGAGAAGGAGAAGGAGAAGGAAGAGAAGGAGGAGGAGGAGGAGAAGGGAAAATGGCGAATAGATAGCGTAGTAGAATCCGCTCACGGAGTGCATGAAGTAAATAGTATTATCTGGGCTGAGCTTGACCTGGGTGGAGAAGAAGTATTAATTTCAGCAGGAGACGATGGATACGTGAATATATGGCATGTTGATTAAAAACAACAACAACAACAACAACAAAAGCCAAAACAATCAAAATACTAGAATATTAGTTTAAGTAAAATTATAAAAGTCAGGATACCAAGGAGAATCATAAAATAGCAAAACAAAGTGCTATTTGATCGTTTTTGATACCTCTGGGCACTTGTCAACTCGTTTGAGGCTTGTTGAGCATTGGAACTGTAGCTGAAAATGTTATTTTCAATGCTGTCAATTTGAAACTGTTGTTCATTTATGATAGTAGACAAATTTGAAAAGATGTTATTTATTTCCTGAGTATCTTGTTGGATTTGGTGTATTTCCCTTTCTCTTTGTTCTATGAGTATTGTCTGCTGTTCTAGTTCCTCACTGTTTACGGGCTCATATGTAATCTGAACTTGCAGTTGCAGTTGCAGTTGCAGTTGCAGTTGCAGTTGCAGTTGCAGAGCCTGTTGTTCGCTTGAAGTATCCACTAGCCCTGGCAACTGCTCCGATTGCTTTGATTCAAAGCGTTTTTGGTAATTCTTGAACCTTGAAAGACTATCCCTAATCAACTTGATTTGGATTCCTTCCCTCTGCTTCAAGTAGCTAATAGTTTCAACGTCCTCATGATTATTTTCAACCGTTTTAATAGCATTATTTAGTTGCTTTACAAAATCATTTAGTTTCTTGTAGGATTCAGTTGCTCTCATAAAACTAGGGCTCAATGCTTCGGCTCTTTTAGAGTCATTAGGATCTTGTTCAAAATCAGCTAAATCCCGTTTAATATCTACTAGCAATGAAGTATTTATATGATGCAACTGATTTTCAACACTCTCTGAAAGTGATTCAAACTCGGGATAATCTTTATATCTATGAGAGCGGTTTGTTGCCACTCTCTCAAGATCATCATCAAATGGACTATTAAAAGACATTGCCTTGAAGTTAAAACTACTCACCTTTTTCTTTTTCCTTTCCTTTCTTTTCGTTTCGTTTCGTTTCGTTTCGTTTCCTTTCTGGGTAATGTAATGAATAAATTGCCCTTACATAATTTTTTCTTTTTTCCGTAACTTGGATAAGTTGATCCAATTTTATATGTAACAGATATGGCTCAGAGCAATATTATCCAAGATTATGAAGGTTTTAATGCCAAACCGAGGAAGCAAACAAGGTCACATAGACTGATATAATGTGTTTTTAACCCAATCTTTAAGATCATATAATGGGAGATGAAGAAATACTGCTTTATTTATACCCCATTAGTATTTGGTAGTAGTAGTAGTAGTAGTAGTAGGGCGGGTAAAGTGACAGAATTAATCCGGGTAGCAAAGTTTTATTCCTGGCGGGTTCCGTTTTTTTTTTCCGTTCTTTTTTTTTTTTTTTTTTGCAACAATTGTAAACCTCCTAATTAATCCGGTTTGATTAGCCGCTGACACAAGAGGAGCTTTCCAAAATGGGACTCAAAAGCAGCAGAAAGGGTCATGGATTAAAGGGAAAAAGTTTGGAAAATTTACACTGTCCAGAGCCGGATCCAGCTAAAGATCTCATTAGGGGAGGTAATACTGAGGAGTCTCTACAAAGGGGACTAGGAATGGACATCAAGACGTTTAATGTCACATTTGATGCAACTTCTCAGGAGTTGCAATTGATCCATGAATTTTCAAAAGCTACGTATAAAAAGATGGATGCCTTGTTTGCTAATGAGAGCAGTTGCTCTCCCATTATTTTGCCACAAGACTCAGTATCGATTTCTGTTGATTCTGATCATCTTGAATTTCAGCAAGAGGATGCTGGTGGTTGTAGAACAAAGCCAAGGAATTGGAGCATTGTTATAGTTTTGAGATCCGATACTAATGTTGGAATTGATGAAGCCTATAAAACTAGAAAGGAGGTTGGGCTTGTACCATGTTCAAACGAGCACGATACCAAAACTTATAAAGTGCTTTCTAAATCTATGAAAGAGAATATAGATCGAGACTACTACACAAAGACTGTGGTATCAACTCAAAAGGAAGATTCAAAAATACTTATTGGGCGTCGTCCAGATGGAAGGTTGCCAAATGTGACTGATGCTACCAGAAAATTGGCAGAGTTCTCTCTAGCAAACAAGGCAAACCAGCTTGATACTTGGGAAGAGTACTCAATCAGGGAGTTTATTCCCAATTCTTCATCGCTGCCAAAAAGGAAAAGAGCAATTAGTCAAAAGAAGAAGAAGAAAAGGATTTATCTGGAGTTATCTGATAGTGGGGGCAGACAAGCGTTACCCCCTAACTCGGAGCTACTTCAAATATTACACGATTACGAATTTGATACAAATTTCGAGTTTCAAAGCGGGAAAGAAACATGCCAAAATCAAAGTACCCATAGTCTCAAAGAACCCACAAAATCGAGTATAGAGAGTGGGCCCTCATATACCTCTCTGTCTTCAGATAGCGACGAGAGCAGTAGGATAAAATACACTGCTGAACAGTATGTAAATCCACATTTAGCAGATTTGATTCAAAACTATCAACCCTTCTTTCATGACTATCACGAAGAAAAGGGAACTGACAGAGTAAGCATTCTGGAAGAAAGTGAACGATTGTCTACTTACAATCCATTTGAAGTTGTATACTCCTCTCAATTTTAAAAAAAAGCAACAACAACAACAACAACTACAATAGCAACAACAACAACTACAATAGCAACAACAACAACTACAATAGCAACAACAACAACTACAATAGCAACAACAACAACTACAATAGCAACAACAACAACTACAATAGCAACAACAACAACTACGATAACAACTACAATAAATTGAAATGAAGCCTTATAGCTAGCTAAGTAGCCTCCTTATCAAAATCTTTTCTAACAAGAAATAATGTATTGTTTCAACTTCTATAAATATATATATATAGTGAAAAAAATAAAATAACAAAGGAACATAAACAAACTATTCTTTTCTTTGTTTATCTCCCCTCTAAGCTTCCGATTCAGCAATGAATTTTTCACAATCTAAAGCTGCCATACATCCAGTTCCTGCCGAAGTAATTGCTTGTCTGTAGACTTTATCTTGCACATCACCAGCAGCAAACACACCTTTGATTGAGGTTTCGGCGGTACCTGGTTTGGTCTTGATGTAACCAGTTTCGTCCATTTCAAGTTGTCCCTCAACAATCTTAGTTGCAGGAATGTGACCAATAGCATAGAACAAACCATTGACTTTCAACTCTGAATCTTCCTTGATTTTATTGTTGTGAACTTTCAATGCTTGTAATAGTTTGCCATCACCCAACGCTTCTTTTGCTTCAGTGTTCCACAAGATTTCCAACTTTTCATTATTTTTGGCTCTTTTCTGCATAATCGTTGATGCTCTCAACTGGTCTCTTCTAACCAACAAATAAACTTTTGATGCATATTTGGTCAAAAATAAGGCTTCTTCACAAGCAGAATCACCACCACCAACAACTGCTAAAGGTTTGTTTCTGAAAATTGGTACTGCACCGTCACAAACAGCACAGGCCGAGATACCCTGTTGCCAATAAGTGTCTTCCCCTGGCAAGTGCATTCTCTTGGCCGAAGCACCAGTAGCAAGAATGACGGCATCGGTAGTAATTGGCTCATCGTCTTCATTGAACTCGGTCCATAATTTAAAAGGTCTTGAAGAAAGATCACACTTGGAAATTGTTTCAGTTATAATGTCTGTACCAAATCTTATTGATTGTTGTCTCATTCGGTCCATTAAATCCGTGCCGCTAATACCTTCTGGGAATCCGGGGAAATTCTCAATTTCAGTGGTTGTGGTTAACTGACCACCAGCTGCAACACCGTTCGCCAACATCCCTTCATATAACGTGGGCTTAATCTCAGCTCTTGCCAAGTAGATAGCAGCCGTATGAGCGGCTGGACCTGATCCTATAATCGTAACCTTGTGATGAACCATTTTTTTTTATACCTATATCTAAACTTCTATCTGTATTTCTTACCCGTATCTGTATACAAATCTACCTTGATGAAATACTTTGCTTGTAAAAGACCTGGAAAATTATGGAAAATTATCGAGTTATTTATACAGGACTTTTTTTTCCTCACCTTCTAAAAGACCATTGGCTTTTCTTTTTTTTCTCTCTACTCGATAAACCGAGACAAATTTTTTAATCACTAATCATTCTGGTACTAATGGATAGCCTAGACCCTTTTTCTATTGGTAATAGAAAAACCAACTTATTAATTAGCCAATCACGTGATACACCATCGAACGACACTATCGTCACTATCGAGCAAAGCGAGATAGTGGAGCACACTAGCTGTCACCGACACTAGCTGCCACCAACAATGTCTGCCACCGACACCAGCTGTCATCAAAACTAGCTGCCACCGACACCAGCTGTCACCAAAACTAGCTGCCACCGACACTAGCTGTAACCGAAACTATCTCGCTCTGCTCGATAGCAACACCCAGTAGCTTGTTACAACACCATCTCGCTCTGCTCGATAGCAACACTCGGTAGCTTGTTACAACACTATCTCGCTCTGCTCCATAGCAACACCCAGTAGCTTGTTACAACACTATCTCACTCTGCTCGATAGTGTCGCTCAATAGTGTCGCTCAATAGTGTCGCTCGATAGTGTCGCTCGATAGTGTCGCTCGATAGTGTCGCTCGATAGTGTCGCTCGATAGTGTCGCTCGATAGTGTCGCTCGATAGTGNTGTCGCTCAATAGTGTCGCTCGATAGTGTCGCTCGATAGTGTCGCTCGATAGTGTTGATGCCTAGCTCAATACAAATTCCTTCGTTACAGGGCACTTTTGTATAACCGGATCCAACAACACTCTACTCAAGAACCACTGAAGTCCTCTTCGTCTTTCTTCTAGCCAGCTCTTACTCATTAGTAATCGCTCAAGACTCATCACGTCCTTAGATGGTGGCGTGGGAATATGTTGTGCTTCATTGTTTTCCTCGTAATATTTCTCAAGATCGTTATAAAACTGCAAGATCTCGCTAAATCTCTTATATAGGATAATTGATGAGAATTCATGGTCGTTTAATGTTATTTTGATTTGCCACACAAAATACTGTGACCCCCACTCACCTTTGATCAAATGATACTCGCCTACTAATACATCGGTTATATGACTCAAATGATCTTTTGTATGAGACTCCAAGGTTTCCCCATCATTGAGCTCTATTGGTATTGGCAAGATACTGTTCAATTGTGATCCGGACCTTTCTCGGGGCATTGCTCATATATCCATGTCACGTACACGCTTCGTATATCTCTTTGCTTTGTATACTCGTCCAAAGAATGCTGTCCCTACCTAAACCGCCGTCTCTATAAATGAGCTCTATACATATATTTATTTTTTTTTTCTTCTTCTTCTTCTTAATCTATTAATAGTCAGAACGAATAAGACATCTGTAAAGCATTCAAGAGTAAGCTTTTGGAGTTTGCAAGATGGATATTATCAAGACCAAATACTCTCCGTGGAAGAGATTTGTTCACAAATGGCAAGCAAGACGAAATATTCCGTTCAGGAGGAAATTCTTTATAGGCTATGATTTGTATGGCAATACATATTGGGAGTTCACTATAGATGGGAATTTGTCAAGGCTACGAAGAAAAATGGATCCCTATCGAAAGGAATTGTTTGAAGTTGACTACTTTAAGACTGTACCGCCACAGTGGTTACAATGGTTAAGAAGGACAAGAGAAGAAGCTCCTAGTTTGAATGAATTGGTTCAAGATCAGTTTCGACAACAAAGATTGCGAATATTGGCTAAACAAGCTGATGAGAAATGGAAAAATGAAAAATGGAGGTTGCAGCAGGAGGCAAATGCTAAATTGCAAAATGAATTAAATAGAATTGAGCTGGAGAATAAGGTAAGAGAAGAGGAGAAGGGAAAGGAGGAAGAGAAAAAGGAGGAGAAGGGAGCCATCTTAGACTCAAATCCATGGAAACAAGCGGATAAACTAAAGGATACAAATCCTATAGAATCAGCTACAATAAAACCCAGGTAAATTCATTCAGCCATTACACAGTTGTATATATGTATGTGTACATTTTTCATCTTTTTTCCATTTTTCAGTCTGCTACTACCTCCTCCTCCTCCTCCTCCTCCTCCTCCTCCTCATCAAGAGGGGTTGATCGGACGTTTCGCAGAGCAAAGGAGTAAAAAGATGCCATTTTTTGCTCAACTATAGCTATTAGTTTATCGCTATATTCTTCCAATGATACGTCTCTCGTGTTGTCGATTTCTGGAGATATTCGTTTTCTTAGTTTGTCCAATTTGTCAAGAATTGTAGATTTCTGCTCCAACAGAAGTTGATCAGCATGTTCAAGCATTTTGTTAAGCTGTGATACAAACCTATCGCAAGTATCGGTTATTGTAGGCGTTGACATCGATGTTTTTGGTTGAGATATAGGGAAAGAAGGAGAAGGAGATGAAGAAGAAGGTGGAGGTGGCGCGATCTTACTTCCTTGGCGAGCAATTCCAGTCATGTGTACAAATGGTCTTGATTTAGAAACGGCAGTGGCGGAGGCAGTGCTAGTGCTGGTATCTGGTAGGTTTTTAGGTGAAAATGCTCGACGAGACAGTGTTGTTGGTGATTTCAATGGAGAGTCTAATTTGGACAATACAAATGGAAGTGGTGCTTTTTCAATGGTTGATAATCCAGATCTTTTTGGTGAAACGGAACTAGGCCCAGACCCAGGCCCAGACCCAGGCCCAGAACAAGAACTAGAACCAGATACAGTTTTTGATCTCATTGGTGATGTTGGACGTGAATTTGTAGGCGATGATGTCGAGTTTGATGCAGCTACAGATTTGTTTCTCATATCAATCCTCCTTTGTGTAGCTGTTGTCAATCTTGTTGGAGATGAAGAAAAAGAAAAAGAAGAAGATACGGAGGTAGCAGATGCTTGATTTGTTGTGAATTTATTTATCTTCTCACTGGATTTATCTTTGGACAGAGAGCTTGATGGAGCCAACTGAGTAATTGATAAAACTTTTCGAGTGACTCTCGAGTAAGCAGGAAACTGCAAATCTTCTTCTTGATTGTTGATTGACGTGGCTGCTTTATCAAAAGGCGAAGCTCGTGAATAATCTTCTTTAAAAGATACTTTTGTGATTATCCAAGAAAACAAACAACCATCACTGCCAATTGATATCAACTCTGCTTCATCATTAATACCACCACCACCACCATCATCATCATCATCATCATCATCATCATCAACATCATCAACATCATCAACATCAACATCAACATCTTCAGTTCTAAGATATAACCCAAGAAGGGAATCCAGATGACCCCAAGTGACTCCAATTGGTTTCCCAGTTGAATAATTAAAGCACCGTATGGATTTGTCAGCAGACCAAGCGATTAACAAGTGACGGAATTTGACGAAGGAAGCAATTACTATACTCTCATTCAACTTCTCATTCATCAACTTTAAAGATCTCCTTAGTTCAAAGTTGTTATTGGCATTATCAAATATTAGCACCTGTCTGTCTACTGTGGAGACTACCAAATCATTATCAAATATTGCCATCGCAGTTGGAGTTGACCTTAATGTGATTATTTTAGTCTTTATCAATGCCAACTTGGGGTCACCTGAAAGCACGTGGATTGAAATCGACCTGTCGCTTGAACAAACATATAGTCTATTATCATGATATTTCACCTGAAGCAAATTTCCATTATGTGTTGGTACAGTTTGCCATAAATCCCATATCTTAGATTCTTCGTCTCGAACAAAGAGTTGGATCATCCTGTCTCTTGATATGCTGCATATTAAGTTTTTATCTTGAAATTGAAAAAAAATCACTTCATTTATGATTGTCACATGAGCCTGAGTTCGATATTTGATTTCGTATTCTGATGGATTGCCTTGAATTTCAACAATATATAAAGAACCGTACTTATCACCTAAAACAAATGTCAGTTCATCAATCTTTTCTATTGCTGTTAATGTGTTTGGAGTTATACCGTTGCTAGGTAGCTGAAAGTTAAGTAATGGTTTCAACTCAGAAGATTCTGGAAGAAACTTTTCAACTTTACCAAATTTTGAAAACACCAAGAATTCCTTAGTATGACTCTTTTTGAAGCCGGCTATATCACTTATGACGGCTCCAGCGAGTGGCGAGTCTTGTCTACCTTCCAGTTTGTTGTAAACCCTAATTGTTTCGTCTCCACTGAGACAAATAAGATGCGTTGAAGAAAAATCAACAATATCAACTAAAGCGCCATTTCTATTTGTTGATTCCTTAGGCGCAATCCCGAAAACGCCACTGTTGAATTGCAGATGCAACTTTGTTGGAAATTTACTACTACTACTACTGCTGCTGCTACTACTATTAGTCTGGACAAGACCATTACTCAATTGATTCAACTCACGCGTCTTTAGCTGATCAATGGGGATAGATTTCAACCCATCATCTGTTTCGCCTCCTAGCCAAACTACCCCTGATTCATGATCCACAGCAAGCGAGTCAAATTGAAGCAGTGGGCTTTCCAACGCTACTAGTTTGGGCGAGTTGAAATTGAGCTTGAGTAGTAGCAATTGGTTGGAATTTGCAATTATTAACATCTCATCTTCGTTTAAAATACTTGCTCCAACGAAATTGGAGTTCATCAAATTTCCCAAAGTGACATTCTTCCCCTTTAGCACTAGCGGCTTACCTGCGCCATTTTCAAAATTCCACAATTTAATAAATCTCAACCCAAGTGTAATTATAGTGTTTTCGTGCCATATCATTTTATGCACTATATTAGAACATCGATTGCTTGCTTGTAGTATAGCAGTATTCAAGCCCAATTTCCAAATATGAATACACCCATCGTTAACAAGCCCTAATGAACATAGGTACTTTGAATCAGGAGAAAATGATAAGCTATTTATTCCAAATGAATGCTCATATATCACAATTATTGGTCCACTGTGGGAATTTGGCGCTAATGAAAATAAAAGAACTCGTGGTTGATACCCGGTTTCGCCAACAGCTAATAGCTTTTTGTTTGGTGATATAGCAAGACAACTAACTGATCTAACTTTGTTTTTTAACTTCGATGGCGACGACGAGCTGTTCATCATAGATGTGGGAGTAGTTGCCAGTGAGTAACAATCATCGAAATCGGTGGGACTGCAAGAGTTACCATAAACTTCTTCGGGATCACTGTTAAGCAAGTATCCATAAGAATCCTTCAATAGCTCTTCTGGCTGTGCAAGAGCATCTTTCTTGATCATTTTCAAGTAGGCATCAGGAGCTGAAACTCTTGTTGCTCCTGATGATGATAATGATGATGATAACGGTTCACTTTTGTAACTAACATTTGCACAAAAAAACCGCTGGCTCACCACCAAATTGTTTGTTTTGTCAATTCTACTAACTACAATCCCTCCGCTTGCAGTATATGCAACTAGATTGCCCTGAACTGCAAGTTGTCGATGAGATCGAGCTGATGTACCTATAATGGTTTTAATCTTGAACACAAAATCATCTTCGTTATATATCGAAGGAAAAATATCGCCGTCAAAGCTTGATTTAAAATCTTTTACTTTACCGGAATTATCCCCTTCTCCACTCATCCCTTAGTCATTGACTCTAAGCCCTAGCGCTCTGCTCAATCTTGCGTTGAAGAGCTCTCGGATAAAGACCAAGTATCCCGTTTCCTTTATCTAAAGCGAGTTTCTTTTTGGTATCTCACAAAAAAAAAAAAAAAAAAAAAAAATAAATAAAATAAAAAAGGTAAACAAAAAAAGGTAAACAAAAAAAAAAAGAAAAAATTAATATGCTATGCAGCACTGTCACGTGACCTTCGAATCGTGGATTAAGCATTACATACCATGGATTTGTCTTCTTTATTAGTATATGTGATCCACTGCCTGGCTTGTTTTAGTGCGATAGTGACACTATCGAGCAGAGCGAGATAGTGGGGGCACACTAGCTGCCACCGACAGTATCCTCTCATTTTTATCTCAGGGTTAAAAGACCTGTTTATATACTCTCATTTTTATCTCAGGGTAAAAGACCTGTTAATATACTCTCATTCTTATCTCAGGGGTAGGGGCTTGAATACACACAAATCTGTTTATTTTGTGACCTATAACATCTCTTGGCCATACTAGCTGAACAATACTTAGTCATACCATTTTTTGCAAGCTTTTTCCTAAACAGATACGTCACTACTTGTTATACATAATAATTCTCTCAGCCCTCAAGAGAGGTGTAGTGTAATAGTAAAAAAAGCTCCATTTGTTCAAAGAAGTACAACAAGTCTCTATAAAATCTTATTTAGAAACTTTGCAATACGAACAATGCCAAAAAATTCCTCACAATCTACCAGTTGCAACTTCAACTGCAAATCCCCTTCAAGTTTAGCAGCAATAACGTTTTCAAAAAACAAGGAGGCAACGTGAACACCCCATGGTTCAATAGCAACATCAACGTAAGCACCATTATTAGTATTCTGATACTCGTGAATTTCCAGCTGAAAGATCCCCTTGGATTTTTCAGCTGGCTTTATTAACGGACATTTCAAAGCAAATTTACACCATTCTAGGATATCGTCTACAAAGACTTCATTCTCTCCCAAAATGACAAATACTGAGTATCCCGAATCATTTAATGATGGAATATCTTCCCAGTCCTTATATTTGTAAGGCAAGTTCCCTGGCGATACTAACATATTTGACGCACTTAAATCGCCCAATAGAGCCTTTCTGCGTCTCATGTCGTTATGAGGACGGTATGGTACCATATCGATATTGCGATTGTCAAAGATAGCCCAGCCACTTTGAAACTGGTGTGGGTCAGCAAATATCTTGACCCAGGGCGAAATGAGTACAAGTGACTTTGGCCATGGAATCAGCTTATTGTTCAATTGTTTGAGATATTGAAGAAAAGTGATTGCTAGATTGCCTCCGGCCGAGTCGCCCATCAAAATGATGTTCTTGTTACCATCTTGAACTGCCAATTTTTGGTAAACCTCTGCTAGTTGGTATAATTGTGTAGTAACGGTATGGCCCCTGCATGCCAATTTATAATCCAAATGCAAAATAGACAACTTATCTCTCTTTTCAGCCTCAAGCAAATGGAAAATACTTAAAACTGATTCAATCTGGGGCGCTCTAGTCTCGTGCACGTATCCACCACCGTGCAAATATATGACTATGGGATCATTTTTTTCTTTAGTTCTATTGGGAGCTTCGACTAACCAGATACTCTGCTTATCATATTTTTTTCCATAATTGTTTAAATTGGTTAAGTTAGGGTACAACTTTTTGACACCGTTGATTACCTGTTCCGAAGAGGATCTCGATAAAACAACTGCATCCTTAACGGGAACCGAAAGGGAAGTTCTATATATTACCAACTTTATAGTATTTACAAAGCTGTTTCTATATTTTCCGTCATACCCACCAACAAAGGGATATGCAAGTGCAACAAACACAAGTTTAAAAGGAAGTCCTACCAATTTAAGTATTCCTTTCAATGAAATCATCCTGGAAAAAAGAGAATCACTGTGTTTATATCAAAATTACAAGGAAGCATTCCATATTACACGCAAATATACACACACATATATATGTTATATATACACATAGGTGTACACATACCTATAAAATAGTTGTTTGAGATTGTGGAGATTGAAAAAAAAAAAGAATGAAAAAATAATTTTCTGGGGAAACTGAAGAAAAATTCACCAATTTTTTTTTAATCACAGATCCGAATCTGGTTACTCCCGCTAAAGTTTGCAAGATCATTCCTGATGAGTTAGGAGAGGACGCGGTATGGAAAAAACTGTTGGTTCCATGAAAAACGCCAAAGTTATTCAATAAGGAAGTTTTGTAATTTTCTGCCCACTATTGAGCAGAGCGAGTAAGTGGAGCAACTGCTTTTTTATTATTAACCTCTGTTTACACATCTTATAAAATCTTGTTTAAAAACTTAACAATACGAACGATTCCAAAAAACTCTTCTGCATCTAAATTCTCGAATTTCAAATTTGGATTCTGCTTTACTCTTTTTGCAATTTCGTTTTCAAAAAACAAAGCTGAATCATGAACACCCCATGGCTCAATAATCACGTCGACATAAGCGCCATTTAATCTGTCACCATCATTCTTGTATTCATGAATCTTGACATCAATCGAGCCATCTGATTCTTTTTCTTGCTTGAGTAAAGGTGACTTCAATGCATACTGGCACCATTCTAAGATATCATCCCTAAACACTTCATGCTCTCCAACAATCACAAAAACAGAGTATCCCGAATCATTTAATGATGGAATGTCTTCCCAGTCACTATGTTTGTAGGGTAAGTTTCCTGGTGATATCAACATGTCCCTATGATCCAAATGGCCAACTATAGCCTTTTGACGAGGTTCTTCCAAGAAATAGTGGTGTTGGATCATATCGTAATTGCTGTTATCAAAGTAGGACCATCCTTTTGTGGAGAATTGATGAACATCAGGAAACAATTTGACCCAAGGCGAAATGAGCACAAGTGTTTTTGGCCATATAGTATTTTTATTTTGCAATTGCTTCAAATACTGGAGAAATGTTACTGCCAAATGACCACCAGCAGAATCACCCATAAAAATGATATTTGTATTTCCATCTTCTACAGTTAATTTCTCATAAGTTTTTGCTAGTTGGTATAGTTGTGTTGTAACGATATGACCTCTACAAGCTAACTTATAGTCAAAGTGCAATATAGACAAAGTTTTCTTCTTTTCTGGTTCAAGAAAATGGTATATTCCCAATAATGACTCCAATTGCTGAGGCATTGTTTCGAGATAATAGCCTCCACCGTGTAAATACAAGAGTATCGGGTCATCTTTACTCCTGTTTTGTGCTTCAACTAGCCAAAAGCTTTGATCGTCATAATTTTGACCATACTTGTTTAAAGGTTTGGTTAAGCTAGGGTATAACAATTTGATCAACTTATTGATAAGGAAATGATTTGACAAGATTGATAAAAGAGCTGCGTCTTTAACTGGGGTCGATAACGCCGTTTTATACAATTGAAGTTTCAACGAGTTTTTCAAATCATTCTTGAACTTTTTATTGACACCTCCAACAAAGGGGTATTTGAGCAATACTAATAAAAGCTTAAAGGGGATACTCAAAAGAATAAACAATCCTCTTAACGAGATCATATTCTGACAATTACCAATGAAAATAGCTCTAGGAGATTACCAATGAAAATAGCTCTAGGAGATTACCAATGAAAATAGCTCTAGGAGATTACCAATGGGCTTATAGCTATATAAGATTAATATTCAAGTGATGTGGAAATTATCGTGCATTTTATATTTTCCATATCCGGAAATGCGGAGAAAGCCTCAGAGGGGCAGTTAAAGTTTGATTTTATTTTTCCATGAGCAATGCTGTTTTCGAGTTGTGGTGGTTTAGGTGGAGATGAAGATAGTTGTTAGGATGACTGATTAGTTTTGCTACGAACAGAGTGTTGATTTATAAAGTTTGTTTTTGCAGAGAGGGCCAGCCTATGAAATTGGTTGTTGTTGAATAGACCCTTTGGTGATCAACTCGTTTTCCTGTGAAAAATTAAACCACAAAGGTAGATATTGACTATCGAGCAGAGCGAGATAGTCAATAGCTTTGCTCAATAGTACATAGCTTTGCTCAATAGTATATAGCTTTGCTCGATATATATAGCTTTGCTCGATAGTATATAGCTTTGCTCGTTATATATAGCTTTGTTCGTTATATATAGCTTTGCTCGTTAGTCTATAGAGAGAGTAGAGTAGTGTTGTCTTCTGGAAATGTCGGAAAATGTCGGTAGCAGCTAGTCAGTGTGCGACACTATCTCGCTCTGCTCGATAGTGTCCCGCTCGATAGTGTCACGCTCGATTTATTTTTGACAAAGAGGTGTAATCAAGGATAGAAATAGAGGATAAGGACAAGGCAGCGATATGCAAAGAGAAGCAAAGAGAAGCAAAGGAAAGCGTTGTATATTGAGATTTAATGGATATGAAGATGCGCCGATCATAAAACCATGCCGCACAAGTTTCTTTTCAGCGACATACATCTTTTTGCATATGCTACCATATGTCTATACAGTTTATATCTTGAGTAAAGATCTCAACAAGGGGGACCCTTTATAAGTTGAGGGAAGCTGTGGGAAAGAGGCTGATGAGAAAGACCATTTGGGATGACTCTCTATAGTTCTACTCTACCACTTACACTCTACCACTTACACTCTACTCATTACACTCTACTCATTACACTCTACCACTTACACTCTACTCATTACATTCTACTCATTACACTCTACTCACGGAAAAGTTGATTTTTGGTAGGAGCTAGTGTGCTCCAATATCTCGCTCTGCTCGATAGTGGCAAGAAGTAGTATGCTCCACTATCTCGCTTCGCTCGATAGTGTCGCTCGATCTCGCAAAATTAATAACAAGGTGTTTTATTCGTCAAACATTACGTCATAATAGAAAAAGAACAAGAAGGTTGCATATTTGATCTTTAAAAAAGTGCGCCAGCAATACTTTAAGCCTGCATTTTGATTAAATTTGATGCAAAAATTAAGCAAAAAAAAAGAGAGGAACATAAAAGGAGAAGATAAAAGGAGGAATAGATAGGGATAGATAAAATGAGTGGAATAGAGACTAAAAGGTAGTATAATGAAAATGAGTGCTGCTCTACTATCTCGCTCCGCTCGATAGTGTTTTGCACATGGTATACTGAAACGGACTGGAGTAATAAAGGTTATAATTTTTAGCCACAGATAACTAAAAAAAAAATGCAGCTAAATGACGAGGTTTTTTTCGTACCTTAACAAGTTGCTTATTTGGATCGAAAAAGAAGTTATTTATTATGGTGAGATAAATCCATTATGGTGAGACAAATTCATTATGGTAAGATAAATCAATTAAGGAAATAAATCCATTATGGAGATAAATCCATTATGGTGAGATGTCAATCCAGCATAGTATCATAAATCTCATTATGATATGACAAATCCATTACTGTTTGCTCATCACAAATAAGAAATTATGCAAATTGAAGCAAACAAACGGAGTTTTTTTTTTTTTCCTTCTTTCTTTATTGTGGCATAAATCAAAAGTAAATAGCGAAACAATCAATCACTCAAGTCATACAAATTTTTTCTCAACAAATGTGAAACAACACACTATAGTATAAAATAGTGAGAGATTAAAAAAGGATGAAAAGAGTTTATTAATGAGAGTTTAGTATGAGAGTTTACTATAAGAGTTTACTATAAGATTTTAGTAATAGATTTAGTAGAATTTAGATGAGTGTTGCTCCATTATCTCGCTTGGCTCGATAGTGTACAGTGTAACTCCACCTTTTACTCAATTTTACTCTTTATCCTATTTTTTTATAATGATACCATATCCCCTAGAGAACCCCATTCTTGTCAAACAAGCTTTATAAATAATTCCAAATAAAATCTTCTACACCTGCCCCAAAATAGCAACCATACCACAATTATTTCCAATTATTTGATTTAAATTGCAACTTGGTAGTAAAAAAAACCTAATAACACACGGATTTTGATTGACACCTTGCACTACCCACGTCAAAAGGAATAAAAAAAAGTCTATTTTCTTTTGTGCACATTACACTACTAATGCAATGAGTCTGCACAATCAGCATTACAAGGAACAGCAGCAGCAGCAGCAGCAGCAGCTGGCATTTAAATAACAGCAATAGTAACAGCAGTAGCAGGAACAGCCGAATTAGTAGTGAAATATAAATACCGTTTAAATTGCCCACTCTAATATAATTTTTTCCCCTCTCTCTAATTAAGCTGTTTATTAGTAGCTGAGCCATATATCCTAGCTGTGCCATACATTCTAGAGCATACATTCTAGAGCATACATTCTAGAGCATACATTCTAGAGCATACATTCTAGAGCATACATTCTAGAGCATACATTCTAGAGCATACATTCTAGAGCATAGATCCTAGCTGAGCATTTCTAGCTGAGTATACATCCTAGCTGAGCATTTCTAGCTGAGCATTTCTAGCTGAGCATTTCTAGCTGAGCATTTCTTGAGCATTTCTAGCTGAGAGCATATTATTCAATTCCACAATTTATTTTATTGTGCTTGCTTCCCCCACACATTGATTTTATTTTTTCCTTTGGTAGATAGATGAGTAAGCCAGGTAATGATGTTGTTGTTCAGGAAGATGGTGGTGCTCAATTTCAGTCGTATTTGAATAATGATGGTATAGACGAGTTAACGCCCCAAACTAGAAAACATAGAGTCTCATCGCTTTCCCTATCCGACTTGAACCAATGGCAAAATGGGTTAACCAAATTGAGTAACTCATCGACGGCGCTAAATGGTAGTAACAGCGATCTCAAGAGTTCATCTTCGGCTAATTTGAAAAAAGTTGATTCATTAGCTAAATTATCAAGGAATTCCTCAATTATCAAGAGAAAGAAGAAGAAAATCATTGACCACGAAAGAGTCGCTTCCTATGCCTTTTGTTTCGATATCGATGGCGTCATTTTGAGAGGCCCCGATACTATTCCACAAGCAATTGAAGCAATAAAGATGTTAAATGGTGATAATAAATACCATATTAAAGTCCCTTCAATCTACGTTACCAATGGCGGCGGTAAACCTGAAAAACAGCGTGCCGACGATTTGAGTAAAAGGTTACATACAACTATTACCGAAGAGCAGATCATCCAGGGACACACACCAATGAAGGATTTGGTTGGCGTATACAATAACGTCTTGGTTGTTGGTGGTGTGGGTAACGTTTGCCGTAATGTTGCTAAATCATATGGATTCAAAAATGTATATACTCCATTGGATATCATGAAATGGAATCCTGCTGTTTCTCCGTATCATGATTTGACCGAGGAGGAAAAAACTTGCACTTTAGATGTCGATTTCAGCAAGATTCCAATTGACGCAATAATGGTTTTTGCAGATTCAAGAAACTGGGCTGCAGATCAACAAATCATTTTGGAATTATTATTATCGAAAAATGGTGTTATGGGCACATTATCAAAAACCTTTGATGAAGGGCCTCAAATCTATTTTGCCCATTCTGATTTTATTTGGGCTACAAATTATAAGCTATCTCGTTATGGTATGGGAGCTTTACAAGTTTCCATAGCTGCTTTATATAAAGAACATACTGGGAAGGAGTTGAAAGTTAATAGATTTGGTAAACCACAGCAGGGTACCTTCAAATTTGCTAATAAAGTTTTGAGCCGTTGGAGAAAAGGTGTTTTGGACGAACACTTGAAGAAGTTGAGTATAAATGATCCAGACGCAAAAGATGCCGATATATTGATAAACGATGATGGCGAAGAGATAATCAACCAATCTAAATTGGAATCGTACTCGTATTCAGATAGTGAAGAAGAAGAAGAAGAAGAAGAAGAAGAAGAAGAAGAAAAAGAAAAAGAAAAGAGTAAAGAATTGGCAGTTGGTGGTAAGAAATCATCAACTCTGAAGATTGATAAAATTGGTGAGGTTGGTAAACCAGATAAGATTACTTTACAATTACCACCTGCTTCAACTGTGTATTTTGTTGGTGATACACCAGAGTCAGATATCAGGTTTGCCAACTCTCATGATGCTTCGTGGTATTCAATTTTGGTTAAAACCGGTGTCTACCAAGATGGTACTGAGCCAAAGTATAAACCAAAGCACTTGTGTAACGACGTTTTAGAAGCTGTTAAATTTGCTATAGAAAGGGAACATCAAAAGGAATTGGCTGAATGGAATGAAACTGCTGATGATGAAGATGAAGATAAAGGATCAAGGTTGAATTTTGTTGATTTGGTGATGACACCAAGTGATAAGAAGAAGAAGGAGGAAGAGGACAAGGAAAGGGAGAAAGAAAAGGAAAAGGAAAAGGAAAAGGAAAAGGAAAAGGAAAAAGAGAAGGAGATTGCTAAAGAAGCAGAGAAAAAGGAGGAGCTTGCAAAAACACAAGAAACATCATCAGCAGCAGCATCAACAGCATCATCAACAGCAGCAGCAGCAGCACCTGAATCTGTTGAAATTCCAGATAATTTAACTGAATTAATTGATAAAGTTAAAGATGTTGGTAAATAGAGAAAAAGAATTAATCAAGTATTAATGTACAAAGAATTGTAAACGTGTAAATCATTCTCATTTCGTGGCGATGTTCAGTAGAGTTATCCATTAAAGATACACCGGTCCCTGTAACACCAATTTCTATCAAACCCAAGTGAAGAACAAAGAGACATCCCCTATTGCTATCTGCTTTTTCTATATATATATATATATTTACCTTGGATCTTGTTTAATTTTTGACAAAATGACCCAATACCATGGAGGCAACAATAAGATCACCAAAAATTCCCGAATTATATCAAATTTCTTTATACCATATTTTCTCAAAGTTTGGTTGCGCAATCGCCTACCTGTTTCATTATCATCATAATGAAAACCACCCAAAATGAATTCCCTACAACACCACCAAAAATGACCTAACCCATAACTTACGAAATAAAACCAAAATAACGGATGATGAAACAATTGGCTTATTTTTTTGAAAATCGAAAAAGCGTCATTGTTGGAACTGCCTCTTGAGTTTGGAAATCCATTATTACTGTCATTTAAACGAGCGTGCAGTAGAAAAGTTATCAATACGCTGAAATAAGGATAATAGACATTATTGAACTGGAAAAAGCCAAAGAAGTTAATTGGCTCGTTAGGCGACATCTTTGAATCCATATAAACAAAAGATTGACATAATACAGCACCTAGTTCCAATAGGGTAATTTCCATCTTGTAGTGGAGCCACGTAGCAACAAACAAAATTGACAATGATACTTGTATAAAAAAGTAAAAAAAATCCAAATGTTTGTTTCTTGATATGAAGTCGTTTAATACAGCTTGCTGTCGTGTAGTTAAAGAATCACATATACCAAGAGGCATTTGTGAAAACCTAGTGTGAAACTCATTTTCAATCTTGCGGCACGACGAAGAAATGAGCCATAGCATGAAAACCAAATCAAAAGATAGCTCTCCAAATGTGCAAAAAGTGGTAACTAGCCTCCAATTCTGGCTTGTCCAAGCCTTATCGGGGAAAAATAAAAGATTTATCGGCTTGACTTTATGCGTCGTTATAAGTATCGAGGTGGTGATCGTGGCTATAGTCCAACCTTTGGTTACCGGCGGAAGATTGGCAAATATCGCATCCATTATAAAGACTCAAAATAAATAAACAAACAAAAAGAAAAAGAAACACCTTCTTCAAAGCAACCTGCCCCCTTATACCTTATACCTCTTTTAACCCAAGAGGAAAAGAAACAACACCCCATTGCAATTAAAAGTACAAAGCTTCACCTTAAATGCCATTGTTTTTGAAAAAAAAACAAAATCTTTTTTCTCTCACGTGAGAATCACGTGGGCTCACGGGAAATTGCCTATTTGGGGATTTTCCACTTTTCTGCCGAAGTTAGACGAACTGGGAAGAGATAGCACTAACACTAAGAAGAGGTAGTACTAGCACTGAGAAGAGGTGGTACTAGCACTGAGAAGAGGTAGTACTGAGAAGAGGTAGCACTAACACTGGGAAGAGGTAGTACTGGGAAGAGATAGCACTGGGAAGAGGTAGTACTAACATTGGGAAGAGATAGCACTGGGAAGAGGTAGTACTAGCACTGAGAAGAGGTAGTACTGGGAAGAGGTAGAGATAATTAGAGAGTCTAGAGTAGTGAGAGTTTGAGAGAAATGGCTTCTCCTTCTCTACGTTTATCGATGCCGTTGCTGGGGTCAGGCGAGTACTTGCCCGCTTATGAATATACTTCCATTATAGACAATGTACTGAACCCCCATTTCCTGCATGAGAAGTTAGCTTATGAAGATGATACCATAAGAGAGGAAGTGATAGCTCCGTACAAGTATATTCGGCAGCTAGCTAGTAATAACAAGAATGTTCGAACAAAGTTCATACATGTACTTGACCAAGTGATTTTCAAGATTAATGATGAAACGGTTCTTTCAAAAATGGGCGAGATTATTGAGCAGTTGCATAACGCCTCGCTTTTGATTGATGATATTGAAGACGAGTCATTGTTTCGCCGTGGCAAACCAGCAGCTCACATAGAATTTGGCACTCCGCTAACTATAAACTGCGGTAACCTTGTTTATTTCGAAGCCTTTGACAATGCTTACAAGTTGTGGCGGGAGAAAAACGGCAATAGTGAAAAGCTCGTTGAGCTCTTTGCCATCTTTACTCAAGAGATGAAAAACCTTCACAAGGGACAAGGGGATGACATATATTGGAGAGACAATTTGACTCTGCTATCTGAATTGCCAAGTATGATGGAGTACTTCCAAATGGCAAAGAATAAGACCGGTGGGCTATTTCGATTATCTATAAAGTTGATGGCACTTTTCTCGCCAGTGGAGTTTGAGAAAAATTTCAATTCCGGCTCTAACATGCAATCGTCGTCGTCGTTGTTGCCGCCTCTGCATCTGCCCCTCAAGAAAACCAAGAAAATGGATGATTTAATAACCGTGGCAAATTGTTTGGGCATAATGTATCAAGTACGAGATGATTATTTGAATTTAGTTGATTCCAGGTATTCCCATATGAAAGGAGTTACCGGAGAAGATCTTTTTGAAGGAAAACTCTCTTTTCCAATACTCATATGCTTAAAACGATATTGGCAAGAAAAACGAGCTAATCTGCAATTGCCCAATTCGTTTTCGTGCTTGGTTGAATTCTTGTACAATCATAGATCGCAACAAGAGAGAATGGAGAGAAAGGATTTACATGAGAAAGCTATGAAGGAGATTATAGAATCCAACGTTTCAAGCGAAACTTTTCATTGTTTAATGGCATTAAAGGAGAGAATAACTTCTTTTTCACTGTCGATATCTGATACAGACCCGAAACCGTTACTTGATTTGGTAACTCAATTGTGCGATATCTTCTAATGAAAAGAAGAAAAATAAAGAAGAATACAGGACATTGAAACGTTAAACTATTGTAGCTTGTTTCCTTGCATCATCATCATCATCATCTCGTAGATTGCAGTCCAAAAAAAAAAAGAAAAGAAAAAAAAAACAAAGAAGAGAGAAATGGAACAAATGTAAATTTTTCACAATCAGTATTTAATAAACTAGCTTCTTTCTTTTCTCAAACAATGCTATATTTAGTAGGTCTTGGACTCTCTCATGAGTCAGATATAACAGTACGAGGACTTGAGACGGTAAAGAAATGTTCACGGGTTTATCTCGAGGCATACACGTCGATTTTGATGGCAGCGAACAAAGAGACTTTGGAATCGTATTATGGAAGAGAAGTGATATTAGCAGATAGAGAATTGGTTGAAACAGGTAGTGACGAAATACTACATAATGCTGCAGATGAAGACGTTGCTTTCTTAGTAGTTGGTGACCCATTTGGTGCTACGACGCATACCGATTTAGTTCTTAGAGCTAGGGAATTGAATATACCAGTAGAAATCATCCATAATGCCCTGGTGATGAATGCAGTTGGCGCCTGTGGATTGCAACTATACCAATTCGGACAGACTATATCGCTAGTATTCTTTACCGACTCTTGGAAACCTGATTCTTTTTATAATAAAATTATGGAAAATCGAAAAATTGGATTGCATACATTGATTCTTTTAGATATCAAAGTTAAGGAACAAAGTATTGAAAATATGGCAAGAGGGAGATTGATTTATGAGCCTCCTAGGTACATGGATATTGCAACCGCTTGTTCGCAGTTACTTGAAATTGAAGAAAGGAGACAAGAGCAAGCATATACCGAAAACACGCCCTGTGTTGCCGTGTCGAGATTAGGTTCGCCGTCACAAAAATTTAAAGCGGGTACCTTGAGAGAATTGAGTGAATATGATTCCGGTGAACCACTACACACATTAGTCATGTTAGGTAGACAAGTGCATGATCTTGAGTTGGAGTACTTGTATCAATTCGTTGATGACAAGGAGAAATTTAAAAAGTTTGTGGAAGAAGATCAAAAGCATTTTGCACCTCCAGTATACGTACCGCCAGAAGAGAACTTAAGCGATTGAGATTACCCTTATATAGATGTGTAAGTTTAATACATATTTAAATAAATTAAATTAGTGTGTGTGTGTGTGGGGGGAGGAGTCTACTCCTTTTTCTTTCTATCCTCTTCTTGTATATCGTTCCATACATTTTCATTCACGTCCCATATCAACCAATCGTACCATCCCATATAGACTGGTACTATAGTCACCAAATGCCATAAACCATGGGCGTCAACCAAATCTTTACAAATTGGAGGAAAGTCAATAATTTCCAATGTCATGCCCACAAGTACAATAGTGCACAACATTGCTGGATACAATGTGTATAATTTGGCACTTCTTGAATAGAAACTAGGCAATATCATCCTTTTGAAATCGATATAATACAAATGATTCAAGTTTATAGAATGCCCATCACTTTGCTCCATATTATAGTACTTGCTGTATAACTTATAAACAACAAGACAGTAAAAGAGATTTTGGCAAAATCCAATAAATATGTTTGCTCTCATATTGTAAGTATATGACCAATCACGGTATAGTCTTTGTACGTGATAAGCATATGCTGCTAGACATAATGTCGAAAAGAACCAACGCCAAAAAGCTTTATCTCGTCGATATAATTCAAACAATCTTGCTCCCAATGCATGGAATCCCGAAAGAATCGTTGCCCCTGCTAAATAGTAATCCAAATGCTCCGTTACTGGGAAATCCCGAGTATGAAATACAGCAGATGCTATCCAAGCTGACATCGTGACTAAAGTTATGATAAAGATGTTAACATGTTGTTGTTTTTGTCCATAAGGTAAGTTTTTATTCCTCAATATTGCCAAAATTTTTTTGAACCCATATTGGAAAGTAACGTAGAAATTGCCAATTGACATAATAACACTGAATAATTCTTGAATGCCAAAAACTCTCTTGAACGGCCATTTACCATGGAATTGAAAAATCTCCTCGTTGTTCTTCCTTCTTTCGTAAGTGATGATTCTTTGGCACTGGTAATCACAATTCAGCTCACATGTCCAGCCAAGTAATCTCAAATATAAAGGCAAGGGTATCGCATCGAAATGCCAGGTGGGATTATAATAATTCAACTCTATTCCTTGCTCTTGCAATTCTTGACCATACTCCTCTTGGATAATATAGTAAGGGTTCTTGTTACACGTTATTTGTTCACATTGGTATAAACAGTCCAGAAATGCATATAAGTCGTCACCTGGAGATGCAAATACTTGATAGCCGGATAATAAAAATGTCACCGCTAGTAGAAATGTAAGTAACATCGTGGGGAAAAAAAGAGAGAATTGTAACAAACGCCAATCTTAAACTGGGACATTTAAAAGCTATTATGCAATTGTCCGTCTGTCCTATATATGCTTTTAAAGGAAAATAGCCTTCCTAGATATGGCAAATATGTCTACAAGTAAAGGAAAGTAATAAGGAAAGATCGGTTAGCAAACAAATGAGTTTTTTTTAACAAACTGAATCGAAAAACGCTACCTGAAAAAGAGGGAAGATATGTTACAATACATCCTGGCATTAAAAACTTACAAAGGGTCCTTACTTTGTTTGTAAACCGTAGATGTGGAGGAGGAGGAGGAGGAGGAGGAGATATCAGATGTAGATGTGAGTGTATGTATCTACATATATGTATATGTGCGCGTGAAAGCTATGATAGTCAAACAACCATAACCAGACTTGGTTAAAAGGCCAATAATATATAAATTAATATAGTTTACACACTGACCTAGCTGCCCACTATCTCGCTCTGCTCGATAGTGTGCTTGATTTCAATATTTATCGCCAAAAAATAAATCGTAGTTTCCATAATCAAAAGGCATAACACTATTATGTCCCGCATTGCTCAAGACATTTGCCGTTTCATGCGAAACAAACAATTGCTGGAAATCAATCAAACTCTGTAAATCTCCATTATTTGGGTCCTCACCGAAATTAAAACAATTTAAACCATCATCATCTAATTCGTATTTGGTTTTGTCATCAGCTATCTTCATTGATTCTTTACTTTTTTGAGAACGACTAACTATCGCATCTATTAAATCAACTCCTATTTCAACATATCGCTCTGCACCTTTGTTACATGTTGAATAGTGAAGAAGGATATAAACAGTACTTTTAAGCAAATTAGTGAGCTCCTGTTCAGAATAGCCTTCTTCTTCAAATCCTCCATTGAGTATTGATATTCCTAGAGTTATGATACAATAGAAACAACACGTGATGATTATATAACATTCCATTCGCTTCACTTTCTTGAATGTAGTGTTAATATAATGATTCATTAGTTTTATTGCGAGAATAGATGCTTTTGTTGCTGCTTGGCAAAATTGCTTCAGTGATTCTTTATCCTTTAATGTCAGATTCTGCATCTCCGCCTTAATATTACTTATAGCATCAAACATGAAAAACGGGCGGCATAATAGCATAATCGCATATAGCTGAAGCAAATGCATAGTCAAGATCATATGAGTATTTCCAAAATTTTCGTTTCTGGGAATTTCTGCTGGTTTAAGAATATTGTCAAGACTGAGTAGAGGATCAAGATCCTTCAGCCAAATTTTCAACTGCACTGCAAGGTTTTTAGTCCTGTTTATATCAATTATTCGATCTTGGTAAAAATTTGCCACAATTTTACCTATCAATGTAGTTATCTTTGCAAGCTCAATCTGACATTTGGCGTTGAAATTTAGATTCGACACAAGAGTATTGGATGGAATAAATCTGGTGGGGTCATCCCAGTCGTAATCATTTATAGCCAATGGCCTTCCAATAAATACCGAGGATATCCTATCTGAACAATAAAGTGATCTAAATAATCTTTTGGGATATTCACATTCATAAGAAGAGTTTGAAAATTGCTCATTTATGAAATTCCGATGCAAGCCCAAAGATTGCGCATATTTTATTGCTTGGTTCAAATGGATCCATGCTGTTGATTTTTTCAAAATCGCTTGATAATAATGAAATTGTAAATAATGAGTAACAACACACCATAACGCGCTATCCTCAACAAGCAGCTGTAAAAGAAATCTACCGGTATCAAAAAATTTGGCTCCTAGTTCAGCCTCGGGGGTTTTATTCGCAAATTCAAAGTATGTTGCACCAATTGCTAGCACAAAGTATAGTTGAACAACCTTGTGTTGATTGTCTTCGGCATTGAAGTTTTCGTATGCTGGTTTAACAATCTCCTCGTTAAAATTATCCATGTCATATATAAAAAAAATTTCATTAATGTTCTTTTTAAACTGTTCAATGTAAATATTACAATCAGCAACTGTTGGTAACTCAACAGTAATTTTCTGGCTAACTTTCAACGGTTTATCAATAACGGGACATCCTTTTAAATTCTCAGTCAATCTACACTGCCCAACATATTGATAAAAGATGTTTCTCGTTTCATACAACACTGAAAAGGGACTTGTCTCACCCATATAACGGAATGTACCAGATTTATCATTTAACAAAATACAACTCTTACCTGCTTGGTTTGAAACTCCATCTTTTTTCTCGGTTTTGTCTGGATCCTCGATATCCACTTCATCCCCATCCTTTGCATCTACCTCATTCTTTGTCTTTACATTGTTTAGCGGGAACGATAACAATGGCTGTAATGACTTCGGAATGTAGCGATTACTTAGACTTTCACCAGCAGTATTGGGAGTATTTTCTGGGGTAGGTATACAATTGTTGTTTGACAGCAACAAAGCAGAAGGAAGAGAAGGTGGCTGTGGAAGTGCAGCAGGTGGTGGTGGTGCTAGCGGTGGCACTAGCAGTGGTTGTTGTTGTTGCTGCTGTTGTTGGTGTTGTTGTTGTTGTTGGTGTTGTTGTTGTTGTTGGTGTTGTTGTTGTTGTTGGTGTTGTTGTTGTTGTTGGTGTTGTTGTTGGTGTTGTTGTTGGTGTTGCTGCTGTTGTTGTTGTTGCTGTTGATCAATTGGCGGTAGACTAAAGCTTGGATTTTGTTGCTGGTAGTTTGGTTTTAAATCTAAAGACGGAGGTTGGGTATAATGTTGCGGTAGTAGCGATGAGTGCGTAGTGTGTGTTGGAGCCGGAATTGGAGCCGGAATTGGAGCAGAAGCTGGAGCTGGGTTATTAAGTGGGAATAAGTTACAATGCAGTGGAAACCTGCTTCTGGGTTGCAGCAGCAGCAGCAGCAGCAGCACCGGCAGGGTTAGGTGGTGATATAGACTTTCTGTGTGAGGAATCGCAAATTGCAGCAGTTGCTGTTGGTGTTGCATTAGTTGCAGTTGCAGCGGGTGTTGTTTCGGGGGATAGTAATAGCATCCGTCAGGAGGCGTAATTTGCTGCTTTGGATATAGATCTTGCGTGGAGTTGTTGTAACCAGACTTTAAACTCTGTGATTGATCTAGACTCCGTGGTTGCTCAGAACTGGGGATATGTGCTTCATTTGGTGCCCGAGTCCTATCGAGCTGTGCTTCATTTGGTGCCCGACTTATACCGAGCTGTGCTTCATTTGGTGCCCGAGTCCTATCAAGCTGTGCTTCATTCGGTGCCCGAGTCCTATCAAGCTGTGCTTCATTTGGTGCCCGAGTCCTATCAAGCTGTGCTTCATTTGTTGCATAACCTCTATCAAGTTGTAGCTGCCTCACTTTTTCCTCCTTCAACTTGGACATTCGTTCACTTTTCAACGATCTCTTATCGATTATTGTAAAAGTACACTTGTAGCCCTTCTTCAAACATAGATCACATGGTGTTAATCCGGAACACTTGTACTTTCTTTTCTTACACGAGTCACAAGCTGACGAAACTTTCTGTCTCTTCTCGGGTGGCAACTTCCTGAGTCTTTTGACTGGCGTCTTAGACAGTCTTAATTGTTCCGCTTCTGTGGCAGCAGCGGTAGCGGCAGCAGCAGCAGCCAAGTCCGTGGTATTATCTATATTCATTTCCCTTAAATATTATCAACCTCTCCTCCTTATTCAACTTTTCATAATACAGTTATTAAAAACGAAAAAGAAAAAAAAAAAAAAAATACGCCAATTTATGAATAGCAAGATATAGATGAAGATGAAGATTGTGACGAAGCAAGCCACGTGAGAAGGGTTTACTTATACTGGGGTTAGGCGATAGAAAAAGAGTGATTTAATAATAGATATAGATTTCTATTCCTTGGACAGCTCTTGAACCGATTTTGGGTTGAGTGGTATAGCGAACGTTAGCAAATGCGCCGTATCAGTAGCAGGTACAATCTGTTTCCCATTATTGATCGCACAACACATGATAACAAAGTTTATGACTAAAGATCAATATTGAAGTATGCATAATAATAAATAGAAGATTTGGCCCATACAGCTTTAGTTGGGTCGTGGACCTCCTACAAATTCCACATAGAGGAAATAGAATTCTTATGTGGTTGGACTTTTGACTTTCAACCGAGAAAAAGATTGGGAGTTAACAAGTCAGGCCATATACTTTTCCTTCTACTCTTCCAAATAGAAATTACTGTTTACACAAAAGATATGTGAGAAATAGTTCAAGTGACCTATATCGCTACGATAAATTCCGGTTTCCCAGTTGGTCTTGCTTGGCCTTTATAAAAGTTTGGCTACATGCAAAGGTATTGTTAATACCATATTTTTCTTTTTGTATTTCTTTTTTTTTTTTTTTTCTTGCATTCATGGCAATGTGAAGGAATACCAACTTTTTCAGTGCATAGTGAGTTAAATAAGAGATACACACTTGAATCTCTTTTTCTGTCTCATTTCGAGAAAACAGTAACAGTAATTGATAAACCAATTCCAAGAGATCAGCTGTTATTGGTTATTGTCTTTAAGGAGAAATAGTTCAAGTTTAGTAGCTGCAAGAGCCTCTTGCAGTAGTTGGCTCATATAATAGTTGGGTTGTTGGGTATTTAGATTGGGCCTCATGGTTGTGTCAATGTCCAAGAAACCGCGTAAATGCAGGGTGTCACAGTTGGTAGCGAAGGAAAATAAATAATAAATAAATAAATAATAAATATTTTTTTATTTTATTTTTTTATTCATTTTTTTATTTTTTTTTTCTGCTGCTGTTGACAAGATACGCGCTACCATATGTTAAGAATAACTCAAAAGGGGAATGTAATTGCGGTTTCAGCTTCAGGGGGGTGTTTTATCCAATCAGCGTGAACTATTTGTATAGATCATCATCACCTTTATACAAACCATTAGTATACATCACCACTACATACACTACACACACCACACACCACATACACCACATATACTACACACTACACACAGCACACACAATACACACAGCACATACGACACACACACACATACGACACATACGACACACGCACGGAACAACCTTGGATAGAAAAGATTTCTTTTCATTTCAACCAAACACTTTGTACGCTCTGCTCGATAGTGTCATTAGTGCCTAGCACCTCGTTACAACACTATCTCGCTCTACTCGATAGTGTCATTAGTGCCTAGTATTACTCGATAGCTCTGCTCGATAGTGTTTTTAGTGCCTAGTATTACACAATAGGTCTCTATGCCAGAATCAACAACATCTCCTCCTCACACTTGCAACTCCGTCAAATACAAGTTTCAAGATGGTGGGTCCCAGGTAATAGCAAAAGGCGGCGTGCATCCTTATCAGTTACCTGTGTTTGCCAATAAGCTCGAAGAAAGAGAATGGAGCAAACAGCACATGGCTGGTGCGTTTAGAGTGTTTGCAAGAAAAGGGTATACTGAAGGAACAGCAGGACACATATCAATTCGTGATCCAGTCGATCCTCTGACTTTTTGGATTAATCCTCTTGGTAAACATTTTGGACTCATCAAAGCTAGTGATTTAGTCCATGTTGACCACAACGGTGCAATATTACCCGATGGTAACCAATGTGCTATTAATGCAGCGGGGTTTGCTATACATAGTGCTGTTCACAAGCATCGACCAGATGTTCATGCCGCATGCCATACCCATTCAACTTATGGAAAAGCATGGAGTTGTATGCCTGGTGGCAAACAGTTGGCAATGATTAATCAAGATGTTTGTACCTTCTACAAGAGCCATTCAGTTTATGAGGATTTTGGCGGTGTTGCATTAGAAGCAGAAGAAGGTGAGAAAATTGCGCAAGCCTTGGGGCCAGTGGGGAAAGGTATGATTTTGAGTAACCATGGGCTCTTAACTGTAGGATCTACTGTTGATGAAGCAGCTTATCTTTTTACCTTGTTGGAGAAAAGCTGTCAGGTACAACTCGTGGCACAAGCAGCTTTATTGCCTGGTGAGAAGTTCAAGTTGATTGATGACGAAGTAGCTAGATACTGCGAGCATCACGATGGAAGTCATGAGATGTTGTATACTGAGTTCCAACCTGATTTGGAAATGGAACTCTACTTTAATGATGATTTCATGCAATGATGGAGGTGAAGGTGAAGGTGAAGGTGATAGTGATAGTGAAGGTGATAGTGAAGGTGAAGGTGAAGTTAATGATGATGATGATGATGAGAGCAAGAAGGATTGTGGAATATGGCGTAATCTATTGCTACTAAATAGGTATCTCTAATCAATGCTTTAACTCTTGAAACCTGCGTGTGTTTACTGTTCCCCTTATACAGCAATAAGCAAAACCAACAAGATACAAAGCACAATGACCAAAATCCCAATACACCAATTACTAGCAGTTTCTTTGTTTTTCTCAATAAAACGATTCAATCGTTTCATTCCGCGTTGTAATTTACTATCAACATTATCCATTTCATAGTCCAATTCATCCAACAAAAATGCTTGGTCTTCCAATTCTTCACCCATAATAGTTGCTTGTTCATTTAAATTCATCATTGTTTTGTGAATATCTTCTAATTGAACATCCTGCTCTTGAATCATTTCCTGTTGCTGGTAAGAGGTCATTACTGGGTTTTCTTCATTAGCAAAAGGATTTTCATCTTGACTTATTCGATTGGACATAGTAGTCACGTCTCTTAAACTAGTATTATTATTATTGTTGGTGGTGCTGGCGCTGGCGCTGCCGCTGGTCTTGTTGTTGTTTTGCTTGGTTTGTTCCCATCTTTGTTGTAATTGAGATATTCGATCATTCAAGTTTTCTATTATATCGTTTCGTTGTTCAATATCGGAATTAGAGAGTTGGAATTGTTCAGGATGCGAAGAGCTTACAGCCAATGCTTGTTTCAAATCCTGATGAATCTCTTTCAACTCTTGTAGAGTATTTTCAAAATCTTGTAATTGTTCAAACGATGTTGTTTGATTGTTGAGCTGCTGACGTTGAACAATTATTGCTTCAAGCTGTTTAATTGCATTATCTGCGTCCTCTTTGACGGCGTAAAACGGATCCATTACTCAGGGAACAATATAGGGCCTATATATCTTAAAAATGCGCTTCTACAATAGCTTCTCACCGTAACCTTTAGCTTCTTTCAGTAACCTTTACCTTCTCCCAGTAACCTTTTGCTTCTTTTCATTCTCTTTGTGCTTTCTTTCTCATCTCTTTTTTCTATGGCCATTTTACTCACTGGGTTAGAGCAGTCTTCTTCGATAATGGAGTTACAAGATATCGCACAAGAAGGGAGTCAGAAGAGCCATGAAGGAGAAGGGGAAGAGGATGAATTGCTTATTGATGGTGCTACTGAGGAAAGTCGGGTAAAAAATGGTGATATCAAGACTAAAGTATTGAATGGGTCTCCACAAAGAACACCTCAACCACAGGTACAGAATAGTATAGAGGAGCAAGAACAGGGTGTAGAGGAGCAAGAACAGGGTGTAGAGGAGCAAGAACAGGGTGTAGAGGAGCAAGAACAGGGTGTAGAGGAGCAAGAACAGGGTGTAGAGGAGCAAGAACAGGGTGTAGAGGAGCAAGAACAGGATGTGGACGAGGAAACACATGGAATGAAAGATGAAGCACAGGGTATTAAGGAAGAGAAAATTGGAGATATAGACTTACCTCCATTACACGAGATAGTAGGCGGGTCGAGTATAAGGCGATATTTGAATCAACACTTGACAAGACATTTGTTAGATGGATTAAAAGAAGTGGGGTATTTGAAACCTCGTGATCCATTAAAATATCTTGGAGAGTTTCTTATTGCCAGGTCACTTGTACAGAGTAAACTTGAAGAAGAAGAGTAAAACAACTTACACGGGATAGTAAAACACTAGGCGCCGAAACAACTGTCGACACTAGCTCTTAACACCAGCCCTTGACACCAGCCCTCAACACTAGCTCTTAACACTTACTTTCTATCTCGTTTTTCTCGATAGTGAAGCAAACTAGCTTTATTTCCGTTTAAAACTTAACTACTACTACTACTACTACCACAAAAGAGGTAGAAAAGATTATTCCAAAAATGAATCAATTTATTCAAGACAGGCCAGATAGTGGAGCAGCACTTTGTAGCTTGGTACGACACTATCGAGCCAAGCGAGCTAGTGGAGCAGCACTTTGTAGCTTGGTACGACACTATCGAGCCAAGCGAGATAGTGGAGCAGCACTTTCTGGCTTGTTACAACACTATCTCGCTCTGCTCGATAGTGCTGCTCGATAGTGTCGATAGTGTCGCTGGTCAGGTCATAACAAGCTAGTGAGTACTGCTCCACTAGCTCGCTTAGCTCGCTAGTGTCGGGTGAGACCATTGAGATTGATTTTTTCATTGTTTGAACCTTTTCAACCCAAGGTATCTTAAAATAGGGTACGTGATGCCGGTAAATTCAAAAATTAAGAACATACCAATATCGCCACCATTTGTTCCAATCTTATCTGCCAAAAAAACAGTAGGCGCTGAAACAACAGCCGGATAAGCTAGAAAATCTTGATCCATTGTGTTCTCCCAATGTCTCTTGTCCCCAACAAATACACATTTTTAAAGACCTCTATGTCACTTATTTGACAATTCCAGTGCTGAAAAACTCGATAGTCGGTGTAGTCAAACTCGATAGTCGGTATAATCAAACTCGATAGTCGGTGTAGTCAGTGTAGTCAAACTCGATAGTCGGTGTAGTCGGTGCTGCTCCAACATCTCGCTTCGCTCGATAGTGTCGCGGTGATTGGCAAACCACAACGGCCTCTCAACTCTCCCATTTACAACGGCCTTCTCTCCTCAATCTACACAACTGGTGCTAACTCGTAAAACTCAATTTTCCATTGTAAGTGAAAAAAAAAACCCCAGTGATGAATTCGCATTGTTATAGCAATCGATCGATTAATACTCTTTAATTAATTCAATTAGGGATAGGATAGATCTTTTGAAGAGGTGTATTCTCTCGACATGTCATCATCGAGGCTTGGTTCATCATCGGGAAATCTAGATTCATCTAGTTTACGCCCATACTATGACCATGATACGTTTGATGCTGGATATTCAGTAATATTTAAAAAGGGAATAGGATTATTTGATCCGAAAACTAATCAACCTGTAACTGTTCATTTATCGTCGAATACGGTAGATAATGCGGTTAACATGAGTAGTAATGGTAGAGGAGTACTACAACTGGGGGTGTTGCAGAGAGCGTTTGGTCGACAAACGGGCGGCATTGGTATCAATGGCATAGGTGTGAGAGAAGGCGCTATTCATGGAGGAAGCGGCGGTGGTGGTGACAAAAATATCATTTATGACTTGGAGTTCAATGAGTATTTTGATATCAATAACCTCTACGAATTAATGAAAAACTTGGTATGGAACTTTATCAAGAGCTATGTGAAGGTTTTGCTTGCTCAACCTTTGGAAATTACCCGATTGGTTTTGCAAGTTGGCAAATTTAACCTTGATGACGGCAAGAAGAAAGATGAAGATACTAAAGAAAAGAGGTTATTGGAAAGGAATAACAATGTTTCAACTGTTTCTATATCAAAAAGAGAGGAGAATGTCTTGAATTTATCGTCAAAAGTTAATTTTATCGAGGACGATGAGCCAATTGACTATTTCCAACCACAAAATGATCAGCAAGTATGGTCTAATCCACAATCGATTTATGATCCCTTAACATTGACACCACAACCACAATCACAACCACAATCACAATCCTCACTGTCGTCTATTGTTGTTTCACAACCCGACAACCAGCCTGTGCCACCACCTTTGAAACGGCTTAGTACAAAAAAAAGACTCAAAGTTTCCAAAATACAGCCAAAATCATTACATACGATTGATATTATTTCGGAGATAACCCAAAAGGATTCATTTTTGGCGTTATTTAGGGGTGCAAACTCCTCTTTTATCTATGTAACTTTATCACATACAATTGAGGCATGGATAACAGGATTTTTATCGCCATTCTTGGGTATACCAGATCCATTTTTTCTCGACTTGACACATTCAAACGATCCGTTTAGATCGTTGTGGTTATCTGTTGGTGCATGTGTATTAACTGGATTAGTATTAATGCCTTTAGATTTGATAAGAATCAAATTCATGATTACTCAGCCTAATCATGGGTTACCTTTTAATAACAATATTAAGAGTGGAGAGGTTAGTACTTTGAACAGCAGCTTGCATGGGGGTAAAAAGGATGACTTGGTTGAACAAGCAGCAGAGGAGATTTTACAAAACACAAGGTCGATAAGGGAATCTATACGATATTTTCCTACATACTATTTAACTCATCCATCAACACCTATTGTATTGTTGACCACATTTTATCAGTTCAGCACAAGTATATTCCGTAGAGCAGCACCATATTTACTATTTATAAAGTTTAATATCGATGCATATTCATCCCCAGCGGTTTATACGTTTATTAATCTTGTGTCGCTAATATGTGAGTTTTTCATCAAATTGCCAGTTGAGAACTTGTTAAGAAAAGAACAAGTATCCTTCTTACTCAAGCCAAAGAAACATGATTTAAGGAAAGTCATAACTATTGTTAAACCTGAGGAGAATTTGATTGTTGAATTTAACGGGTTTTCCTTGAGTTCCCAAGAGAATAGAATGGGGTGGATACAGAGAATTAAATTGTTAGGGTTATTCAATGGTTGGAGAGTAGGATTGATGAATGTAGTTGGATTCTGGGGTTACAATATAATAAAGCACAATAGCTATGAATTTAAAGAGGAGAGATTATAAGGGAGTAGAGTAGGTAATAATGATGAGGTTTTTTCATTGTTTGGTTTGTACATAGTTTGATTATTTGTTTGTAAGAGCTTTAATTGTGATTAGGAACCCTTTTTTTTTTTCAAAGTAATGAGGAGCCGAAGGCGACTCTAGTCGAAGGATATTAAATAGAACATACTCGAGGAGCCGAAGGATATTATACACAACAGAGTAATAGAACAGAGGGATAGAGCTTAGAGTAATAAAGCAGAGTAATAGACCTTTAGAAAGAAATAGTGGCTCTTATGGTTGTAACAAGCTACAGAGTTTAGGTGGCAGCTAGTCAATGTTGCTCCACTATCTCACTATGCTCGATAGTGTCTTTAGTGCCTAGTACCTTGTTACAACACTATCTCGCTATGCTCGATAGTGTCGCTTAATGAGATGTGTCGCTTTGGTTTGTGGGGTTTCCTTCATGCCACAGTTCTCTTATTATTTTTCGGGTAGGAATCATTGAAAACTCCACACTAAAATATTTCCAAGGTTGAGGTCCGATGCACGTGACATGAAGATGTGGAAATGGAAAACCTTATAATTCTTTATCCCCCCCTAGATTACTTTGAAAAATATTGGTGTGATACAATAACGACATGGCGATGGCGATGTGGTAAAATGACGCCATTTCGCTAGGGTCATAACATATGAAAACCTCTTTACAAAGACTCTTTTATTATAAAAGGGTCTTGTTATTCTTTTGTAGAAAGTGTTTTATGTATGAGTTTCTATCTTTCTTTCCATTTGTACTTTTAACGACTGTTGATCAGTTATGGCACCAGTATCAAGAAATGAACCAAGCAAGAAAGGCAAAAAGCAATTGAAGCTTTTTGCCTTTGAAATGGGATGTTCCGGACTTCAAGCGCCTGGGTTGTGGAAACATCCTAATGATAACTCAAGTAATTTCAATACTATAGAGTACTGGACTTCATTATCGAAACTTCTTGAACGCGGTAAATTCAATGGCCTATTCATTGCTGATGTTTTGGGGCCTTATGATGTTTATAATGGGCCTCGCAATTTTGATGCAGCGGCAATTTCCGGCGCCCAATTGCCCACGATTGAGCCATCAACAGTTGTATCGGCTAGTGCAGCAGTCACAAATAATTTGGCTTTTGGGGTTACTTTTAGCACCATTAGTGAATCACCTTTCCATTTTGCTAGAAGACTAGCTAGTTTGGATTTATTGACAAATGGAAGAATTGGTTGGAATGTCGTTAGTTCGTATTTGGATTCAGCAGCTAGAAATTTGTTAAATGGTGAAGAATTGCCGCCACATGCAGAGAGGTATGAGCGGGCACAAGAGTATATCAATGTTATCTACAAGTTGTTTTTAAGTTCATGGAGCGATGATGCAGTTGAATTGAAAAATGGAGTTTATGCTAACCCCGAGAAGATAAGAGAGATCAACCATAAAGGGAAATGGTTTGATGTTCCGGGCCCATTTGTTTGCCTGCCTAATGAAAATCAGAGATTGCCAGTTATTATTCAGGCTGGTACTTCGTCTGCTGGCAAGGACTTTGCTGCTCAGCACGCCGAAGTTGTGTTTATCACAACTTTTTCACCAGAAGCCTTGGGGAAACAAATTAGCGATATTAAGAAGATTGCTAGAGAAAGATATGGCAGACCCCAAGGGTCAATAAAATTTTTGCAATTGATTACACCTATAATTGGTGAGACTCAAGAAGAGGCCGATAGGAAATATCAGGAATATCAAAGCTATGGCGACATAGAAGGTGCTCAAGCGTTATTTTCTGGTTGGACGGGTATTGATATAAGCCAATATGAATACGGAGAAGACATAACAGCCGTTGGAACTAATGCAGTCAAATCATTTTTAGAATTGTGGAATAAGAAAGCACCCGGTGAACCAGAACACGTTAAGAAAACAAGAGAACATATTGCTAAACAAATCACCGTTGGTGGATTAGGACCTGTTTTTGCATCCACTGCCGCGGGCGTTGCTGATGAAATTGAACGATGGGTTGATATATCGGGAGTTGATGGATTTAACATTACATATGCTGTACACCCACAAACATTTGAGGACGTTGTTGAATACCTTATACCGGAATTGCAAAAAAGAGGATTGTTTTGGCAAGACTATCCTGAGACTGAAGATGGCAGACCATTAACTTTTAGAGAACAATTATTTGGTAGTGAATTTCAAGACACGAATCGAGATCCTCGATTTGTGTTGGAAAGTCATCCTGCTTATGATTTGAGATGGAGAGCTGGAGAGTCGAAAGCCGAGTTTGAAAAACGGTTAGGAAAAAATGGAAAAAAGAGGAAATTGGATACCGTTGACTAGACTAAAAGACGTTGTGATTAGGTTAAAAGTAAAAGAAAACTTTTCTTTTGTTTGTGCAACTTTAGTGGCAGAGACTGACAGGAGGTTCGCGATTGTTTTTTTATACTCGTGTAGTCGTGTATAATAGTCAATGTGTCGACTATTATATTACACATGGTGATATTACCAAACTAACATACTAAAGATGTCCTTATTTTGGTATTGAAGGCTTGGCATCTGCAAAGGCATGTAAATTATGGTTGAAGAAATTGTGTTACTATGTTGGACCAAAAAATGAAGGGCATTGGACCAAATGTGTTTGAAGTAGGATTAGTGGGTGTATGAGTTTAAGTTATTATATGGTGTATAGTGTAGATTAGAAGGAAAAAAAAAAAGAATTCTCAATAGGGAAATGTGGATGTTCATGGTATAGTTGTGGTTTAAAAACTTTAAAGTCTAATTTTGAAAAGATTAGCCTTTTTGAGTTGAATTTTGAAAAGATTAGCCTTTTTGAGTTGAATTTTGAAAAGATTAGCCTTTTTGAGTTGAATTTTGGAAAAAGTAGTCTTTTTAAGTTGAATTTTGCCGATTGCTTTAGACCTACTTTACTAATGCATGTTTGTTAATATCTCTTTGTCAATGTGATTCACCTTTAAAAAAAAAACCGTTTTGCTATTTTATTTATTGTTTGTTAAAGCGCGCATAAGACTACTTGTGCAAAGAAGTAAAGGAGCCCAGAGCTTAGAGCCTGTAACATTTTCTATCTGATATAAACATAGACTTGTAATAATTCTGGGTCTATAGTTTTAGGTCTGTAACTTAAGGTCTGTAACTTGAGGTTTATAGTTTTAGGTCTGTAACTTGAGGTTTATAGTTTTAGGTGTATAGTTTTAGGTGTATAGTTTTAGGTTTATAGTTATAGGTGTATAGTTTTAGGTTTATAGTTATAGGTGTATAGTTTTAGGTTTATAGGTTTGGGTGATTAGTGTTAGGTGTATAGTTTTGGGTGATTAGTGTTGGGTGTATAGTTTTAGGTTTTTGGTTTTGAGATCCACGATTTTGGGGCTACGATTTTAGGAGTCTCATCAGTTAGGTTTTGTAAATAGTTTTAGAGGGGGACCCTTTAACCAATTTGAGTAAAGCGTCTTTAACGACAAAATATTATCATAAAAAATGACAAAAAATGAGTAGCGGTATTGTAAGCAGCAAGGTTGTAATTAGCATCAGTACTTGTTATTGACAACCAACAAAAAAACCACTCTCGACATGTTTTGGACACAAAGTGGTTTTTACACTACATGAATACCCTTGTTTAGTGGATTTGCGCGCTTAACCAACTGTGAATCCACCATCACCTCCTTAGACGACAACGAGGCTTTAACCTCATCGGAAAAAAAGCGTAATTACTAGTAAACCTTTTTTTGGTGATTCAAAGTGCGCCAAGATCCATACTTATGGAGACTATCTTCAACACTTTATACGGATATATAATTATATATAAGTACATATAATATGTATATATATATAGGTATATGTATATATATATAGGTATATGTATATATATATATATAACATACACGACGCGGTATTCATTCTCTACTATTCCCTCATAAGTGGTATCGAAATCTTAGAGATATCAACATTTTTTAGTCTTGCTTGATTATGGTATCATTGTCATTATTGTAAACCAAAGAAATAAGTGACGCTGACTCAAGCTGATATTAAGAGGAAGAGGCTGATAATGTTGATGAATAGGCATTATACAAAACTACTCGTATCCACGATACTAATATCATTTATACTTGTATTTACATATTGCACGATTCATCTTATATTCAAAAACAAAAATGCATTTACATTGAATGAGTTGTTGAGATCTCAACTAGATCTCCAGAATTTGATCAAAACCCAAAACCAAATTATTACAGATTTGGATATCGTCAAATGTAATAAATTGATAAAATGTAATATACCGTTAGGTTATGTTAGATTAAACCCGTCGTTAAGTTATCATCAAACGAAAGGTGGGAATACCAACGAAAAGAAGAAAATGTATTATTCAGAATATTATTTAGTTGCGAAATTGCAGGATATACGAGAAGCAACGAAATTTATACTGGATATAGTGATGGAGCAAAAGGAGGGCTACGAATTAGTTGGCAATGGTAAAGGAGGTTTCAAATTTTATAAAAAATTGGAAAGAAATAATATTGAGCTGCCCATAATGGACAGTACCAAAGTGTTAAGATCAGTTGATATATTGTTTGGAAGCAATGATCTTATTGATTTGAGAGCAAACCATAAAACGCTACATTTTACACATGATGATCTGATCCATACGATATTATCAATATCACTAATGAGTCAAGATAATATAGTTGAACAAGAAAATTCGGTTAATGATGAAAAACACAATACCAAACAACAAAAGGAAGTTATAGCAACCCGACTGGAGAAATATAAGATTATGCAAATTTCAGATTTACATTTTGGACAAGATTTGGGCAACTGCAATTCCAAAGGAATTGATTGTAAATCTTCTGATTTAAAAACTTTAAAGTTCATAGATCAAAGTATCAAGGCTGAGAAACCGGAGATTGTTGTTATTACAGGAGATCTATTTGACATCAAACGATCTACTGATTACAAATCTATTTTACTCAAAAGCTTGCAACCCATAATTGCCACGGGTACTAAATTTGTATACACATTTGGTGATGAGAGTTTTAGTCGAGAGGATAAATTAACAATTTTGGAGTTTTTAACAACTTTACCCAACTGTTTAAACTATTTGCCTATAGAGAATAGTCTTCATGGGGTCACCAACTACAATTTCAAGATAACTAACGAATTGAATAAACAAAGTATTGCGTTATCAGTACTAGATTCAGAAGACCAATTCATTGATGAGTCTCAAATCAATTATTTGTATCGATTTTGTAACAACAAGGAATTTTTCCTAGATTATAAACTCTTGTTCTTCCATCATCCATTGCCCCAATATCGTCCAGCAGGGATTTTCAAAATCATAGGTTCATATAACGAGAGACATCCATTGAATTCTAAAACAAATGAAAAATATCATGATGATATCGTGAATTGTAGCTATCATGTAGTTTCAGTTGGTCATGAACACGAAAATGACGCCTGTATCTTGTCAGAAATGTCAAAAAAGGAAAACGAGGCGGAAGAAGTAGACAAGAATGAGAAAAAAAGTATATGGTTATGCTACAGTAGTGTAGCTGGTGATTCAGCAATTACAAAATTAAATCAACTGTATGTGAGGAAATTGAGGATGTTTGAAGTTGACTTTACAAAAAAAAGAATAATTAGTTGGAAGAAAAATGAAAATGACAAGACGGCGTTTGAACCTCAATTGATATATCAGAAAGATGCTGGATCATGATCAAACGCGGTAACTAAAAGAGTATATATTAATGCCATATCTATATATGTCGGTTGTTGGTAGAGATCTCTAATAAGCCTAGATGGCAAGAAGATAATTATTCATTTGGTAGCATATGCACTACCATCTCATCTCTTGATTTTTTTCCAGTTAAAAAAAAATATATATATATATATATGAAAAGAACCCTACATATATATAGATATAGATATAGTTAGGTTAAATTCCCAAAACGAACGCTTAAACCCCACTTCCAAGTTCATCACATTTCAGTCTGTTATTTTCAGGTTTATTGTAATGGGAAAGGCCAAAAAGACAAGAAAGTTTGCTGCTGTTAAGCGTACATTATCTCAAAAAGATCCACGTTTATCTAAGAAGCAGAACCAGAACCAGAAATCCAGTATCAATAGCTTCTCTTCCAAAAAGGATGATGACCTTGAGTTGACCAAACATATTCCACAAGTGTCTTCTGGACTATTCTTCAAATTTAACGAGGCTATACGACCCCCTTACCAAGTATTAATTGACACGAATTTCATCAATTTCAGTATTCAAAAGAAAATCGATATAATAAGAGGACTCATGGACTGTTTGATGGCCAAATGTATACCAATAATTACAGATTGTGTTATGGCGGAACTTGAGAAATTAGGTAGTAAATATAGAATAGCTTTGAAACTAGCTAAGGACCCTAGGATTCAAAGACTAAGCTGTTCTCATTCTGGAACATATGCTGATGATTGTTTAGTAAATCGAGTTATGCAACATAAATGTTATATTGTTGCAACCAATGACGCAGATCTAAAGAGAAGGATTAGGAAAGTTCCAGGAGTACCATTGTTGAGTGTAGGTCTGCATTCTTACGTTGTTGAACGATTGCCCGATGTCTTTTGAAAACAGCTGTGTGGGTGGGGGTGGAGGGCTATAGAAAGGATAGTCCACAGTTGACTTTTTTTTATTCCTTTTTTTTTTTTTTTTGGTTCCTCCTTTCAAATTTCTTTTTTGGGATATTCTAATGGCAAGATGTATGAGAAGAGATCTTTGAGCAGGTTACGAAATGGCGCTGGTATTGGAAATGGGCACGTCACAACGGATTTACCAAATTCGGTTGAGCCAATCCCCCCCCATGAATTTCATGAGTCTATTATCCAGAAATTGAGAAATCTTCTTCAGAAGTTAGATCAGTTTAGAAATATCCCAATTCCTGCATCATATCAAATATCGTTATCGTCGAATCGACCTTCAATTAGTACACTTGATTATAATAATTACAAGGGCAACAATAGTTCAATACCTCATCAAGATGGATGTATTCTCACCAATGAGTATTATACGTTACTATGTCAGTACAACAAAGTCTACGAGCTATTAATTCAAAAGAACAATGAGATGAATATTTTCAAGTATAGTATGAATGAAGGTATTTTAATGATTATGAGTGATATTGAAATGGACGCAGCTAAACGAATTAAAAGAGGGTCAGTTACTTTAATGAAAAAGCATAATAAAGAGGGGAAGAGGAAAAGAGTTGATGAAGCAGGAGGTTGTACTGCTGGTCCAGTCGATGATAGTAATGTCAATGCTATTAATGAAATTAGCAAAAAATTGATGGATATTTTCAATCCCGAAGAGGAATTTGAGTCTACTATTTGTTCATCCATTTTAGATTAATAAGGCTAGAAAGAGTGACAGTATCGAGCGACAGTATCGAGCGACAGTATCGAGCGACACTATCGAGCGACACTATCGAGCGACACTATCGAGCAGAGCGAGATAGTGGAACAAAACTGACTAGCTGCCACCTACACTCAGTAGCTTGTTACAACACTGACTAGCTGCCACCTACACTCAGTAGCTTGTTACAACACTGACTAGCTGCCACCTACACTCAGTAGCTTGTTACAACACTGACTAGCTGCCACCTACACTCAGTAGCTTGTTACAACACTGACTAGCTGCCACCTACACTCAGTAGCTTGTTACAACACTGACTAGCTGCCACCTACACTCAGTAGCTTGTTACAACACTGACTAGCTGCCACCTACACTCAGTAGCTTGTTACAACACTGACTAGCTGCCACCTACACTCAGTAGCTTGTTACAACACTGACTAGCTGCCACCTACACTCAGTAGCTTGTTACAACACTGACTAGCTGCCACCTACACTCAGTAGCTTGTTACAACACTGACTAGCTGCCACCTACACTCAGTAGCTTGTTACAACACTGACTAGCTGCCACCTACACTCAGTAGCTTGTTACAACACTGACTAGCTGCCACCTACACTCAGTAGCTTGTTACAACACTGACTAGCTGCCACCAACACTCAGTAGCTTGTTACAACACTATCTCGCTCTGCTCGATAGTGTCGCTCTGCTCGATAGTGTCGCTCTGCTCGATAGTGTCGCTTGTTACCTACGAAAGCCAATATTAGCTTATTAATTGTATATGATATCAAGTGCTTACTATAGATTCTATTAATATTATTGCCTGGCCTTAACACTTTGTAGCAACACTGGGCCCCTTATAAAGAGTAAAGCCACTTAGTGGAACAAAAAAATTTTTATTGACACAAAAAGTCCGCTTAGTAATAAGGTCCCCTATCAAAACAGTCTTGCTTCAATTGATCAATTGAGACTGTATAACAGTTTGTTGTAATTGATCAATTGAGACTATATAACAGCCTTGCTTCAATTGATCAATTGAGACAGTGCACGCCAATTATGTTCTCACCATCATTAGCATTTCGTCATCAAGCAAAGTATTTTTTGCATAACCATAAACGGAAATCTATTTTCTTTTTTCCGATTTAATTTGTAATGCAATTTTTCTGTTTATATTAATTAGTTTGCCAGATCTTCCGCGCCACCTTTGCAATACATTAATAACAATTGGCCATTATTCAGTTGAGAGGCTATAGAGGTGAGCCTAGAAGCAAAAGACTAAGGGTGATATACAATAAATGCTTCACAACATATCAAAACCAGATTCACTGAAAAAAAAAAGCTTTTTAAAAACAAAATCTATATAATATACCCGACTCAAAAAAAAAAATTATATTAAGTTAATAGAGCCAGAACTCAACACAGCTCTCAACTTTTTAACCTAGGTAAGCATGAACTTGTTGAAAAAAAAAATTTTAATAAAAAAAGGAAATTGATTCACAGTGTGAAATCTGGATAGTGAGTGTATAGTGATGCTGCATTTAATAATAAGTTGGCCCCTAGTATAAACTTGTAGAAATGGCTCTAGTTAGATAACTTTATAATACAAAAAGGAAAATATTCTTTTATAACATTAACTCCTAATCTGAACTATGGAAAAAAAAATTCTTCAAATTAATAATGACTTAAAATGTGTAGATGTGTAAATTGTAATTAATGTAGATTGATTTAAAAATTAATGATGGGTCATTTTTATATCCTTAGTATAATAAAGCAATAGCAGCGGCAACAACAGCAGCACCACCATAGATGTTAGCGTTAGCAATGGCACCTGCGTTACCAGAAGCACCACCTGATGAGTTACCAGCACCAGTAGCGTTCTTCTTGTCACTACCGGCAACAGCACCACCTGTGGAGTTCTTCTTATCACTTCCAGCTACGGCAGCGCCGGTGTCGTTGTGGAATTTAGCTTGGATTGAACCAACTAAAGCTAATGAAGCAATGACTGTAGTGAATTTCATTTTTTCCTAAAATACAAATAATATTTCTAATTCCTGTGGTTGTTGTGTAAATACAGCAATACAAAAAAGAATAAAAAAGAGAAAAAGAAGAAATCTTTAGTTTACATTTTTAATGAAAATTTGCATAGTATTTATACATTTCTGACATCAAAATGGCTCAGTTTGTTTGAACAACACCCCTCTCCCCCAAAAATTCACCTTTTGTACATAAATTAAATCAATTTCTTGCTATCTTGATATTACTCGCAAACTTAAAAAGAAACTTGCGGAAAAAATGGGTGAAAAAAAAAAAAAAAAAAAAAAAGAAATAAGAACTCTTTGCGTCACCAAAAAAAAAAAAAACCCACAGAACACGGAACAATGCAAATATATTCATCATGCCTTAGTGCCTTAAAAATTTGGCTAGGATCACACTATGGCTTCGTATAGCCTTGATGTGCCTCACACACCATGACATGCTATATGGCTTAGCTGGATAGTAAATATTTAGCAAACATTTCCGCATTTGGTTAAATTTTATATTTTACACACAAAGTATAAAAAAAAAAAAGGGAGGCGCTTACATCTCAATGTGATTACCAAATTGTCTTGTGTCAATCAGCCCCCCGTTTGGCTCTTGCAAAAAAGCCCTTTTTGTTGTCACTATTGCTGCCACTGCCACTACCACTGGTGCTGCTGCTGGTGGTGCTATTGCCAATATAGCATACGCGGAAAGTTTTTATATTTAGAATCATTTTATATGCCGGTAGGGTTTATATTTGTGTAAATCTTAGTCTATATACAGTCGTGTGTCCCAATCGGGATAAATTATCTTCCAGTAGAGGAAAGAAAGCAACAGTTGAGTTCAAATGAAATATTCAACTATGCGCTTTTCTTTTTTTTTTTTTTTTTTTTTTTTTTTTTTTGGTTTTTGCACGCGGGAGTTGCTCCATGTGCAATTAAATATATTGTGAGTCAATGATGAATGTATTGTTAGATAATCCCAAACTATAGTGTTGTTGTTGTTTTTTTATTAAAAAAAAAAAGAACAATTAGCCGCCTTATTAGATAATACTTTTAGCTAATATGGTATGGAGGATTAACGTACGACTTTACTTAGTGATGAAAAAAAAAATCGCAGGTAACTGACTAAAATCGGTGGACTCCGCCTAGTTTCTTCTTTCTTTCACTTTTCCTCTTTCCACCCATACCCTCATTATGTCACCTTTCCCCAAAGTTTCAGGGGTGAGGGTGAAAGTAGGCTTTTTAACCTTAAAAGCCTTTTAAATATGTAAAATTCATTTTTTTTTTTTGTTTATGTATTATCTTTTGGTTTGTCTCTCACATTTATTGACAGGGAAACAAAACGCGCATTTCACACACGGGTTTTGAGATCTAATTGGGTGTGGATATTTTATAGATCTCATTTTGTCACATATCGTCACAAATTTCCAAATAATATATTTTTTTCAATTGTTTCGACTAATTTGACATGTTCGTAATAAATCCTTAACGATATGTTATTTGTAGCATCTCCTTCAATAAACTGTTCTTTTATTAAATGAGATTATATTTGCTACCCTATAGCCACTCATCGTCAAAGCCTAAATGAATGCTATGAGACTGCAAAAAAAAAAAGAAAAGAAAAAGAAAAAGAAAAGAACAAAAAATAGATTAATCGCTTAGTAGTGTAAAGTTGCAAAGAGTAGTGTAGATACTTTCAAAGTTTGAAAATAGATTCGTGCACGACATTTACTTGAATAGCGGGCTAGACCCCCCCCCTAAGTAACAACTCTACCCCAAACAACAGGCTCCAACCCCCTCAATGACAACTTTACCCCAAATAACGGTTACAGTTTGAGATAACAGGATCTTCTAATGTAATGATAAACTGTGAGTATCATACTCAAAATTAAAAAAAGAACAACCTACAATAACAATATGAAGTGATACAAGGATTTACAAAATATTGTTTACTCAGATGATGACGAGTTGCAGCTCGTTAAATCCCAATTGTATAAACAATTATGTATTACTCAAACGTGCCACTTCCGCTCTCCCGCCTCCCCTCCCCCCCTCCAAACACACACACACGAAAGACGATTTTTAAACACAGTTGATGTTGTTGTTGTTGTTGTTGTTTTTTCGTTTCTCTTCAGGAACCACAAAAGAAGTAAAAGAAGTGTACAAACTATAAGCTGTGACTAGTGCCTAACCTTAATTTTATTGTTCTATTTTCTTCTTGCTGTATAACAAGTTCTTTTTATTTTTTCTCTCTCTTTCTTAAAAATGACAGATTTTCTACCATTTTGGAAAATGCAGTTGAGAAAAGGTGTATTTTAGACCCTCAGAGAACAACGCTTAAATATATTGTATGTAACTCACATCAATTGGTAAAGAATGTTGTTTTTTTTGTTTCTACTCGATATTTACAAACCGCCTTGGTAAGGCACCGCTTCTATTTTCTTTTCTTTCTCCCCCTTAATTCCGTATCTACCGTGTATAGAACTGTAAATGTATCTCAGTTCATCATATAGTCATGTCGTGCAAAAACTCGAAATTTCATGCTACTCCTATATGACAGGTAGTGTTCAATTTACCCGAAAAGAAAAAAAAGAAAGCACGTAGCGTACAAAAAAAGATTCTTTACATTGCTGGTTCTGAGGCAGTACACGCTAGAAATGCCATTTTCTGTGGCGAATTACACTACCCTCAATCTTAGCGGGTGTAGAGAAGAAACAATGTGGCGTTTATGTGAAATAGTATAGAAAAAGAAAAGCCTTGGGAATAAGAATAAAAGAGTAAATGGAAAAGGAGTTTCTAGAAGAACTATAGGTGACAGAATGAGTTATAAGAGACAATGAGAAGACAGACGGACCCTGTTGATCTGTCATTGCCGTTTTCGAAAGGGATGGGTGGGGAGTGGCAGAAAATAGTACAATTGTTCTGCCGTATTGTATTATTTATTCCACACACATATATATATATATGAGTAGCAATGACTATACTAATCAATAAAAAATAGTCCTCTTCACCTCAAGGCAAAATGTTGTTCGCTTTGGGGAGGGGGAGAGTGTGAGATATCAGTAAAAATCACATTCCCTAGCATTTCAAATCACATCCACTAGCATTTCAAATCACATCCCCTAGCATTTCAAATCACATCCCCTAGCATTTCAAATCCATTCCCTAGCATTTCAAATCACATCCCCTGGCATTTCAAATCACATCCCCTGGCATTTCAAATCCATTCCCTAGCATTTCAAATCACATCCCCTAGCATTTCAAATCACATCCCCTGGCATTTTAAATCACATATTTGAGGCTCTTTTCAAAGATAGAAAGTTTGACTGTTGTTATTCCTCTCGATAGGTTTTATCAATTCAGCCAATCTCTATATTCACAACTAGATGTGAAACTTGTGCATCGAACCTAAACTAAACGACCATAGTACCTTGATAGGGGGGGACAATGACTATCTCCTCCTATCTACGTTGTCTCAAGACTAGATTTCCAGCTCTTACTCTTATTCTTGTTCTCCTCCTACACCCCAACTCTTATCTCTTACCCTATAGCGCTACCACTATCGATATGTTCCAAATTTTCAGGTTTTTTTGTTTTTATTTCTATTTTTTTTTGCACCCAATTCTAGAAAATCATCATGAGCATATCAAAAATATAGAAGGAGGGTTTAAACACAAGATATGGAGTTGAAACAACTTACCCCAAACTCTATCCTTTTGTTTGCCCCCTTTATTTCACCCCCTCCTCCCCCCCTCTTGCTCATTCCTCCTCTGCATTTTCAATCTTGCAATCTATATTGCGATGGTCCTTCTCCTCTCTTTTCAATTCTTCTTTTTCCAATTTTAATTTGTTTCTCTTTATCCACCCATCCCACCAGTAGCCAAAAAATTATGCCAGGAGTGAAAAAACTACTTCATAAATTAACGAAAGAATCTAAGGTAAAGCAACATCAGACTCGCAATTATAACAGTAATCCATATTTGGAAAATCAATACAGTACCAATCTGACCTTTTTCAATCAAGTTGGTGGTGACAATAATGACGCAGGAAAATTTGAAGATCGAGAAATTCCATCAATTTGTTATATCCCACTGAATAACCCTACACCTGTCAACTCTTCTAATGCAGATTTGGAAGATGCAAGAAGTGGTCCTTCTTCATCTTCGTCATCTATGTCCTGTGCCAACTCGTTTGTTTCAAAATCACTGTTGAAATGCTTATCACCATCTCACTCTTCAGGATCTTCTTTTAAACGGTTTAAATTACCAAAAGTTGTCAGGGACGAGGACGGGAGTTTTGTGAAAATTGAAAAATTGAAATTCTCTAAACGGGGCACTTTGTTGAATTACAAGACAAGACAACTGCTGCTGCTGCAGCAGTTGGGGTCGTCAAGAATCTTGCTGAGAAAGTTGAAACTGGTTACAAGAAACAGACCGAGTGGACAGAGAGTTAGAAACAGACGATTAAAAAGTATGATTCTAAATGGGGTTGTCAAGGAAGAGGACGAGAAACTGCTTCATGATGAGGACATCAACAAAGAGCAAGTATTTAAAAAGGAAGGTGCCGCATTGCCATCAACTAATTCAAGTTCTCTTCGAAAAGACACGAAAATTGGAAATCTCAATAACCATACAAAAGTTATCTCAGAAGAATCAACTTATCAACCAAGCCGTGTTAAGCTACTTGAGGAAAAGCAACCAAATGACGTATTGGCATCATTATCATCTATCTCATCTTCTCCTTCGTTAAAAAGATCAGCTTCAGCCAAAACATTTGAATCGAAATTCACACCTAGTTTTATTGCCAATACTATACCTTTGATTTTGACAACCACAAGCACATCTTCTACAAGTACAGCTGCAACCACAACAATACTAACCACCACTGCTGCTACTGCTACCTTTTCTGCTACTGCTACTGCTACTGCTGCAGCCACTGCAACCAATCCTACCGATATTTTCCACCACCACCACCATCATCATCATGATCAGGCAACAAGTGAGAAAAAGTTGGTTTGTGTAGTTGATTCAGGTGTTGATAATGTTGTATCATCCTCAGTTAGTGCACATGCCTCGATCGAGTTGACTGGTGATGAATTTGATGATAAACAGGTAAAGGATATCGGGACAAGCGAGTCTAAAGATGATATAACAAGTTTGATCATCTTTGATAATGAGGATGGTTTGAAAAAAACCAATGATGATGAGGAATCAAAGTGGATTCTTGTAAAGCAAAAATTCCAAAAGTATTTTTATAAGCTGCTGAAGAGACTCAATAAACTGGGGGTGCTAGAGGAAGATGATCGATTGGAATCAACGCCACTGCTACCGCCACTACTACCACCACCACCACCACCAACAACTACAACAACAACAATAACAACAACAACACTGTCTATCCAACAAAGCTTGAGTAGTGAGACTCCTCTGATTGGTAAAAAAGATGAGTATCCTGTGACTTCAATAGCTAATTCAACAACATATCCCCATTTGCACCCGCAACCGCACTACCATCAACAACAACAAACAGCAACTACTGCAGCAGTTCAACTCGCAACACCGCTTTCGGCACCACCTACGGTATTACCCGTGACAAACACAACAACCATGCTAACCAATCCACTTATCAAAAAGCCATCAAGAACGTACCTGTTTTACTCCCATGACAATACCAAGTCACTGAATATTAATCTTGTTGAATATATACAGAATTTAAATCGACAAAAAATGGATGCAAAAAATTTAGCCATCATGGGAAATGGTAGCCCAAGTGGATTAACTATGAATAGTTTTTCACATAATTATAACGGATATGTATATACTAAAGCGACTGAACCGGGTAAGCAAGCTACCACTACCACTACCACTACCACCACCACCACTACTACAAGCAGTGGTGGTGAATTTAAAGACCCCTCTTCAGGGGTGGTATATGGTGGTGAATTTAAAGACTCATCTCCAGGGGTGGTATATGGTGGTGGTGAAAGTTTTGGGTTAAGCAGGGCAAATGTTTTAAGAAGAAGAAATTATAACCATTATATGAGTAATAAAAATAAGAATAAATCAGAAGCCGAAGATGAAGAAGAAAAAGCAAAGATTATTCAAGAGGACCTTCATGCCTTTTTTAGTTATTATGAACAGCAACAGCAGCAAAGAGACTTGAAGAATGTCAAAGGGGAAGCAATTGATGATTTAACAGGAGCTTTATATTTTATTGTTAATGATCCAGAGGAAAAGCGACCAAGCGGATTTATGATTAGTCGCCACAGCAGTACTGGTGGAAATGGTGTAGTGAAGAAATTGCAATTTTCAACTGAACAAGTTGTTTCAGTTTCTGAAAAGAAAGCTTTTGATAACAACGAGAGTCACACTAACGAGGAAAAAGTAATGACTGGTGCATCTAAAGAACTGTTTCAACAACTGCAATTAAAATATCACTACTTACAATATAAGAGTCGAGGAAATCATATTTTCGCAACTCGCAATTTGAAAAATAAAAACCAAACAGTTGAAAAAGTGCAATTAGAAGATGTGCACACTATTGAGCAGAGCGAGATAGTGGAACACACTGACCTCTTACATACATTAGATGATGTGCAATTAGAAGATGTGCAATTAAAAGATTTGCAATTAGAAGATTTGCAATTAAAAGATTTGCAATTAGAAGACGTAGCTGGTATGGAATTAAAAACAGCACAACAAGTGGATATGTCAAGTAGAAAGTACAATTCTGAAGAAATTAATGTCAAATCCGTTTCCAGTTTGGAAAATGGATCTAAACAAGAAAAAATTCCTAAAATCGAATCTGAAGAGGAATGTGAAAGCTCAAACGACGGAGATGACGAACAAAGCGGTGGCGAAGAAGAAGAAGAAGAAGAAGAAGAAGAAGAAGAAGATGATGATGATGAGAGAAGTTTGGATCTAATAAATTTTAGTCTCTCATGAGATCAATAAAATTGTAGTGTTTAGAATAATAGTAATAAAAAAAAAAGATAGAAGTATTAAACCTATATCGGTAATACACCATACCAAAAAATGTGGGTCATCCCAGACTTGCACTATCGAGCAGAGCGAGATATTGCAACAAGCTACTAGACACTATCGAGCAGAGCGAGATATTGTAACAAGCTACTAGACACTATCAAGCAGAGCGAGATATTGCAACAAGCTACTAGACACTATCGAGCAGAGCGAGATATTGTAACAAGCTACTAGACACTATCTCGCTCTGCTCGATGGTGCTGTAACAAGCTAGTTGTTGTATCAAAGTTGGTCAAAATTAGATTTATGGCCCTTTCTTCTATCCTACGTCTTGTCTCTCCCCCCCCCCCCGCATACACACCATATTACAGGAGATAAAGATGAATTTATACGTGGTAGCACAACATACATAAAGCCATTTGTTCAAAGATCAGCAATGCCGCGCCCCCACCTATAAAAAAGTATGGGCCTTTTTTTCCTCTTCTTTATCATATGAGAAGCAAAGATTTAGTAGGATAAGGATATATTAGGCGTGTAGATAGTATTCAGAGTGTAGTGGAGTGTTTGCTAGTTTAACTACTGTTAGTGTTTTATTTATTATGACGTTTTCAACGGGAAGAGGAGGTGCCGGGAATATACACCATCATCATCAAAAGACCTCAGAAAATAATGTTTTATCGCCCCAACTTTCAGTTCACAAGTCACCGGTGCCACTTGAACCGGGTAATGGTAATGACAGTAGTTTGAAAAAGACAACAAGTAATAATGGCAAGAAAATTTACTATTCTACTGGCCGTGGTGGTGCAGGAAACATTCGTTCAACGGATTCTGAACAATTATCTCCGAAATTGATACCGCAAGGCTCAAATACACCACATTTAACCACATCAAAAATTTCGACTGGTCGTGGTGGGTTTGGCAATATGGTTGAGAATACCGATCCACAGTTGACTAGAAAATTACAAGATGTCGATGGTGAAGAGTTAAATGAGCGGTCTCCTGAATTACAAGCCATGAATTCCAATAGAAGCTTTAGTGTAGGACGTGGTGGATTTGGTAACGTTATTCTGAAATCCAAAAGCCGCGTTTCGCAAGGACTGGCCTCGGATCTGGATCAGGCGGTTAATTTGTACACTGTGAGCTCAAGAGGTGATAAGCACCACAAGAAGAAGCTGCTGGGGATTCTAACCAGGATTAAGGAGATGTTTTCATAAATGAGAGTTAAATATTGTTGACAATTGTTGACGAGAGATATTAACATCTCCTCAAGTACCCTGTTCTTTTTTAGTTTTCTTCATTTTCTAGCGATGAGGTATAGAGCATGTCATTTGATTATAGGTAATTATTTGTTTAAAGAGAATCGGCAATTACTGTTTAACGAGATAATCAGCAATTGTCTATTCAAAGAGAAAATATCTAGACAATTGTCTTTTTAAAGGGATAGTAAGTAGTCTCTTACTTTATCCAAGGCTTTGTATCTATGACTTATTGAGTTCTTTACCTTTTTCTCCATTTCAGCATAAGTCTCATTAAATCCTTGAGGCTGGAAAATTGAATCCCAACCAAAATTAGTTGGACCTCTGCTATCTACAATTTGACCACGAGTTATTCCTTGGAAAATCACCACTTCTTTCCCCGGTCCTTCACAATATCCAAACGTACATATAGCACTTGCTCGTTTATCCTCATATCCGAGTAACATTTTAACCAACCCATCCAATCCTATAGCTTGAACAAACCATTTTACATAAGGGCCAGGGAGGGTTTGATTATATGCATCGAATGTCAAACACGTATCCTCAACTAGCACGGGTCCGTCTATGGCCTTTGCCGCTGTTTGTGCTTTATTTATCGTCACTTGTTCTATTGTTCCTTGTATTTCATCGAGATCAATGGATTTATTAACTATCGTGAATTTACCTACCTTGTTATTGAGATTCTTGCCATTTTCATCAGATTCAGAGCAAGTCGATAAAATCGCCAACACTTCCTTCAATTTATTTGCATTCCCCGTGACGAATGTAATAGTTGACATTGTAACTCTATAAAAGTAGTCCCCCCCTGTAATGGCGGAAAAGAGAATTGAAAAATTTGAAAAAAAAAGGAAATAAAATTAACCACTGGTTTTGTAAGGAGTCGTTACTCCTGGGTGCAAAGGACAAGAGAGCCCATTGAAGAGCCCATTGAAGAGCCCATGTCAGTGACAATCAGTGCTGCTCCACTAGGGAGCAAAGCGAGATAATAAGAGAGCCCATTAAAAACCCCATGTCAGTGACAGTCAGTGACAGTCAGTGACAGTCAGTGTGCACCACTCGATAGTAAGAGAACCCCATAAAAGAGTACAAATAACCCTTCAGGAAAAGTTTCAATTGCATTGACAAAGAAAATTTTGAATAAACTATGGAGAAATCAAAATATTATATACAGTATATGACCATAACAAAGTCAAAAAGTTTACCACAAATGAATACATTATCGAGCAGAGCGAGATAGTGTCGTTCAGTGTGCTTATTTACCTAATCTCCTTCTCAATGCCCTTTGAGCTTTTCTTCTTTTCTTATGTTTGTGTTTCTTCATTTTCAATCTCCTTTTACGCAAAACCGAATCGGCCTGTATCTCGCTGGTTTCCTCAATATCGCAATTCTTTACGAGATCAAAAGTAAACAGCCTTGACCTTTCAACTGAAGGCAACATTATGGAAGAAGGTTTTATAAGAAACATTGATGGTGGTCGCGATATCCTGCTAAAGTTTATATGAGGTACATAGGATGTGCTAAAGTTATGAGGTATATAGGATGTGCTAAAGTTATGAGGTATATAGGATGTGCTAAAGTTATGAGGTATATAGGATGTGCTAAAGTTATGAGGTATATAGGATGTGCTAAAGTTATGAGGTATATGGGATGATGCGTTGCGTGTAATAGCTCTTAGACTTGTACTGATTCCCCTATTGGAATATGTCAAAATACTTTTAATCATCATAACTCTACCCACCAAGCAGTATCTCAAAGGGTTATGGCCATAAAGGGTGAATACAATGCCATAAAGAGTAAATGTGTATTCTTAGTGAACAAAAAAAAAAATTGTGAAAAATCTGCAATGATTTATTGGACGAGCTACCATATGTGGACAGATATGGTAGATCATCATCATCATCATCATCATCATCAGCGTCATCAGCGTCATCAGTGTCACTACCGAGTTACAGGAAGAGGGGGAAGGGCAGGGGGTACATTTTCCACAATATGTTAGATTTCTAAAAGTCTACTTCTATATTCATTACAATGTCATCGGAACATTCAACGATGAATCCTGTTTCTCCAACGATCCGGTTTGACGAACTTACATATCCCATCATTTGCGTTTTCCAATGTTTCACATCATATTTCAAACCATGACTAGAAAGAATAATTGGTTTATTACTTAATGGTAATAATCCACACGTTGGTGGGATTTTGTCCCCCATTCGACTAAATGTGGTCTTTGATGGGTATGCCACGTAATTGACCCCCTTGTATAGTAAGAATATAATATCGTTATGTGTATGAAAGAAAATTTCTAAATTCTTTGCTGTTTGATGTAAAATGTATAGTTGATTAATGGATTGTATTGTTTGGTCAAATCTTCCTCCTATAGCTGAAAGTGTATTGACCTTTATGGGAATACTACTCAAATTGGAAAATTTCGTTTCCCAAATTTGTGATAATCCATTTTCAACTTCAATATTATCAGGCCATGCCTCGCCATTGGCAAGAAATTGAAAATGCAATTGAATACAAAGTATTGCTTTGGAAAAATCATTAATATACTCGCTGCTTTGCTCGATTAAATGAGCTCCCTGAGATTTGTAAAATTGGGCTATTTCCTTATCGATCGAATCAAAGTCCCCTACAATGTAGTTTGGTATATATTTGCTTTGCAATTGAGCGCATGTATCCTTGGTCAAGTTGGGTTTGTTTGCAAAGTATTCATAAAGCCGATTCGCAGCACCGTCTGCACAAACAACAATACTGGATAGTTCCCATAAAGGTATCAAATCAAGATCAATTTCTTGATTTAAAATTAAGAGGGCTCTATTCTGATTACCATCGTGCGATAAATATGAAAATGGCTCAATTAACCGATATGAACAAGAAAAAGAGTCCGTTTTCTCCTCCCCGTTTTTGGGACGCTCAATTACTAGCGAGTTCGGCTGTACCGTAACTTCCTTCTTCAATTCCTCTTCTCTTGACATATCAATCCCATCTACTATGAAAATGAAGGCCCGTTTTGCAATAAAACAAAAAAACAAAAAAAAAAAAAAAAAAGTTAACCCGTAAGAAATTGCTTTGAGATATTCATCATAGACAATGAGCGGACTTGGAGCTAATGCTGGTGCTGGTGCAGCTTCTACTCCTGTTAAACCGACGACGATATCGGGTAACAATGGTACATTTGCTGGAACGCACTCAAATGCCGCAGTGTCGGCTAGTAATGCAACAACACAAATAGAAAAGAAAGAGGCTATAGTTCCAAGAGATGTGCGATTACTTCATCTCATCTTTGCAACTCAAGGTATACAGAATTATCAAGACCATGTTCCGCTCCAGCTAATGGATTTTGCTCATAGATATACCAAACTGATTTTGAAAGATGCTCTTATATATAATGATCATGCCAAACCACCAGGGGTTAATCCTTCAGCGACAAACGCAACAGTAAATACAGATGATATCCGATTAGCGATTACTGCTAGAAGCAATTATCAGTTCAAACCTGTTCCTCCAAAGGAATTGATGTTGGAGTTGGCTCAAGAAAGAAACTCAAAACCTTTACCTCCAGTTATACCTAAATGGGGGTTAAATTTACCTCCAGAAAAGTATTGTTTAACGGCAAAGAACTGGAGTAGTATATATGATGAGCCTGAAGAAAGTTTAAAGGAAGATAGTGGACAGCAAAAGAAGAAGATTAAAACGACACTATCGACGACACTATCGACGACACTATCGAGCGGAGCGAGATAGTATCATCGAGCAGAGCGAGGTAGTGTTGGTGGCAGAGCGTGATAGTATCATCGAGCAGAGCGAGGTAGTGTTAGTGGCAGAGCGTGATAGTATCATCGAGCAGAGCGAGGTAGTGTTGGTGGCAGAGCGTGATAGTATCATCGAGCAGAGCGAGGTAGTGTTAGTGGCAGAGCGTGATAGTATCATCGAGCAGAGCGAGGTAGTGTTGGTGGCAGAGCGTGATAGTATCATCGAGCAGAGCGAGGTAGTGTTAGTGGCAGAGCGTGATAGTATCATCGAGCAGAGCGAGGTAGTGTTGGTGGCAGAGCGTGATAGTATCATCGAGCAGAGCGAGGTAGTGTTAGTGGCAGAGCGTGATAGTATCATCGAGCAGAGCGAGGTAGTGTTGGTGGCAGAGCGTGATAGTATCATCGAGCAGAGCGAGGTAGTGTTGGCGGCAGAGTAGATAGTGTTGGTGGCAGAGTGAGATAGTGTTGGTGGCAGCTAGTGTCGGTGAAAGTCAGTGTGCTCCACTATCTCGCTCTCGATAGGGATGCTATTAAATGCTGCTCCACTATCTCGCTCCGGTCGATAGTGTCGGTCGATAGCGTCGCTCGATAATTCTCATCTCTTAGTGTTAGTGGCAGAGTGAGATAGTGTTAGTGGCAGAGTGAGATAGTGTTAGTGGCAGAGTGAGATAGTGTTAGTGGCAGAGTGAGATAGTGTTGGCGGCAGAGTGGTATAGTGTTGGTGGCAGAGTGAGATAGTGTTGGTGGCGGAGTGAGATAGTGTTGGTGGCAGAGTGAGATAGTGTTGGTGACAGAGTGAGATAGTGTTGGTGACAGAGTGAGATAGTGTTGGTGACAGCTAGTATCGGTGACAGTCAGTGTGCTCCACTGTATTGCTCTCGATAGGGATGCTATTAAATACTGCTCCACTATCTCGCTCCGCTCGATAGTGTCGCTCGATAGTGTCGCTCGATAGTGTCGCTCGATAGTGTCGCTCGATAGTGTCGCTCGATAGTGTCGCTCGATAGTGTCGCTCGATAGTGTCGCTCGATAGTGTCACTCGATAGTGTCGCCCTGGTTACTATGCCTCCCCAGTTAAACGAGCTCTTTAAAAAATTCAACATAAAATTGAAAACGCATTGAAAAATTTCAACTTCAATTTCTTTTCATTCTTTTTTTTTTTTTTTCCACTTGTATTAATAACGAATAACTTAATAAGGTATCGTGTTTGCTATTTTCAATTTATTGGAAGATGCTCCCTACGACGCTAGGATTGATTCCTGAGGTGAAGGAGGAGTACCCTGGTGCTTGTTTAGTAGAGCGTACTGCTCGCTTACAACAATTTGTTGAATTGGGACCACCAGATGTATGTAACATTTATAAGCATTCGATAAACTCTAAAAGAGAACATGGAGAAATTGGTACATTTTTGTACTTTACAGGGGTTGATACCTCATCCATAGCGCTGATTGCTGCTCATTTGCAAAGTTTGGCTAATTTGATGACTTCGAAACTGCAGTATTGGTTTGGTGAAAAAAAGCACTGGAAAGTACCTCAGTTGACCTATTGCACCTTTAATGCTTTTAGTAAAGTTGATATGAGAGTAACCGTTCATATACCGGGCAAATTTGAGATTCAGATATTGAATCAAGACGGGAAAATGATCCAGAACAAGGTCAATGAGGAACAATTGGAGAAATTTTGGATGGAAACTTTTTGTACATCGATTATACGTTGTGTGTTGGAAAGTGAAGATGGCGATGATGTCAACAAAGTCGGTGGTGTTGTTGAAATTAGAAAGGTTAATCCATTCAATAATGGAACCGCTTCAAAGGAATTATTAAATAATTTTTTAAATGCATTTGAAGAGTTGTTCTTTCAAGGCACAAAGTTGGGGTGCAACGTTGATATACCTCAGCCTACTTTGATCAACAACTATCTTGTAGATGGGTTTATTAAGGTTATACAGTTGACTCAAAGTTACGACCAAGGATTGGAGATTATGAATCGATTATACAAAATCGAACCCAGTGTATTATCAATCATTGCCAAGATTCAATTATTGAAACAAGATGAGATTGAAGCGGTAAAGACCATGTATAAGGGAATTCAAGAAAATAAACGAGACTCAAACACATTAGTTTTGCAAGCTCAATATTGCTTGGAGAAGAAAAAACCAGAGTTGGCACTTGAATTGGCCAAACAAGCAGTTAAGTCATCGCCATCGGACTTTTTGACCTGGTCTGTATTGGTTGCATGTTATACGAAATTAGGAAACTATGAAAATGCTTTATTGACATTGAACTCGTGTCCAATGAATTCACATAAGGAAAAGTATCAATTGAAAAGAGTGGTGCCAATAAGATCACACGAGGATTTGCATTTGCCATCACCATTGGATGTCACTATGGATGAAGTTTCTAATTTGCAAAGTAATGATATAAGTTATGAGCACAAGAATTTAGATCCCCAATTGGCAAATTTGCCAGCAGCAAATCTCAAATCCACTTATGCCAAAGCTTATGATTTGTTGACTGAAATAGTTGCCAAAACAGGTTGGGAGTTATTGTTGAAGTACCGTGCAAAAGTATTTGTTATGGAAGAGGAGTACCGAAAGGATAAAAAGAGTTCAAATGCAAGTGCAAACGGTCATTTACGTAAGAATTTCACACAATCTACAGTTAGTATGAATAATGTTTCTACAGATACTAATGCTGCTGCTGCTGCTACTACTACGACTACTGAGAGCGATGTTGATTCAACGACTGCTGTGAAATCTCCAAGAGAAGTAACTGATGGTAGTGGTGGTTCCATTCCAGATGATTCAGTAGTGGATGCTGCTGATGCTGCTACTGCTACTGATGCTGCTACTGCTAATGATGCTGCTACTGATGCTGCTACTGCTACTGATGCTGCTACTGCTACTGATGCTGCTACTGCTACTGATGCTGCTACTGCTACTGATGCTGCTACTGCTACTGATGCTGCTACTGCTACTGATGCTGCTACTGCTACTGATGCTGCCCCCATTTCTGACAACAAGGGTGACACCAGTTCACAGGAGTCCTTCAACTACGAAGATGAATTTCGAAAGAAACGGTTATGTGAAAGATGGTTAGATAATTTGTTCATGTTATTATATGAAGATTTGAGAGTTTATACTATGTGGCAAGCAGAATCTTTACATTTCCAGGCTCAACAAATGGAGTATAAAAAGACTACTTTAGAATGGGAGATTCTTGGTTCTATTGCATACAGATTGAAGCACTACAAGGAAGGGTCAGTTGCTTTTGCTAATGCATTGAGTGGAAGATTTTCTGCAAAATCACAGAATGAGATGTTAAAGTATTATTTGAAAGAACGGAATAAGCTATTAACGAGAAACACTCAACAACAACAACAACAACAACAACAACAACAACAACCACTGCAGCTGCAGCAGCTGTTGCAGCAACTGCTGGCGAGTGGCAATTTTGTACAAAATTATTCCAAGATGATGAGTCGGTTAAATGAAAAGATTTTAGAAAGTATAGTCAAATTACTAGTTTGGAACCATCGATGGTATTGTGATTTTTCACCTTATTTGCTATTATGTCTAAGTGACTTAGTCTCATGGGAAGGATCCTTAAGATTGGAGAGTTCTATTAAAGCGTTATATAACGAGAGCAAATTACCAGGACATAGTGGTGGGTTTGGTTCTAGTCCAGTTAAAGAGTCCCATAGAGACAAGAATGAATTAATTGGCAACCATGGAGTAGTTGAAATGATGAAAGACTTGAATGATGACTATATCAAATTATACAATCTAAGCAACGCCGATTAACGTCATTACTTAAAACACTTGAGAGAAAAGATAAGATTACTAATTCGACACTTTAAACACTTTTTTGACACTCTTTACAATATATGAATTCTACAAGAAAACTCCTCTTAACCAATCATCAGTTCTAAAGCATCATTTTTAGTTTCGTCGTGAAGGAAAAAAAACAAAAAACAATTTAGTTATAGATCACGAGAGATGCCGTAATTTTTCATTTACCTAGAGAAGATCCCTCTTCAAAGAAGATGCTAAAATAACTACAAATTGATATTACTCTACTTCTTCTTCTTCTTCTTCTTCTTCTTCTTCTTCTTCTTCTCTTTTGCTCTGGACTCTTTTTTTGGGCTTCATTGGTTATAATGTCTGCGTCGGAAAGATTAGGGATGTTTTCTCAGCATCTTGATAAATCTTTAAATGATGAAAAGAAGAGAATTAGTTCTTTTCCTATGCTTTCAAGTGCTGAGCGTGAAAGGTATTCGGGAAAGGATTTCTACAAGATAAAACATTGAATAGAGAGTGGACAACGGTGTGGGTGGCACATATGGACCTATTGGCCTAGGCATTGATTTAGAAGCAATGTAAAAATAAAGGAAAATATCAACAGTTTGAATAAAACTAGAAAATGTCGTCGTTATCGTATTTCTGCTATATACATAAATAAAAGCTAAAAGAATTGTCAATCAAAAGAGTTTTCAGGCAAAAGAATTGTCAAGCAAAAGAGTTTTCAAGCAAAAAAGTTGTTAACTAAAGGAGTTGCTTGCTGATGTGGGCCATTACTTTTCCTCGGGAGAAGCCTTATTTTCAATAGCTTTCGATTTTTCACCTTCATTGTCAAAGCCTTGCTTTGCCAATTCTCTCAACTCTTTTCTGGATTCTTCCAACCTCTGTTTTCTTGCTTGGATAATAGCATCTCTTCTTTCCAATTCTTCGACCCATAACTTTTCACGAACCTTGGCCTTTTCCTTTAGTTTTTCCTCGCGGGTCTTTTTCTTTTCCAAATGGGATGACCCTAAGGTCATACCACCGACTACGAGTGCTACTAACGTTGCTAATTGAAACGCAATCCTATATCTAAAGTATTTTTGAGTCTTTAATTTCTCACCTCTCTTCATTGATCGAGCAGCCATTACCACTGCACCTGCGGTAAGTATGGAGCCAATAGGTACGAGTGGTTGCTGTTTCGACTTTTGCCACATCTTTTGCAAAAGATCAGGCTCTCTTGATAAGAATCGTTAGTGGTTTACTGACTTGTATACATTGCCTTTAATAACATACTCTTCGCCAAATGAGAGCGAGGAAGGGAGATTCATGCTCATTTTTTTGTAGTGAAACGAGTATAGGACAATACTTGGAAAGTTAAGAGATAAAGCTTGAAACACGAGCTCTTACTTGTTTGTAACTGGTGAGTGAAGCTTAATATTAGAAAGCGTTTAAGATTTAATTTATATATTTTGTTAGTTGATCTTTAACTATGCATAGAATTAAAGCGATGATAATTTGCTCGCTTGGAAAATGGAGCTATTAAAAAACGACTATCGAAAGCAACACTATCGAGCAGAGCGAGATAGTGTTGTAACAAGCTACTCAGTGTTGAGTGTTGTTACAAGCTACTGAGTGTTGAGTGTTGTAACAAGCTACTGAGTGCTGAGTGTTGAGTGTTGTAACAAGCTACTGAGTGCTGAGTGTTGAGTGTTGTAACAAGCTACTGAGTGCTGAGTGTTGAGTGTTGTAACAAGCTACTGAGTGCTGAGTGTTGAGTGTTGTAACAAGCTACTGAGTGTTGCTCCACTATCTCGCTCCGCTCGATAGTGTCGCTCGATAGTGTCGCTCGATAGTGTCGCTCGATAGTGTCGCTTATTAATTTCTTTATTCTTGCAATATAAACTGCTTCATCTCATTATACGCACTCTCCAAATCATCATTGACAATAATTTTATCATGAGCTCCGCTATTGGCATATTCCATTTCGCTAGCAGCAGCAGCAATTCTCTTTGCCAAACTGTCTTCGGTTTCAGTGCCTCTTCCATCTAATCGGCTACGTAGTATTTCGATTGAGGGCGGACTTATAAATAAATACCTTGCATTTAATTTTGTTTGTTTAACTGCCTTGACACCTTGCATATCAATGTCCAAAATGCATATTTTGCCCTGTTTGAGCACATCTTCAACAGCTTTTATACTAGTTCCATAATAATTTCCAGAAAATTGAGCCCATTCAATAAACTTACCTTCTTCGATAAGTTTTTTGAATTGTTCAACCGTGGTGAAATGGTAATCCTTACCGTCAACTTCACCAACTCGTGGCTGTCTCGTAGTATTGGATATGGAAAATCCAAACTCTTGAGGATACTCATTAAATAGTTTTTTCAAAAGGGTAGATTTTCCAGTCCCTGAAGGTCCAGAGATAACTACAGGTCTTTTTTCTAAACCGCCATTAGCTCCAGCAGCATTCGACATCTTACTCACAAAAATTTACCTAGCGCTTAAACACCAAGAAAAGAGTTACGCCCAACTCAACTATAAATGAAAAATTCTAGATATACAAAACATCTCAACTCTATAGTGAAAAACTTTTTTTTCTGTTCCACTAGCGAGCAAAGCGAGCTAGTGGAACGGCACTGACAGATTTCACACTAGTGAGCAAAGCGAGCTAGTGGAACGGCACTGACAGATTTCACACTAGTGAGCAAAGCGAGCTAGTGGAACGGCACTGACAGATTTCACACTAGTGAGCAAAGCGAGCTAGTGGAACGGCACTGACAGATTTCACACTAGTGAGCAAAGCGAGCTAGTGGAACTGCACTGAATAGCTTGTAACAACACTATCGACACTAGCTCGTTTTCCTCGCTAGTGGAGCAGCACCGACGGGTTTGACACTAGCTCGTTTTGCTTGCTAGTGGAGCAGCACTTATAGGTTTAATTGCTTCAATAGTAGTTGTAGGTTTGGTACCCATGCATACTCCAACAGAGATGGGTTCATGGGTTGCCTTTACTGATAAAAATATAACAATGTTGATATTTTCAGGATAAGGTAGACATAACTAACTGGTAAATGACTCTATTTAATAACTTTAACTTCTATATATATGTAATATATGTCAGTGTATACGTACTGGCAGCCGACACTATCGACACTATCGACACTATCGAGCGAAGCGAGATAGTGGAGCACCATTGACTAGTGACACTATCGACACTATCGACACTATCGAGCGAAGCGAGATAGTGGAGCACCATTGACTAGTGACACTATTGACTAGTGACACTATCGGCACTAGTGTCGGTGGCAGCTAGTGCATATGTACTGGCAGCTAGTGTCGGTGGCAGCTAGTGTATACTTACTAGCAGCTAGTGTCGGTGGCAGCTAGTGTTGATCTATTTACTATCGACTAGACTCGTTTCACTCATCTAGTCTCTCTCCACTATCTCGCTCTGCTCGATAGTGTCGCTTGCCATGTTGATAATAATGCCAAAAGAGGTTTGGCTCGCCCCAAATAAATTTTGTCGACCGAAATTGGATTAGATTGGTCGTGACGGCGGTCGATGCTTGATGTCCGCCGTGTCGACCAGTCGTGTCCATTTCCATGAAAAAAAAAAAAGCATTAGCTAAAGTCATTACTCTTGTAAAGGTAACCAATAAACCAATAAACCAGTGATATATCCCATAGCTGTTGTTTGTTAGAGGGAAAGAGGTGTTATAAAATATTGCTATTAGCGGTTAATGTCTTTTCAAGTAACTTTTCCAGAGCTCAAAAATGCGTTAACAACGATGTATTCCAATGGATCACGCGATGACAAGACCAGAGCCACGCATTTTCTTGAACAATTTCAGAAATCGCAAGAGGCATGGAAACTAACTCATGAAATCCTTAATGACAAGTCATTGGGTGATTTGCAATTGAAATTATTTGCAGCTCAAACTTTACGATCTAAAGTTGTTTACGATTTATCTACTCAAGTACAAGAGTCAACTTATGATGCATTGAAAAGTTCCATATTGAATTTGTTGAAGCTATATAATGGCAAGAGTGAAAGGTTGATAAGAATTCAACTATCCATTGCATTATCGCAACTAGCGTTGCAGTATCTCTCGTGGACTTCAGCCATGAACGATATCGTGTCCAGTTTGACCGAGTCTAACCAAAATACACTTGTATTATTGGAATTCTTAAAGATTTTACCAGAGGAGCTATCCGACGTGAAAAAGTCTCATTTGACTGATGAGGAATATAACAAAAGATCAAAAGAGTTGGTAACCGATCAAGTTGAATCGGTAATACTCATATTGAAAAATCTCACCGAGAACAATACAAACAATAACCAAGATTTAAATTCCGCTATATTGGACTGTTTGAATAGCTGGATAACAGAGTGTCCAATTGAACAGATATTGCATATCGATTCATTAACTGCATTGATTTTCCAAAGCTTGTCTCAAGACTCAACGTTTGATAAAGCTATCGAATGTTTGGCAACAATAATTAGAGAAACTAGAGATATTGATAACTACCATATTATTGATACCTTGTACCAACAAATTTTGAAATTGAATAAATTCATGCATCAAAGTCCTGACAAATTGGAGGACTTGGAAACAATAGAAGGATTGACCAGATTATACGTCGAGTGTGGGGAATCGTGGCATACCTTGATTGCCAAGAATCCCAAGCACTTTAAACCTTTGGTAGAAATATTATTGGAATGTACCAGTTATGAAGAAGATTTGGATATCGTCAAGTATACATTTCAATTTTGGTACCTATTAAAGCAATTAATAATTATTCCAAAATTTCAAGAATCTAGAGAGGAGTTTAGTGATGTTTATCTAAGGCTAATTGCAATAATTATTAAACATTTGACATACCCAATTGCAAAAAATGATAATGATTTATTCAACGGTGACAAGGAGCAAGAAGATAAATTTAAAGAGTTTAGGTACGAAATGGGATATGTTTTAAAAGATTGTTGTGCTGTTGTTGGAGCATCTAGAGCTCTACAAGTTCCATTTGAGCAGATAAAATCCATTTTGTCAAACTCTCTGGGACACTGGCAATATCTTGAAGCGCCCTTATTTTCAATGAGAACCATGGCAAAGGAAGTGCCAGCAAAGGAAAAAACCATATTACCCACCATCATGTCATTTTTGGTGCGATTACCAGAACACCCAAAGGTCAGATATGCCGCTACATTAGTTTTGGGAAGATATACTGAATGGACAGCAAAGAACCCGGAATTTCTAGAGCAACAATTGAACTATATCACCCACGGTTTTGAAGTTGCCAACAACAACAACGATATTATGATGGCTACTTCGCACGCCTTGATGTACTTTTGCCAAGACTGCTCAGAGTTGCTTTTGAACTACTTGGAGCAGTTGTATATTTTATATAACCAAGTACGAGGTCAAATCGATTTGGATTCGAATTATGAGTTAAGTGATGGATTAGCTCATGTTGTTGCAAAAGTACCCGAAGAGAATCTTTACAAGACTTTGGAAATGTTTTTACAGCCAACATTGGATTTGTTGCAAAACCTTGTATCTATGCCTGTTTCGGAAGCTGGCAATAAAGAAATGGCGGATCAGTTGGAGATTATTTGTATATACATTGATGTTTTAAAAACTAGTGAGTTTGACAAACCAACATACGCGGTAGCTACCTTGTTTATTGAAAAGATATGGCCATTGACAACTACCATTTTAACAAAAGATGCCACTTCCTTAATTGTTAGCGAAAAGTGTATGAAATTAATCAAGAGTGCCATTTTATCATTTAGTTCATACTTGAATTCCATTTTACCTCAAATAGCCGAGATTTTACATCAAGGATTTAAACAAACTCATTTTGGATGTTATTTGTGGGTCACTGGAGTTGTTATTAGAGTGTTTGGAGATGACGAATTTTCACCACCCGAAATCACTTTAGCAGTTTACGAATTTGCTATGCAACAAGCTCAATTATTTTTTGAACAGTTGTTTTCTCAAAAGAGTCAAGGAGAAGTTGAAAATTGTTCTGAAGTTATTGAGGACTTCTTTCGTATGACGAATGATTTATTGATGTTTTATCCATTTGAGTTTATCCCTAATTTTGACTTTTTAACGTCGATATTTAAAGCTTGTCAAATCGTCTTGAGCATTGTTAACGAATACAATCCAATAATTTCCTGTATTCACTTTTTGATTGATTTGGTTTCATGGGGATTAGAGCATCCGCCAATCTCGTTATTTGAGCAACAGGATACAGAACCATTGAAACAAGCTATCAAGCAGTTTCTTATTGTGGACAACCATGGTGGAGATCTTTTAAAAGTTGTTTTGAATGGCATAATTTTCAAATTTCATGCTGATGTGCAACAGGATGCTAATGATTTGATTTTGAAAATACTCGTTGTTGTGACAAGTGTTGAAATGGCCATCAATTGGTTAAGATCAGCTGTAGTAGATTTACCCAATGTCAATGAGAAGGAGATGGACCGATTAATTGATACCGTCACTGTTGCATTGCAAAATAAGGATAATAGAAGAGTCAGATCAGCTCTAAAAGACTTTATTAATTGGTACTCGAGAAAGAATATCAGCCCGAGATCCGAATTTCAAGGATATACTCACTAACTTGTCGATTAATCTATTTATGTACAAATTGAAAGGAAGTCATTTTACATACTGCTCTCCTACTTCCTCCTCTGCTCTCCACTGCTCTCAACTGCTCTCAACTGCTCTCAACTGCTCTCAACTGCTCTCCACTCCACTGCTCTCCACTCCACTGCTCTCCACTCCACTGCTCTCCACTCCACTGCTCTCCACTCCACTGCTCTCCACTCCGCTCTGTGATCATCTCCCTTTTCAAAATGTCTTTGGAGCCAAAGAGACAATCTTGTTATAATTCAAATTTCTCAACTCTTTAGCAACAACAGAATTGATTCTAGTTCCCAAGGGCTCACCATTTTTATTTATCAATACACAAGCATTATCATCGAAACGAACTACTGACCCATCTGGTCTCCTAAACGGTGCCTTTGTCCTCACTATAACTGCTCGACATATATCTCTTCTCTTAACTCTATTCGCCGCCGACGACGTTCCATGAACAGAGTCGAAATTTGTAGGTCTAGCTTGTTTCACTACACATGTTATTTGATCACCTACATGGCCACAAGATTTTGGTTTATGGCGAAGAATTTTTATACATTCAACTACTTGAGCCCCAGAGTTGTCTATAACGTTAAGTAGCGTCTTGAGGTATATCATGGGCAAATATAGGCAAACACCGGCAGAATACGGGGTAAATACAAACCAATACAATTTAATATATCTATTGTAGAACTCTATGTCGATGGTATATAAAATATTTTTCACTTTTATTTTATTTTATTTTTTTTTTTTCACCAACGCTATGCTCTATCAAGTGCCTGTTTAATCTGGCTCTTCAGTAGCACCAACGACACTATCGAACACTATCGAACACTATCGAACACTATCGAACACTATCGAGCGAAGCGAGATAGTGGAGCATCTCTGACTGACTCTATCGAACACTATCGAGCGAAGCGAGATAGTGGAGCATCTCTGACTGACTCTATCGAACACTATCGAGCGAAGCGAGATAGTGGAGCATCTCTGACTGACTCTATCGAACACTATCGATCGCTTCGCTCGATAGTAGAGCATCACTGACTGACTCTATCGATCGCTTCGCTCGATAGTGGAGCATCTCTGACTGACACTATCGACCGAAACTATCGAGCAGACCCTTTCAAGTGCCTGTTTAATCTGACTCTTCAGTAGCACCAACATTGTGACAAGCTACTAGGCGCTGCTCCACTATCTCGCTCTGCTCGATAGTGTCCGATAGCGTCAAAGAAATAATTAAAAGTACTACATCCACAAACGCTATGCTCTATCAAGTACTTTAATCTAGCTTTTTATCTATTTCAATGGATGCTTCTTCAGTAGCACCAACGACCCAGTCGTAGACCCTTTTCATGGTTAAGAATTGGAAGTAAGCGACAAAGGCAACAATGGCAAAAATTAGTACACGATGAAAGTCCTTTTCTACATCCATAAATTGGTAAGGGTAACTTCCCCCATTTTCTTTATCGATCAAACTTTCAAGTAAAAACCAGTAAAAAACAGTGAGTACAACCATGAACGATAGCGCAGTATTGTTGCTAATTGTCCATTTTGGCATAAATACCAAATAATCCACAAGTAAGCTAACCACGGGCATTAAATGAATAGATAAATCGGTTAACAATGGTACTTGAAACTTTGATGGATCCTTGGTAAGCAAGTGGAGAAAGAAGACACGCAAAGGCCAATATATACCAGCAACTATAAGCTCCAACGCTAAACCAATAGGGTGAATATTGTTTTTAATTTGATAAAGCGTCTTGGATTTGGTAATATGGGCGAAAAATCCAATTGCAAACACTACTAAGGAATAAACAAGTGACAAATTGGTCAAAAATTGCCAATGGCCTGCTTTTGCTAGGTGAGATGGTAGTTCAACGGTATATATGTTTGTATATGCACCATAAGCACCTATCAATATTGATAACAAGTCTATAATTGTAATGAGGGGATTACCTACTCTCCTTCGAGAATATGGAGCCGTTACAGTAGTTGTTTGGGTTTCTTTCACCTTGTTTTCGAGAGACATTATTTGAAAGTCTAAACTTTTCTACTCTAAATCTAGTTTCTAAGTTGTTGAGCTTACTTTTGAGCTTGTCTTGCTTCAAAGTTGTAGAGCTTGCTTTTAAGCTTGTCTTTGCTATTAAGTTACTAAACTGCTACTGTTTACTTTCAAGTATTGAAGCTGACAATATATGCTTCTACTAAATAGTCAAGGGTAATTGAATAAATACAGTAGGAGCTTGTCATGCATACCTATAGCAAATGTTGAAAAAAAGTGCATATAATATGGTCACGTGATTTGTAAGTAACGAAAAGTTTCAAAAGTAAAGAGACCCGTGGGGGGATTGCCGAAAGAAGTCAGGAGGAATGAAGAGCGGCGTTTTAAGCCATTTGTCTTGTATTTTATTATGTTGCATTGTTTCCTATATCTTATTAAATTGTATTACTCCCTATTTTTTTTTTCCCTTAATAAAAGCTATACTAATGACATTCTTACTTGTCACTTTTACCAAATAACTTTGAAAAAGGTTTTGTTCTTGATGTAGACCTTGATCGACTGCTTTCGGTATCAAGTTTTCTACCTCTATTCTCTTCTGCCAAGTTGGTGAATGAGGAGTTCTTTGAACTATTGGGGCTCAAGAACCCCGAGATTTTCTTCATTTGATGTGTTTGATTCAGCTGCAGCATAGCAGATTGTGGATGATCTTGTATGTTTTTGATCCAATTTTGAAAATGGAATTCTGAATCTATTGGATGAGCAAGATATTCCGTATAATTGTATGTTAGTTTGACTATTATAACAGGAACTAGTGCATATTCAAGAAAATATTTGGATAACGACGAGGAGCTGAAAAACCCTCGATGATGATGATTTGAATCTCTCGCTTCGCTATAATGATGTGTTCCTATAACCATCATTGAAGGATTATACTCTTCGATTGCCAATTTCAAACATTTTTGAGGCTTGCCTATAACGACTTCAAAAACAATTGCTATTTTTTTCAAATGGACATTCAACTTCTCAAAGTTGGCAAGATGAGTATTGGCTTGCAATTTATCAATGCTTGATAATGGGGTTTTCTTTTCGTCCAAGACTTGTAGAATGATTATTGTATCGCCATTTGTCACCATTTCATCAAAGAGCCATTCAATGGCTTTAGTACTTTCCAGATCATTACTGAACCCTACTAGCCAAGTCTTGTTATTTCTTCTAAACTTGAACTGCGGATGCTTCGACTTTAATGTGAGCGACTTTCGTGACCCATGTGCAATAGTATCAAAGGTGATACCTCTTTCTAAGGGAATCCTCTTGGAGGATAATGGCCTAGCTCCCGAGTTAGAGTTAGAGTTGACACGTTGAGCAGCGGCTAGACCGTTCAATGACGTCGATGAAGATGTATTTGAACATGCAGCCAATCCCACGTTTTTCAACGAAATTTGGCTATCATGAAGATTTCGTAAAGGGCCAAAATGAAACTCATTATCCTCGTCAACACCGTCTCCCACGTTTTCCCGCGCCGGTGACAAAATCGGCGTCCCAGCAGCTGAGCTGCTAGGTGATATCACATCAGAGTCATAGCAGTCGTAATATAGTCTACCAAGTAGATCAGATGAATTATTCTCTTGCTTATATAGATCTATCGAATCATCGAAAATATGATAAATTGATGCATTCAATCGTGTATTTCTAACAGTTTCTGTTTCTTGCAAAGTTCTATCCTCAGCAGGTTTGGTGTCATGCTTAAGTAGTTTACCTTCACTCGGTGGTTTCTTTATTTGTAAAGCCCGTGTATTACCAGAGGTCATTTTGGGGTCCTCCTCCAATCTCTGATAAGGTATACGTTTAGCTTTATCTTTAGCCGTTCCAGTAAAAAGAAAAAAAAAAAAATACGGCGGAGCCGCGGGCGATGATCGAGTCGCAGGCGATGCTGGAGCAAAAGATGAAGATATTTCTACTAATGCACCGGCAAAGTCGCTCTGCTAGTGCTAAATAATATTTATGTCTCTACTGATTCATTAGCAGGAGCAGAAGCAACACTATCGAGCGGAGCGAGATAGTGTTGTAACAAGCTAGTCAATACTGCTCTACTAACGAGCAGAGCAACACTATCAAGCGGGGCGAGATAGTGTTATAACAAGCTAATCAGTACTGCTCCACTATCGAGCGGGGAGAGGTAGTGTTATAACAAACTAATCAGTCCTGCTCCACTAGCTCGCTCTGCTCCCTAGTGTTGCTCGATAGTGTTGTAACAAACTAGTCAGTTCTGCTCCACTAGCTCGCTCTGCTCCCTAGTGTCGCTCCCTAGTGTTGCTCCCTAGTGTCGCTCCTTAGTGTCGCTCCCTAGTGTTGCTCCCTAGTGTTGCTCCCTAGTGTTGCTCCCTAGTGTCGCTCCTTAGTGTCGCTTGTTTCCGGCTCCTGCTAGTGACTTTTGCTAGTGGGCTACTTCCAGAAAGATCTTCCCTTATCTATTCCGCTATTTCTTTCAACTATCCCCCATAGCCTGTCCATTTCAATGCCACCTATATCATCCTGAATGTAAAACTCCCTTTTAATCCCCGTCTTTGTATCTTTTTCCTCCCATGTAGTATATGGTTTCCACCATTTTGCACTCGGCGATATAATCAAAGACTTGTTATCAGTAATTCTAATCAATTCATTATATGTTTTACCACCAGTAAAAGTCAATTTCTCAGCAACCAAATTTTCGTCATTGACCAAATTGTCCAAAGTTTGAGGTTTGGTTTTATTGTAAATCCGGAAAATCCTCGTTACATAATCTCTTGTTTTCCACTGCACTAATATAATTGGTATTATTGTTCCTGCTAGCAATGTATAGGCATATGAGTCGTCAAATTGCGGACTTTCATAAATCAATTTTGCCCCGTATCCTCCAACAACGCCAAAAGTCAATGTTAGCCTCTTGAGCAACGAAACGTATTTTGACGAAGGTGCTTCATATAGGGGCTTATAAGCTAGTCTATAAATATCTGCAAGTTTGGTTTTTTGTATTTTGTTTCTTTCTTGGATATAAATGGGGTCGTCTTCAAATGTAGGTGACCAGGGGTTATTTTCGCTAACCAACTCGTCTGTTTCAACGGTGGAATCTTCAGATTTGAATGATTTACTCTTGAAGTAGGAAGTCAATGGGTTTTGAATTTGTAAAGATGAATTGATGGAAAATGTGCGTTTGAACATTAGGGGAGCTGGTGCTTGAACTTGTTGCGAAAAGCAGTGGTGCAACAAGCGGATCGATACCTCCGTGCCTCGTCTTAGCATGTCTTGATTGTTACCTTGATTAGCTTGATGAGCTCTTTACCTGTTTATCGGCTATCTACCAGCTATCTACCAGCTTTCCTTGATTACCTTGATGAGCTCTTTACCTGCTTACCAGCTTTCTTTACTAGCTCTCTTTACCCGCTTACCAGCTTTCCTTTACTAGCTCTTTACCTGCTTACCAGCTTTCTTTACTAGCTCTCTTTACCTGCTTACCAGCTTTCTTTACTAGCTCTTCTCTACCTTGATAGTTCTTCTTTACCTGCTCTCTTTACCCGCTTACCAGCTTTCCTTTACTAGCTCTTTACCTGCTTACCAGCTTTCTTTACTAGCTCTCTTTACCTGCTTACCAGCTTTCTTTACTAGCTCTTCTCTACCTTGATAGTTCTTCTTTACCTGCTCTCTTTACCCGCTTACCAGCTTTCCTTTACTAGCTCTTTACCTGCTTACCAGCTTTCCTTTACTAGCTCTTCTTTACCTTGATAGCTCTTCTTTACCTTCTCTCTTTACCTGCTTACCTGCTTTCTTTACTAGCTCTTTTTTCTCTACCTTCTCACCTGCTTTCTTTACTAGATCTTTTTTCTTTCTCTACCAGCTTCCGGTTATCTCTACCCGTCTTTATCCCGTTTACAATTGACCTAATTCAACTTCAACTTACCACGGCAGATGCCTTTGATGGGGCGATGGCAGGGCGCGATTCTTCGCTAACAAAATTTTTTTTTTAGTGAGGAAAAAAAAAAAACTCAAATCATCAACCATTAAGAAAACTAATTAGAGTTGGTTTCATAAGTCATCTAAACCAATATCGGACCCTAGGTGAGAGTTAGCAGCTAGTAGTTGTTGATCACATAACCTCTCTTTCTTGATAAGAATTTATTCACCATATCTAATTTTCCTTTTTTTCTTTATTTTGGCCGCTTGGGTAAACTAGGTATACATACTGCTAATTTCTAATTTCCAAGATGGACGCAGATGCAACAGAGAGATTTATTCCAGAGTATCGTCGTACAAATTTTAAAAATAAGTCACGTTTTCAAAGTGACGAACTAAGAAGAAGAAGGGAGACTCATCAGGTTGACTTGAGGAAGCAGAAAAGAGAAGAAGTTTTAGCCAAGAGAAGAAATTTCCAGCACGAGGCTAATGATTCAGAAGATGAAGATGACTTTAATCTAAGTGTTAACAATGATGAAAATCAATTTTACCAGAGATTGAGACAAGACTTGCCCAAGATGCTCGAAATGATTCAAGCGCCAGACTTTGATTCCCAGTTGGCAGCCACGGTGAAATTTCGTCAAATCTTATCTAGGGAACATAATCCACCGATTGATTTGGTGATTGAGTCTGGTGTTATACCTACTTTGGTTGAATTTATGAAGGAAGATCATCCTGATATGTTACAGTTGGAAGCTGCGTGGGCCTTGACTAATATCGCATCGGGAAGCTCCCAGCAAACTAGAATTGTTGTTGAAGCTAATGCTGTACCACTTTTTGTTCAATTATTGTATTCTCAAAGTCTTGAGGTCAAAGAGCAAGCAATTTGGGCCTTGGGTAATGTTGCTGGTGACTCTGCTGAAAATCGTGATTATGTATTGAGCTGTGGAGCAATGGACCCCGTGTTGAATTTATTCAACTGCACCAAAATGTCTTTGATCAGAACTGCTACATGGACCTTATCCAATTTGTGTAGAGGCAAATCTCCACAGCCAGACTGGGATATTGTATCACAGGCTATTCCTACATTATCAAAGTTGATTTACTCTGTTGATTCGGAAACATTGGTTGATGCTTGTTGGGCAGTCTCCTATTTATCAGATGGAACATCAGAAGCTATTCAAGCTGTAGTTGATGCCCGTATTCCTCATCGTCTTGTTGAATTGTTGGGTCACGAATCAACTTTGGTGCAGACTCCATCATTAAGAGCCATTGGTAATATCGTTACCGGATCCGACTTTCAAACACAAATTGTTATAAATGCTGGTGTCTTGCCTGCTTTAGCTCCATTGTTGAACTCACAAAAGGACACAATTCGTAAAGAAGCTTGTTGGACCATTTCTAATATAACAGCAGGTACCACTGAGCAGATTCAAGCAGTTATTGATGCTAACTTGATTCCACAGGTGATAAGGTTATTGAGTGATGGAGATTACAAGACTAAAAAAGAAGCATGCTGGGCGATTTCAAACGCTTCATCGGGTGGATTGGGCAAACCAGACATAATCCGCTATTTAGTGAGCCAGGGTTGTATTAAACCGCTTTGTGATTTATTATCAGTTGCCGATGCCAAGATTATCGAAGTTACATTGGATTCCTTAGAGAATATATTGAAAATGGGAGATATGGATAAAGAAGCAAGAAATACTCAAGTTAATGAAAATGCCTTGTATATTGAAGAAGCAGGAGGAATGGAAAAGATATTTGAATGTCAAAATAACGCAAATGAAAAGATTTATCAAAAGGCCTATAATATAATTGAAAAGTATTTCAATGACGAGGATGATGACAATATCGATGATGCAAACATTGTGCCTGAAACTTATAACAATGCGTTCAATTTCGGAATGGATGGTCATGAGCAACAACAAAGCTTCCAATTTTAATGGGGAAGCATTTTGGATACTTTTTACATCTACATCTACTCCTGCTCCTGCTCTTGCTTCTGCTTCTGCTCTTGCTTCTGCTCCTGCTCCTGCTCCTGCTCCTGCTCCTGCTCCTGCTCCTGCTCCTAAGTCATCATTGATTACACAGTCCATTCGTTACTATTACTAGGTCACCAGGTTCAAACAGTGATGGTTATCAATCACTCATTATTCCTTGCTGACCTACCTCGACCCTCCTTTCATGTGTTGAATGCTGCTCCCTCATCTCCTTCTTTCTCCCTGTCTTCTTCAGTGATTCTCTAGCATACTCTTTTCATATTTCAATATACAATTTAATTAGTTAACCAAACACCACAATCACGACCACCATCACCCTCCTCTTGCTCTCATCTTCCTATTGGGTCTGTTCTTGACAGATGGTAGCTCTGCTCATCTTAGATTTATCAAATCAAGGTTGGTTGAATTTTTCAGTCTTTTATATATATATATATATATCGTGAATAATATCAGTGAATTTTACAAGGAGGCGACAACTGATTGCCATTTAGAGAGCTGAAAGGTACTGCTATTTTATTGCTGTTCCATTGTTGTGCCTAGTTGTTATCCAAACGTCAACGGGGTTTTGAAACTTTTCCTTTCCTTTCTTTTCTTTTATTGTCAAATTAGCTGATTAAATGTCTGGTGGAGGAGATCATTCTTTGCCAATACCGATTGATGATGCCGAAAGGAGAAAAGATGAAGATGACAGGAATAGTAAAGTTAGTACGCTGGGCTCTCCCGGAGCTAATGAATTGGGCAAAGTAAGACGGGCCCAGTCTATAGTATCGCCCTTGTCGTTATCGCCGCCTGATCCCGAGAGTTTACGCGGGTTGATGATGCTGAAGACGGACCACGCTGCAACTCCAACAACCGAGAAAGCAATCGCGTCTCTTGCGCCTATGTTGGAGGCCTTCACACCAAAGACAAGTGCTGAGGACTCGGCGTCTAGACTTGGCTCAAAATCATCTTCGTCTCCTACACCCGCTTTAGATAATAATGCTGCGCACCACGAGGGAGAAATACAACCACTAACTACTGAGAATTTAAGTGGAGCCAAACTTCATCACTCTACATCCGGTGAAGGATTTAAATTGAACAAAACCATCTCTAATACTTCAAATACGTCTAGAAAGTCTTTTTCGTCAAACACCAATAAAGGATCCGATCATGTTACAAAACTGGCGAAATTGGGAAAGATTGGAGTATGTGCAATGGATGCGAAAGCGTTATCAAAACCATGTAGGAGGATTCTCAACAGATTGATTGAGAATGGTGAATTTGAAACTGTAATTTTTGGCGATAAAGTGATCTTAGACGAGACTATTGAAAATTGGCCTACTTGTGATTACTTGATTAGCTTTTTTTCAACGGGGTTCCCTTTAGAGAAAGCGATTGCTTATGTCAACTATAGAAAGCCTTATTGTATCAATGACTTGGTTTTCCAAAAGGCGCTTTGGGATAGACGGCTTGTTTTGGCTATTTTGAATCATGCGAATGTGCCTACACCTGAAAGATTAGAGATTAGTAGAGATGGCGGACCACAAATAGACCCCGGATTATATGAAAGACTAAAGGATATTGGGTTTTCCGATGAAAACCTCGTCGAGTTGTCTAATCAAGAAGAACCCGATTGGGAAATGGTTGATGAAGACACGTTGAGAGTTGGTGATCAAATTATTAAAAAGCCGTTTGTGGAAAAACCGGTGGACGGAGAGGATCATAATATATATATATATTACCCCAAGGCTACCGGTGGTGGTGGAAGAACCCTATTTAGAAAAATAGGAAACAAGTCATCCGAATTTGATCCTCATTTGGTTGAACCTAGAACTGATGGATCTTTTATATATGAGAATTTCATGGATACTGATAATTTTGAAGATGTGAAAGCATATACTGTGGGGCCTTCTTTTTGTCATGCCGAGACTCGCAAGTCGCCAGTTGTTGACGGTATTGTAAGAAGAAATACACATGGTAAAGAAATTAGATATATCACGCAACTAAGCGATGAAGAAAAACTAATGGCGAGATCAGTTAGTTCTGCTTTCAAGCAAACCATTTGTGGATTTGATTTATTAAGAGTCAATGGTAAATCTTATGTGATTGATGTTAACGGATTTTCCTTTGTCAAAGATAATAACGATTATTATGATTCATGCGCAAGAATATTGCGTGGCATGTTTTTGGAAGCTAAGAAAATGAGAGACTTGTTAAAGAATAAAGTTCCCAAGATGTTGCAAGCTAGTCAATTTGAAGAAAAGGAACAAAAATGGGTATTGAAAGGTATGGTCAGTGTTGTGAGACATGCTGATCGTACGCCAAAGCAAAAATTCAAGTATTCATTTAAGTCGCCTCTTTTTATAAGTTTATTAAAGGGGCATACTGAAGAAGTTATAATTCGCGCAGTACCCGATCTCAAAGTCGTTCTTGAAACTGTCAAAATTGCAATGGCAAAAAAACTTGAAGATCCAAATAAATTGCAACAGTTGACTACTGCATTGGAAAAGAAAATGAATTTTCATGGTACAAAGATTCAAATCAAGCCATCGCTTAATGCAGACAATCCAGAAATTGTAGATAAAGTGCAACTCATATTGAAGTGGGGTGGTGAGCCTACGCATTCTGCAAAGCATCAAGCTACTGATGTTGGTGAGCAATTGAGACAAAATTTGAAATTATTGAATTGCGAAGCACTTAATGATGTAAAAGTGTACACTTCGTCAGAAAGAAGAGTTCTTACTAGTGCTCAATATTTTACAACTGCACTTTTGGGATTGACAGATGAACCTTTACCTGAAGATTTCCTTATAGTTCGCAAGGATCTATTAGATGACTCCAATGCAGCAAAAGATCTAATGGACAAGGTCAAAAAGAAGTTGAAACCGTTATTGCGACAAGGTGCAGAAGCACCGCCTCAGTTCACGTGGCCGCCTAAAATGCCGCAACCATTTGAAGTGATTAGACGGGTTTGTGAATTGATGAATTTCCATCATCAAATCATGAACTATAACTTTGAAACTAAAAATGTGCAACAATTTCAAGAAAATTGGTGTTGTGGAGAAGATCCCTTTTTGTTTAAAGAGAGATGGGATAAGTTGTTTCAAGAGTTTATTAGTGTTGAAAAGATACATCCTTCCAAGATTTCCGAGTTGTATGATACGATGAAATACGATGCTTTGCATAATCGTCCTTTCCTACAACGGATTTTTGAATTTGATCCTAATGACGAAAAACTATTAGCACGATTAAGGGAAACATGCGGAGAGACTGTTAATTCATCAGGTTTGGTTAGTGAATATCCGATAAACATATTAGCGATGAATAATTTCAAAATTCCTTCAGATATTTCTAGTTCGAATAGTTCCCATAATACTTCAAGCACGCAATTGAATCCATCGAGCCTGGCATCTGCTGGATCTTTAGGATGGATCCTCAGTGGAGCTGCTGCAGAGTTGAAGAATAGAAGAAATAGTAGTAGTAGCAGTGGTAATGGTAATGGTTTTGGTATCACTACATTTTCCAATAGTCAGCAGCAACCTAATGCTAGTGGGGTAGTGACGACATCACCAACAACAACAACAACAACAACAACAACTAGCCCAAGCACAAGCACATCACAACAGAAGGCATCTGAGAATGATAATCCATTTGATCATGCTACGTTTACTAGATTGCGTGAATTGTACCGACTTTCTAAGGTGTTATTTGATTTTATATGTCCTCAAGAATATGGTATAAAAGATGAAGAGAAATTAGATATTGGATTGTTGACATCATTGCCATTGGCCAAGCAAATCCTTTCTGATATAAAAGAAATGAAAAAAGACGCTTCATCACCAGCAGTTGTGAACTACTTTACAAAGGAAAGTCATATATATACTTTACTTAACGTGATTTATGGCTCACAGCTACCAATGAAAATAGCGAGAAACGCATTACCTGAGCTAGATTATTTATCACAGATTGTTTTTGAATTATATGAAGCTGAAGATCCAACTAGTCCTCTGGGTAATAAACATTCTATCAGATTGAGTTTAAGTCCCGGATGTCATACACAGGATCCGTTGGATGTTCAATTAGACGATGACCACTATATTGGATGTATTCCTAGATTAAGCTTGACTAGACATTTGGATATGGATTTGGTAACGCAGAGATTAAAGTCGAGGTTCAGTAGAGTTTCCTTGCCAAAGAAATTCACTCCCGTAAATATCTCAAGCCCATTGACTAGTGGACTATAGATACAGGATTTTGGTAAATTTAATGGTACGAGAGGGCGAGAAGAAAGAGGGAAAAGGAAAAAGGAAAAGGGAAAGAAGGGGAATGTATTTTGCTTTGCCTGTGCATGTGTATTATTATTATTATTATTATTATTATTCAATTATCTCTATTAATATAAATATAAATAAAGTCTACTTCTTTTCAAATTGTTCCCAATTGTCCAAGATATTCTTAATCTTATCAGATTTTGTCAAGTTATAAACCTCAGTGAAATACTCTTTTGTTATTTCAAAAGGCTTTGCAGTCAAGTTTGGAATGTATTTACCAATCAAGTCTTGAGGTTTAACTGATGATTTAGGAATCTTTTTACACAAAAATCTTTGGAATGGCTTGACTCCAGACATCAAATATGATGAATGGAAAGGTACAGAAATTCCCTTTAATGGAATTACAGCAAAACCACGCTCTAATTCAATTGGCTGTGGTTTGGCAATACTCTTTTGTTTCACCTCATCAATAATTTCATAAAGATGTACTTTAACTTCTTCAACTGACAATTGTTGCTGTAATTTAACAATATCAATTTTGTTGATTTTCAAAACATTCAATACATTGGTCAATGTATCCAAAGCTCTTAAATCACCAGCGGCAACATACTGTTGATTTTCAACATTATAATTAACAATTTCCAACAACCATTTTGTTCTTATTGCAATCTCTTCAACAACAAATCTCAATGCAGCATCATTAAATGTAGCACTCACTCTACTTGGATTGATGGCACACATTCCATAATTCGATCTTCCAAATTCATCTCTTGGTACAGCAACTTGCATCGTCATACCTCTATAAAATACGACATCGACTAATGATTCAATTGGCATAACATTGGCTAATGAACTCAATGCCGAATATTCACCTAATGAATGGCCAGCAAACATTATATCTGAAGGAATCAAACCTTTTGATTTAATATCTTCGTAAGCAGCTTTTTCCATCAAAGTCAATGCTGGTTGAGTGAATTGAGTTGCTGATAATAAACCAGTGGGTGATACAAAGGTATATGATGTGGTATTATCATCAATATCTTTGAAAATCTTTTCCGATTTCAATTCACCATCCTCACCAATTGTTTCAAACATCATTCCAATATAATTGTCCCTAATCTTTCTACCTTTGGCTCCACCAAAATGTATTGTCAATTCCTGGGGATTGTTTTGAACAATATCCAAGATTGAGAAACCATAATTGTTGATAAAATGGTTATCGGCTCTATCCCAAACTTCCTTGGCAACTTCTGATGAGTTGTACAAGTCCATACCCATATTTTGCTCTTGTGATCCTTGACCTGTAAAAACATAAGTTGTAATTGGTTGTTCAATTTCAGCTTCTCCAATCAAAACAGGCAAGTCGGTTTCAATATTTTTAGTTTCAACCTTGATGATTTTTCTTCCATTGATCATTCCAACATGCTCCATTGTTGTTTGTAATGTATCATTGGGCAAAACCATTCCAACAAACTCGCACTTGAAGGCACGAACTCTTGAAGCAACATTATTAGCTGCCCATTGCTCCACCAAACCTCTAATCGAAGCAGAAGAGTACATACCATGAGTAATTGTTCCTGGCAATTTCGCATACTCGGCAAATACCCTTGAAACGTGAATTGGATTATAGTCACCGGAAACAATAGCATATGGCTCATTAGTACTTGGAGCCTTGGAAATCAACTCTTCACTCGATGATAATGGAATGGCATTTTCAAAAAGTACAGCTTCTTCAATAGTCTTACCATTTCTTGACAAGTAATCAGTCACGGGGTTACCATAAGAAGTGCCAGCTTCATAATTAACTTCACCAATTTGAACAACTTCTTTTGTAGGTAATTCCAAATAAACTTGACCAGTAGTGGTGATTGACGAATAGACATTGGCCGATTCAAATTTGTATGTCGATTCGCATCTAAAAGTCAACATGTCAAACTCTTCAACATCAGTCTTTGTTAAATGGAACCACTCTTTAGATCTCAAAACCGCCAAATCTTTAGATGATTTAAACGCAACTTGTACTGGTGTTTCAGTAACTTTTTGGAATGTATTTTCATAATCAGTGTATTCACCACGGTATAAGAATTGAGATGAAACTTGCATGACTGGTTTATTGGCACGGTATATAGTACCAACAACTTCAACTAGCTTACCACTTGGTTGATTCAATACCGCTTTAATTTCGGCCTTGGTAGAAACTACATCATTTTTTCTTAAAGGAGCAGCTCCGGGGATCATCTTGTACCCATTAGATAAATGAACCAATTTTAATAAATCCCCATCAACGGTTTTAGGAAAGATGGCTTTGATGATTGCTTTCCAGCCAATAACAATTGCAAAATCCATAGGCGCTAATGTGATTTTTCCTGGTCTATTAACAAATGCTTCACATTTGTTACCAATTGCATGAGTGAACTCAGCAATATCCTTACCAGTGACAGTAACTTCATCACCCAAGATTTGCTCTTCAACATTGATATCCAAATCAAATGGAACATTTGAACCAAACCATAATTTCCAGTAAAACTCCTTAATTCTATCATTTCTTGAATCCATAACTTCATGAATTGGAGCAAAACCATCTTCTGGTTGATACTTGTATAAAAATGGTAAGGAAACAGCTTGTCCATCAGCAGTTCTATGTTCAATCAATAACAACTCAATATAATTTTTTTTGTTGGCGGCCAACTTGATTTCAACAACTGGTTTAAAGTCACCTTTAACTTCTTCATAAACTGTTAAAGTATGTGTGGTTTTATCAATTGTCACTTTGGAATGAGGTGCTGGCGATAAGATATCATGAATTGGATTAGGTACATGTTTTGAGCCTTGAACAATACGATCAGTTGAAATAAATGCTTGCAACCAGTTCAATTTTGGTCCGGCTAATAAATCTAACCAAGCAGACTTGTTTGTTGGCACTTTTGAACCGATTTCATAAACAATCTTATCATCATTGGTGGTGGTGGTGGTGGTGGTGGTGATTTTGACGTTATCAATAGTCTTAACATCAACAGGGACTTTGCCACCAAAGTACTCAACAACTGGTACTTTGTTAACATCACCTTCATATTCATCTTCCAATAATCTTTTAATGTGTCCTTCATGGATATTATCCAAGATTTCACCAATTGGTTCATTTACCTTGTTTGTGAATTGACAAGCAACAGGACCATGCAAGATACATGTTCTTTGTACATCTTCATCAACGACTGTTTCCAAATCTTCAGATTGCCATAATGAATCCTTTTTAAAGAAATATTCAAATGTTTCATCTAATACTGGGACAAATGGAGGTGGTTTTTGAGTAGGTCTTAATGCACACATCAAAAAGTAATCACAATCTTCTTCTGAAATCAATTGACTCTTGGCTAAGGGGAAATGATTGAAAAACTCATTTGCAAAAACTTGTGGCTTTTCAGTCAATTGTGAATAGTTTTGAATCAATGATACAACAGCAGCAGCACCACCATCACCTTTATCACTTGTAAATCTTTCTTCAACTCTTCTCAAGAAATCACCAAAAAAATTTCTCAATGATAAATCAATCCATCTTTGAGATTTCTCTACATACATCAATTCAATTAATCTATTGGCAACTTCTTGGTATGTCATCTCTTGCAAGTCACAAACACCATCTTGAGCATTCTTACCAAACCATGGTTTTTGGGAATCCTTATTCAATCTTTCAATGATATAATCCTTCTTCTTATTCAATGCTTCAACAAGTTTATTCTTTGGCAAATTGAAAATTGTTTCATCCATTTCCTTCCAAAACAAAACTCCTCTAGTGGCAATTTTATGAATTGGTTCACCCATTTCCGACTTAACGGTAATAATACCACCAGTTGGTTTTTTATAAGTTTGTTCCCATTTATCATCAGGGGCACCACTACAACTGGCAATCAATTTCTTTGCCTCCAATGAAGTATGGGCTTCTTTGGCAGTCATGACTCTTGAACCAAAAAGTACACCATCAAATGGCATTGGTGGGTAATTAAACTCTTTCGACCAAGAACCGGTTAAATAGGGGTACGTATCTTCATCTGAACCAAATCCTGAACCAGCAACCAAGATAATATTAGAACATCTTCTAATCTTGGAGTACATTTGCAAAATTGGTTGATGGAAATCCTCAAATGAATGATGTCCACCACCTCTACCTCCAGTCCATTGCAAGACAATAGGAAAGTTAGGATGGGTCTTGGCAATGGTGATTACTTGACTAATAGCATCAATTGAACCAGGTTTCAATCCAAGATGAGTTAATCCCAATTCCTCGATATATTCAGTAGCAACTTCAGTTGAAGGAACACCAGCACCAATAGTTAACGACTGTATGGGGTAACCTTTTTCTCTCAACTCTTTAATCAAGGGAATACCCCATTGCAACATTCTTGGATTAACATAAATCAAATTGATACCTAATCCATAACCTGGTTTAATTTTCGAGATAACTTTATCAATTGCACTTGTCATCATCGATGCAACGAAATAACCACCACCTGCAATTTCAATATGATACCCAGCATTTAAGGAAGCAGCAACAATATCAGGATTAACTGTTGTCGGAGTCATACCAGGAATCATTAATGGAGCTCTACCTAATAATTGAGAAAATTTAGTCTTGACGTAAATCTTGCCTCCATTACCATTGCCATTGCCATTGCCATTGCCATTTAATGTCTTGACTAAAGTAGGCTTATACTCTTGTAACCAATTACTTGCCCATTTAATTTGCAAATCATCGGATTTTTGAAACAATTCATGCTTGAAACCATATTCATCATCAACTGGATTCAAGTCCAAGGTACCAGCAATAATGATTCTTGCACCAGTACCTTCTTTATTACGATGAGTCAATATACCTAATCCGGATACCCCACCAGGGCCGAAATCTATAATGTGTGTAGCTTTGTGGTCAGTAGCCAATTCCCAATGAACAGGTAACTCAGTAATAAGTTTAATTAATCTTGCATTTAATTTAAACGAATCCTTTTCATCTTGTAAATTTGATCCATCAAATGTATCGTAAACGGGGATTTGCAATGGATCAAAAGTTAGGGTTTTCACATCCTGCAAGATTGCTTCTGTTGCATCAGCTAATAAATGAGAATGAAATGGTGAAAATATTGGCAAAAATCTATTTGAACATTTCAATTTCCGTTCACTGAATGGGATACGAGACTGGTCCAAGCCCATTGGAGCCTTGTTATTTCTCAAGTTTAAATTAAAACCATACAATGATTCAGGTGGACCCGACAATACCAAGTTTCTAGCACCATTAATCAAACTTATAGCAATATGTTTTTCTTTTGGTAAATGTGAATTTGTTTGCTTGATAAACTTGTCAACTTTTTCAATTGGCAAGTCTCTTACTGATAACATTGGCGATGGTCTACCTTCCCCATTATCCAATGAGTCTTGCAACATTGTAGGAGGCAAAGTTGTTCTTGGGTATGTACTCAAACATCTGGAACCAATGAAAAACAATAAAGAGGTTGCCTTGATAGCATTTGATAAAAAGGACTCCCATGAAGACGATCCTGCAATAGCTACTGCTGTGACTAAACCTTGAGAATGACCAGTTGACCACCTTGTTAAATCTCTAAATTCACCTGGGTTAAACCCCAATACTTTACAAGTAATTGCATAATGACACAATTGGATTATACAAATAATTGGACAACTTACAGGAACGCTTAATAAATAATCTTGATCTGGAGTTAATTCGGGATGTTTCAACCAGTGCAAGATGTTTAAACCTTGAGTATAAATTTTATCAAATTCTCCATCCAGTTTAACTAGTTGATTTAATTTCTCAATTATGGGGATCAATAAATCATCAACAACCAAGTTTTCATAAGTTTGATAGATTTCTCTCAATTCTTCGAAATAGTCATCGGTATTACCCTGACCACCAAATATTGCTGCTAATTGGGCATTTTTTTGCGAAGCATGGTATAACAAGTTTGATTCATTTTTTGGGATATAGGAAACGCACTTGTAGTAATTTTTTATGAGGTTTTTCACCTTAAGTTGAGTAGTTGGAAAGGTTTCATCTTGTAATAATTTAACTGCAAAAGAATGGATATTATCGTCATTTTTCAAAAAAGTAGATTCGAAATCCTTGACTGAATATTGTAACAATTCGTCAACTTCGACTTCTGATTGTAATTGTGAATGCGACAGTTGTAAAGATTGTTTTTTCTGGTTTAGGAATCCCAAAAACTTGCCGTATAATTCAACAGGACTTGAAGGTTCTTCGTCATCGGCGAATCCTTCTGTGGGCTGTGGTAGCGTTTTTGTGAACTCATCCTTTAGTTGGGAATAGGTGAGGAACAAATTGTAGGGTACTAGGAAGGTGTACTCTATGGAGCCGTGGGTTAGCTGTAATGGTCTTTGCGTCGACATTTCTTAAGGCTTGAGGAGTTGAGGACTTGAAACAAAAAAAAAGTCAAGAGCTCGGATATAAGGGTTCTCGGTGTTTGAGGGTTGTTTGTTTTTTTTTTCTCGGAGTTCTCGGAGATAAGGTTCTCGGTGTTAAAGGGATGAACTCTATGGCACTATATATATATATATATATATAATGGTGTGCAAGTATATAAATAGTGTGCAAGTATATAAATAGTGTGCAACTAGTTTTATATATGGCAATTGTAAGACTAGAAACCTACCTAGAACTCCACTAACCTAGCAGTTCTTGCGTACCTTGAAACAATGTTTCCTTTCGATATGATTTATATAAACCATTTGAACAGAAATTAAATTTTGGTTGTAAAAAAAGTTTAGGGGTTTTTATACTCTATTTATTTTTTTGTTGGTGCAATTTGCGTTGTTGGGAAAATGGAGTGAGAGATTTTACAACCAGAAAATTAATATTTTGGTTGTAAAAAAGAATGGTAGATTGTTATAATGGGATATGGGTTATAAAAAAAGGTATTAGAGGAATATGGAAGTAGTGGGTGGTATATCAGGTTTCTTGAGTTGTAGGAACTAGGAACTATTATGAAAAACTACTCTAGGATATACCCTATGTTCTACTCTAGGATTCATATCTAGACAAGTTGTCTATTCATTGTGTTGCAAGATTTTTTTGTTAGCTTATTAATATTGTGCATATTCACACTACTTTTTTATATAGTAGAAAAGTTTTTCCAAGTCCAACCTTTCTCGTTTGTGTGATTTTTTTATAGTGCTTGTTTATATGCAAATTGTTACCCAACACAACAAACTATCCAACAATAAATAAAAAAATGTAATGAGATATGTATGATGAGATGATGTAAACAGGGCTGTATATAATGTATATACAAAATATTCATCTGCATATTATGAGATGATAATGTCTACAAAAAGATAGAAAAGGAGGTAGTAAGGTGTCGATGTTTCATTAAAGTTTATTGTGTCACGTGATAAAAGACACGACACTATCGAGCGACACTATCGAGCAGAGCGAGATAGTGTCAATGACAGCTAGTGTGGTCCACTATCTCGCCCTGCTCGATAGTGTCGGTCGATAGTGTCAATGACAGCTAGTGTTGCTCCACTATCTCGCCCTGCTCGATAGTGTCGGTCGATAGTGTCAATGACAGCTAGTGTTGCTCCACTATCTCGCCCTGCTCGATAGTGTCGGTCGATAGTGTCAATGACAGCTAGTGTTGCTCCACTATCTCGCCCTGCTCGATAGTGTCGGTCGATAGTGTCGGTGTTGGTGTCTGCATTTTGCAACGGTATAAATAATAATATATGGCCTAATTATAGTCAACCTACTAAACATATCCCTTTTAATGACTTTGGTCACGTGATGCAGACCTATTCACTAAGAATAGATGTAGTGAGAGCAATTAGACTCGCTCACAACCTCTGGGATATACATACATACGCATACTAATATCTAGTATTATTTGGTACGACTAATCTCTAGTATTGTTTAGTACAACTAATCTCTTGTTGTACTCAATAATAGTCACGTGATCATATTCTCAACAATAATATCAATACAAATGCAATGAGCTTATCGAAATCAGTTGTTTCCTAGCAAGACTGATAAATATGTAATATCAATTCTAATGGCTATGATATTATTTGCATCTCTATCCATAAAGTCTAACCTGTCAATAGCATTACTTTAAAATCGATAAACGGATGCAATAAAAAGGTAATGACACTATTGAGTAGAGTTACTGTGCTCCACTATCGAGCGACACTATCGAACAGAGCGAGATAGTGGAGCACACTAGCTGTCATTGACACTATCTCGCTCTGCTCGATAGTGTCGCTCGATAGTGCCGCTTGATGGTGTTGTATCAATCGCTTTTCTCTCGGTCACGTGATACAACTCTATATCGTCATCACCCAAGAGATGCGATACTAAAAATAAAAGTTATTAATGTTATAACCATCATCATCATCAGGCCATGTCTTCAAGACACATTATACTCAAATCCTCTCTCGGTTTAGGATCGATAGGGTTACTATCCTTTTTCTGGAAGTCAGGAGGAAAAGCCACCAACAATAATACTTCAACTCCCCCCCTTCCTCCTACCTCAAACTTACCATCACAACCTTCAAATGGAGAATCCAATAATGAATTATTCGATCCATCACGGATTCAACCCCAACAATTCTTTAAATATGGATTCCCTGGTCCCGTTCACGATCTTTCACCTCATTCAGAATTTATCTCATGCTATGATCGTCTTCACAAAAACCCATATTGGGTAATTGAACATATCACTACTGAATCACTTCAAAGATCAAAAGATCTGGCAGATCGCAAAAAATCCATTTTCAAAGAAGATGAGTCGATACCAGCTAAATTTCGTGGTAAGCTTCGTGATTACTTTAGAAGCGGGTATGACCGTGGCCATCAAGCACCAGCTGCAGATGCAAAGTATAGTCAAATTGCCATGGATGAAACTTTCCTCTTGAGTAATATTGCACCACAAGTTGGTGATGGATTTAATCGCGATTATTGGAATCATTTTGAAGAGTTTGTCAGGTCGCTTACAAAGAAATACGACGATGTCCGCATTATGACAGGGCCTCTTTATTTGCCTAAACTAGATGCAGATGGTAAATACAGAGTCAGTTATCAAGTGATTGGTCTGCCTCCAAATGTTGCAGTGCCTACACATTTTTTCAAGTTGATTATTGGAGAGAATAAGCTGGATGAAGGGAAATTGAGCTGTGCAGCATTTGTGTTGCCCAACGATGCTATTGATATCAATACGCCGTTAAAACTGTTTCAAGTGCCCATTGATGCATTGGAGAGATCTAGTGGGTTGGAATTGTTGCAAAAAGTACCATATTATAATAAAATAGATTTATGCAAGCAAGTCAAGTGTGATATAGTTGTACGCGAGTTCCCTAAGCAGGTCAATACTGTTTTGGAATTGCCTGGAAAACAATAACAATAATAGTAATAGAAAAGATGGAAATGTGTTTGTTTGTAGGAAAAATAAATAGCATTCGCTTAATTCTACAATGTTCCTAAACTGGTATATTGGTATTAAATACAACTTGTATTAAAGCTGGGTTTATAAAAACGTTATAAAAGCCTTTTAAAAACAAAACAATTGATAAAATTAAAAATGAAAAATGTCCACTTTTTTTTTGGGGGGGGGGAGCAAGAAAAAGTTTCTTGTTGAAGGAGGGGTTAAAAGGGTTAAAAACGATGGTGATGTAACAAGCTAGTCAGTGTTGCTCCACTATCTAGTCAGTGTTGCCACAAGCTAGTCATAGTTGCTCCACTATCTAGTGTCGATTCAATTACATCAACAAAGCACAACCAGCGGCGATGGCACCTGCAACAGCAAATGAAACACCAGTTGAAGAACCCATAGCAGCATTAGCACTTGAATGAGTAGAGGAACCGTTAGTTTCGTTGGTAGCTCTCTTCTCAATTTGGACTCTCAAGATATCGTTAGCAGAAGCTGATGATCTAATTTGTTCCTCTTTGATTGCTGAATATTCACTTGGTGAAACAACAATAGTAGTTGTAGTTGGTTTAGGAGTCTTGTTGAATCTACCGTATTTGGCAGTTGTTTCGGTTCTGTAAACGGTCACAACTGGTCTTGGGTTGTGATCGTGAGGACCTTTACTAGCCAAAACTGATGAAAGAGTGAAAGCTGATGCCAATAAAGTGAACTTCATTATTGAATATCTTTGACAATTGTATAGAAAAGAAAGAGATTGAGAGAGAGAGAAAAAAATGTTTTTCTTTTTTTTTTTTTTCTTTAGGCTGAAGGAAATTAGGTGAGAATTTGTATGGCTTTAATTTTCCTTCTTGCTACTACTCTTCGGCAAATTAAAAGAGACAATAATCGCATTGAGTCAATGAGCGATAAAAGAATAAAGAAAAAAGAAAAAATAGGGCGGCGTAATTTAGCTATGCGGGAAGGATAAGCTGGGAAAGGTAAGCTGAGTATCGATTGTTGTGGTGGTGTGTGCGTGTGGTTTAAGATGGTAGAAAAGAGTAGTGCGCATCTAACTAAATTTTCCTGAAACGGCGAGAAAAGAAATAAAAATGGAAAAATCCCGCATTGAAAAATAGGCAAATTGTAAACAAGACGGAAAATAGGAGTACGACTAGACTAGAGGAGTGAAGCGAAAGAGAAAGAGATAGAGACTAGAGACTAGAGACTAGATGAGTGAAACAAATCTAAACAAGGCAAGCAAGGCGAAATTGTACTAGGGTTACCATCACTCTGAGTTTGGTATTACCACCAGTTTGACACTAACATCTTGCACTATCTATTTACAACTTTTGTAACATCTTCTAAATAGAGATGCTGGCAATCTTGTATCCTAGCGCTTTTTCTAGCGCTTTTTTGCAATTGGTCAAAACGGCCGACCCAGAAATTTAATTTGTTTTGGTTCGCATTTACACGACCTTGGAATTATAGCCGACACTCACTATCGAGCGAAGTAAGATTTTCCACTATTGAGCAAAGCGAGATTTTCCACTATTGAGCGAAGCGAGATAGTGTTGTAACAGGTTAGTGATGGAAAATTTTCGGAGTAGCGAGGAGCCAAATTCTTCGGCTTTAAAAAATTGCTACACCGCCTGCTCCACTATCGAACAGAGCGAGATAGTGGAGCATACTAACTGCCACCGACACTATCGAGCAGAGCGAGATAGTGGAGCACACTAACTGCCATCATCACTATCTCGCTCTGCTCGATAGTGGAGCACACTAGCTATTGATTAGCTTCTGTCAATGCCTGTACTATAATTTAAAGTAATGCTCTTATACTATAACTTGTTTCTATCAATGCTTCTACTGTAATCTGTTTCTATTATTATATAGAGATGAACGGCTTAAAAAAATTGCATTACACACTTTAAAAATGGCACATATTACACATCTTTGCTTGCATCTCTAGAGGATTATTTTGTTATCGGGCTAATACATTTGAATTCATTTAAAACTATGTATCTCTCATTTTAAAACTATGTATCTCTCATCCTGTATTTTCTACCGTTTTTGTACTGTAATGCGACACTATCAAGTAGACCGAGATAGTAGAGAACACTAGCTGCTACCAACATCTAAAGCACAATGTTAAAGGCCATCTCATCCAAGTGCAATAATATTGTAAACATTATCATCTGAGTTCAACATTACTAACATTATAGCAAAATTCTTCTTTATCAGAAATCAATATTACTAGTATCGCTAAAGTATTGCTCCACTATCGAGCAGAGCGAGAAAGTGTCGATAAAGTCGATAGAGTCAGTGGCCGCTAGTCAATGTAGCTTGACAGTGCTCCACTATCTCGCTTTGTTCGATAGTGTCGATAGTGTCGATAGTGTCGGGAAAAAGAATACCAAAAAAGAGTAAAAACTGATAAAATTGTCAATGATAAACTATCTAAAATTTAAAGGAATTTTGTTCCCAAATTGGCACTATTACCATTTTGGGAACTTTTTTTTCAAAAAAACATTTATTATGGTCAATTTTGAAAAAGAGGTAAAAATAAAAGAAAAAATACATGTTTTTCGATACCCGATGGACACTATCGAGCGACACTATCGAGAGACACTATCGAGCAGAGCGAGATAGTGGAGCACATAAACTGCCATCACCACTATTTCGCTCTGCTCGATAGTGGAGCACACAAACTGCCACCACTAGCTATTGATATTAGCTTCTATCAATGCTTCTACTATAATTAACTTCATCAATGCTTCTACTATAATTTGTTTCTATCAATGTTTCTACTATAATTTGTTTCTATCAATGCTCTTGTATCCTATTTGTTTTTGTTCTTCCCATTTTTGTTCTTCTATTCCTGATTTCCTGTTTTCTCCTTTTGTTTCCCGATTTCCTGATTCCCGTTCCTGATTCCCGATTCCCGTTTTCACATGGTAGCACATATACGCGTCTTCATTTCACATTTTTCAAATGATTCATTCATCAACAAGCAAGAAGAGGGTAGGACAAAGGTTACCCCCAACAGGATGGATGCGAGTGCTATAACGGTGCATTGGCATAATGATAACCAACCAATATACTCAGTAGATATTCAACCAAATTTCCTCGGTGCACAAGCAGTTGCAACCACTTATAACAACAACAAGAAGATTGAGGCATCCACCACTTATAACAACAACAAGATCGAGGCATCAACATTTTCAAGATTGGTTACTGCAGGTGGTGACAATAACGTACGAATATGGCAAATAACCAAAGCTAACAAATCAATTGAATATTTGGCCACATTGTCTAAACATAGTCAAGCCGTTAATTGTGTGCGATATAACCCTAGGGGCGATATTCTAGCTACTGCTGGTGATGATGGAACACTCTTTCTCTGGAAAATGAGCGATTCCTTAGAGAAAAACAGTTTTATTGAAGATGACGAGGAACATGATGACGCAAAGGAAAGTTGGTCTGTTGTTTGTACTATTAGATCAAGTACTAGCGAAATTATGGATTTGGCTTGGGATCCAAGGGGAAAATATATTGCAAGTGGATCAATGGATAACCAAATGAGGATATATCGTATTGAACAACTTGAACAAAAAAAGGTGCACGCAATATTGGTCAAGGAATTTAATGATCATTCACACTATATACAAGGAGTCTCATGGGACCCTTTGGGGAAGTATCTTGCGAGTCAATCGGCAGATCGAAGTATGAATGTTTATGAAATTAGCAAACTTGAGAAAAACAACAGTAATGATAATGAGCATGAGTTGAGTTTCCAATTGATGCATAAGTTTCAAAAATTCCAAAATAGCTCCATTTATCATTCAGAAACTTTACCTTCGTTTTTTAGAAGGTTGTGTTTTTCTCCCGATGGTGCTATGTTGGTTACTCCTGCTGGCTTGGAGGAAAACACACCTGCATCAACGGCAGGAGCAACATCAGCAGCAGCAGCAACAACATCAGCAGCAGCAACAGCAGCAACAACATCAGCAACAGCAACATCAGCAACAACATCAGCAGCAGCAGCAACATCAGCAACAACATCAGCAACAACATCAGCATCTTCTTCTTCTTCTTTAGAGGAACTGAGTCTGGAAACTACAGACTCCGTACTGACAAAAAATTCCATATATATTTATTCAAGAACAAGAATATCGACTAGTCCCATTATCAAATTATGTGGACTTACCAAACCGGCAGTGGCCATCTCTTTTAGCCCTATGAAATATCAAACTCAGGGTAATCTCTTGAATTTACCTTACAAATTAGTCTTTGCCGTGGCCACTTTAGACACTATAATAATCTATTCATCAGATGACGATTTCAAACCATTGGGACAAGTTTCGAATTTACATTACCAGCCAATAACAGATCTTGTATGGACACAGGATGGGATGAGGATTATTAGTAGTTCGATTGATGGATTTTGTTCGTTTGTTGATTTCGAACTGGGCGTGTTTGGTGAAAAGTATACTGGAGAACCGGCTCAGTTTGTTGAGCCTTTGAAGAAAAAGAAGGGTGTAGATGTATCAATGGATGTGCTGGCGAGTACCACTGATAAAGTGAAAAATCTGGAAAACAGTGCGATAGAAAGAAATGCACTGGGAAAGAATGCAACGGCACAAAAAGAGGAGAGTACAAACAAACCGGTAAAGACAATTGATTCTTTCTTTAATACGGATAAGAAAGTGACAAAGAAAGTCAAAAAGAGAATCACTCCAACTTTGATTCAATGAAATGCCCAAAACAAAAAAACAAAAAAAAAAAAAGTAAAACAATGAATGAATGAATGAATGAACTTGCTTCCAAGCCCATGTGATGTTATTTAGGAAAGTGCTAATTTGGATTATTTTGTTTCTGTAACAGTGCAGCCATTCTTTTTCTAGCATTAAAAATCATTTCATTCCTTCGGTTCTTTACAATGTCGTCACTATCCAAAATCGGATTATTCACATCAATATTGTATTTTTTAAACAAGTTGATCGATTCCTTTTCAGCTTCTTTGCTTTTCTTCTTCTCTTCGCCTTCTGCATTAGAGGACGGCTCTGGCGCTGGAGTTGGCGGAACATAACCTGGAGGGAAAGGTAATGTGCCCAACTCCATATACCTATCAATTGTAACTTCAACCGAACCAGTATTCTCCAAATCGAACCGAATTTGCTCAACTGTTAAATTGGGTGCAATCGTTTGAACTACTTCCACCATTGAATCATTTACCTGTCTTCCATTACGACGCGTAACTGACATAGATCCCCTTGATGTGGCTCTTCCACTAGCCGATGATCCAGCAGCAACCGTGCCCGTATTACCCGAGGAGATATTGGGGAAATCGCTATCTTGGGGTATTGGAGTTATCAACCATCTTAGAAATATGAATGCTACAACTATAGTTACTATAAATATTACCGTTGTTGAATCCATCATGTATATTAAAAGGAAGAAATCCCTTTGTTCATAGGTGATTGAAATGTTGAAAAATTTCATTCATAGAAAAAGAAAGAAAAGAAAAAAAAATTCGTAAGCGCCAAAGAGCCGACCATTGATAGAAGGAGAGATATGGGAGAAGATAAAAGAGGAGATGGCAAAGGATAGAAGGAGATAGAAGGAGAAATGGCAGAGGATAGAAGGAGATGTATGGCGATGGCAGAGGATAGAAGGAGATGTATGGCGATGGCAGAGGATAGAAGGAGATGTATGGCGATGGCAGAGGATAGAAGGAGATGTATGGCGATGGCAGAGGATAGAAGGAGATGTATGGCGATGGCAGAGGATAGAAGGAGATGTATGGCGATGGCAGAGGATAGAAGGAGAGATATGGCGTTGGGATTGTTTTCAGATGGAATTGTTTTCTGTTATTGCTACATAGACTCGTACTTATTACTAGATCATTCTCTGTTTTTATTGAAAAGTAAGTTTAAACTCCTTATCTTGATGTTTCACCTTATATAAAAAGCCCGTAATTATATCATTCTCTTTTGCAGTTAAACTCAAGAAATGATTCTTTACATGATTAGCAAATTCCTTCTTACTAATTCGGTTCCCACTCATTATATGTCTTTGGTAATAATGCTGTTGTTGTTGTTGTTGTTGTTCTTGGTCTTGGCCGTTTTCCCCCTCCATTCGACTTTCCCTTTCCCGTTGTCTTTCCATTTCTTGGATAAATAACTTTTGCTTCTTTAGCTGGTTTCGCTTGCTAAAAGTCTTTTTCCCGATTTCCGAGTTCAAAATATCGGAATTGATCAATTCGGGACGCGGCAAATTGAAACCGTACCGTTCGCTATATTTCAACAATGTCGATACATTCATTGATTCGAAATCTAAGGGATCAATGCGTGGTTTATCCTGGGGCCCATTTGAGTTGATGTGTTTCTGTAAAAAGTTTTGCTGTTGCTGAAGTGCTAATTGGTTCTTCATTTTCTGTGACGTTTTGCTGCTAGTACTACTAGCAGCTGTACTCCCCGTACTTGCCGCTGCTGCTCCTCCTCCATTTGTTGTTGATGACGATAAATTCGTTTGTCCATGATGTGACGATGAGGTTGAGTTGTTGTTATTACGAGTATTTGTCTCTGACTCTGACGCCGACTCTTTTTGGTTTCGTCCCGCCATCTCTAAAAGCCACTTTTTACTCTCACTTGAATAGCCAGCAACGTATAAGGGTTAAACTCAACTGCTAACAATCCATTGGTTTCATATTGAAAGAAAACAAAACGAAATTCAAAGCTGAAAATTGATATGTCGCTACCATGTGTATGATGATGAGACACTATCGAGCGACACTATCGAGCGACACTATCGAGCAGAGCGAGATAGTGTTGTTCAGTGTTGTTTAGTGTTGTTCAGTATTGTTCAGTATTGTTCAGTGTTGTTCAGTGTTGTAACAAGCTAGTCAGTGTGCTCCAGAAAATATTTAAACCTGCTATATTTGGTGACAGCTTGCTCCCTGTTGTATAGTCACGTGAAACAATAATAAACCTGTTTAATAGTCATGTGTCACGTGATATTGCTCCTCGAAACCACGGCCTTATCTCCAATTGTCACCAATTCTCCCAGTCTCCCAATTTCCCAATTCTTCTATCGGTCTACATTGATAAAAGCACAACACTAGGGAGCAAAGCGAGCTAGTGAAGCAAAACATAGTAGCAACACTATCGAGCAAAGGGAGATAGTGTCGCACATTGACTAGTTATTATGACAATTGTTATATTAGCGGCACGCGCGCATATACTCGTCTCATCTTATATAGCTCTATAACTTATCTAAGTTATCTAAGTCATCTAAGTTATTTGTAAGTTATTTGTGATATCAGTAAATGAATTCAATTAATAAAGGCATGTTATCAAGCAGAGAAAAATCCTTCTATCAGAGAAAGGACTGTTTTTCACTTTTCTTGGAGAAAGAATCCTTTTTGTCAGAAATGCTTATTGCACTCTACTCTTTTTGGTTTCAATTTGAAGCAAAAATTTGTGTAAAATGTTGCACTAAAACTGTATACTGTTTTGTCTAGTGTATATAATATATCTTTAATCAAAGTCGCCTCATATTATATTAATAGTATGGGAGAATGCGAATTGCCCTAGAAGCGTTTTTTTTATACGGAAAAGTGTTTATTAGCCCTCGACAGCTCTAATTGTGCCTGTTTTTCTCATTTCCGGGTGATTTTCTGTACTTGAGAACAAAGAGACTATTCAAACAGAACAACAGATTCAACCTTGCTATCAATAAATACTTTCAAATACTACATAACCAAGCAACTCATTATCCCTTCCATTCTATTGCCAATGGTAGCGCCCTGAATTTGTGCCTCGGTGTTTCCTGAATTTGAAGTTGTTTATTTAGCAACCAATTTGCAGCCATTTATTGATATAGTAAGAGCTTCTATATTTTGCACCCATTAAATCTTGTGTTTCTCAACAAACCCTTTTGTAAGCATTGCAAGTAGACACTATCTATAAAGAACAATCCATACGTAGAAAGCCCTCTCTGTAAGTAAGAGCGAGCCATAACTTTATCATAACTCCTTCCCCGATCGGCTTTTAAACATGTGAAATATGCCTAATAAAGGCAACAAAAGAAAAAAAAGTTTAGTTAATGTTAGAAATGCCGTTTTTTTTAGGCGTAAAAGGCGGGGAGGAATGAGGAGGAGATGAGGAGACGAGTTTACTTTTGACTAATAAATGGAAAGCACGCGGGCTTAAGATTGGCTTGAAGTGAAAAGTTTTTGGCTCAAGATTAGCTTGAAGTGAAAAGTTTTTGGCTCAAGATTAGCTTGAAGTGAAAAGTTTTTGGCTCAAGATTAGCTTGAAGTGAAAAGTTTTTGGCTCAAGATTAGCTTGAAGTGAAAAGTTTTTGGCTCAAGATTAGCTTGAAGTGAAAAGTTTTTGGCTTAGGATTGGCTTTTTCTTTTCAATCAAGAATGTATTAGACATATTGGTAAAATTATGATAGACGCATTTGTCAAGTTGGTTTATCAACTACTGTTATTACCAACAGAAATAATCGATTTCATTTACCAACAGCTACTTGATTGTCACATACACGCATTTCTTGACTTTGACCGTTTATTTCGATATACTGTGCAACGTCTTTTCAATAACAAGGTAGTTGTTGCAAGTCTTGAAAATAATATTTGTGAGAAACAAAAGGATTCCAAGGGAAATGGTTGTTGCACTCATTGCATATCCCCTTCAACATTGTTAGATTTAATCAAAAAAACAGCAATTTTGCCAAAACACATCAATTTTATAGAATTGTGCCAGTTTAATGAGTTCTTTTGTAACCATTTTGAAGTGCTTGATAGAGCCAGTAAAATCGATTTGTTTATTCCTTGCAATACCGCATATGTTGAACTAGCCAAGTATTTGGAGAACGTTTCATCTGATTTGGGGAAACGGTTAAATATTGATGCCTTAATTTTGGATACAATAGATTCAACAGATTTCATAGTCCCTTCTTCCGTTACTAAATTTGAATTTAAAGATGAGGCAGCTTACGACTTGAATTTCTTCAAACAAATGAAAATGTTGCAGGAGCTAGCAATTGGCGGTGATTCATCCATGCCTTTAAAAGTGTTTGAGAACCTACCTCAAACATTAACTAGTTTGAATATACCGGAATTGGAACCTTTATCAATGCCTCTTGTTAATATTCCAAGAAACTTGAAAAAATTGACCTTATCTTATAGTGATTCTGAAACAGAGGACGATCGTCAGTTTCACTCGGATACCATTGCCAAAGCCAAATTTGAGCAATTAACCGAATTGGAAGTCAGAGGTGTTTCATTCCTTAGTCTAGCGCAATTGAATGCCTTTAAGAACTTGAGGCAATTGAAAATGACAATTCCATATAATGGCAATCCATCATCGTCATCATTATCATCATCGGAGATGGAGATGGAATATCTCAAACAATGCATTTTCTTGGAGAATTTCTCCTTAACTAGCATTTATTTCCCAACAAAGCTCTTTTCAAAGGAGTTTGAGTTTCCGAATTTGCGGAAATTCTGTTACAGCATTGGCAATTTCAAAGAAACAGAAATGGAAATGGAAATGGAAATGGAACGGAAAACACACGTTGCATTATATTTTCCAAAAAAGCTACAACTGCTCAGTTTTGAATGGAACCAATATCTAGAATTGAATATGGAAGAATTTTCATTACCAAGCAATATGAATGAACTTATCTTTAAGGGAAAACTTGCTTATTGTAATATTGAACAGTTGAAGATTCCCATAAATTTGAAGATATTTAAACTCGACACTGAGACTAGCGACACTGAGACTAGCGACACTGAGACTAGCGACACTATCGAGCGAAGCGAGCTAGTGGAGCAGTACTGACTACACTGAGACTAGCGACACTATCGAGCAAAGCGACCTAGTGGAGCAGTACTAACTACACCGAGATTCTTTACTATTCAGCAACAGCGCCAGCTGTTGTTTCAGAGGCTGAGACTTTTCACTATTCAGCAACAGCTGGCGCTGTTGCTTCAGAGACTAGCGAGCAAAGTGAGCTAGTCCATATGAGTAGTCAATAGCGTTGTCAGTTGCTAGTATACCCTCAACACCAAAAAGAGTACATTTGGGTCAAGTCAAGATGTGGAATTGGCTGTGAGAATTATAATCAATAATGTAACAGCGACACTAGGGAGCGAAGCGAGCTAGTGGAGCAATAAACAGAAGAGAGGAGCAGTAGAGAAGAGAAGGGCAGTAGAGAAGAGAGGGGCAGTAGAGAAGAGAGGGGCAGTAGAGAAGAGAGGGGCAGTAGAGAAGAGAGGGGCAGTAGAGAAGAGAGGGGCAGTAGAGAAGAGAGGGGCAGTAGAGAAGAGAGGGGCAGTAGAGAAGAGAGTAGTGAAGCAATATGTAGTGATTAGATGGTAGTGAGCAGTATGTAATGAGTAGAGACTGGTGAGCAGTAGAAGTAACGAGGAGCGGTATGTAGTAGACTAGTTAGTCGAGCAGTAGAAGTAGAGACTAGCTAGTGGGTAGAGACTAGTGAGTAGAGACTGGTAAGCATAGACTAGTTGGTAGAGACTAGTAAGCATAGACTAGTTGGTAGAGACTAGTGAGCATAGACTAGTGAGCATAGACTAGTTGGTAGAGACTAGCTCGCTTTGCTCGCTAGTGGAGCAACACTCAGTAGCCATTCCTTTTTGCAGCGCCAGCTGTCGCTTTAGAGGCTGAGACTCTTTGCTATTCAGCAACAGCTAGCGCTGTTGCTTCAGATGCTGAGACTCTTTGGCGCTGTTGCTACCAAACGTATCTCATTGGTCAACTTTTCGATTACGTAAAGCGAAAAAAGATTAAAGAGTTTTCAAGTAAAGGTATATGATTGTTGTAGATCATTCTCTTATCGGGGTATTTAGGTTGGTTTTAAAAGTTAGCTAGGCCAGGCCAGTTTAAAGGGTATAGGGGAAGGCAAGGGGTTATGTCTGGTGCATCTGATTTTCTAAGTAAAGGAATCGATTTGGTTCAAAAGGCTATAGATGCAGACACGGCAACTAGATATGAAGAAGCATACAAGCTATATTATAATGGACTTGACTATCTCATGTTGGCGATAAAATACGAGAAGAATCCCAAATCGAAGGAACTAGTGAAATCGAAATTTACCGAGTATCTCACACGAGCAGAGCAGTTAAAGGATCACCTTGAGAAACAGCTGAACAAGTCCAATTTTGCCGAAAATTCATCAAATGGGTCTACAAAGGCCAAAAAATCTGGAAGCGGGGGAGACGATGACGACGATGCAGATACTAAAAAATTGAGAGGTGCACTTGCCGGCGCTATTCTTTCAGAAAAACCCAATGTCAGTTGGTCCGATATAGCTGGTTTAGATTTGGCCAAGGAGGCGTTGAAAGAAGCAGTTATTTTACCGGTAAAATTTCCTCAGTTGTTTGTTGGGAATAGAAAACCAACATCGGGGATATTGCTTTACGGTCCCCCAGGTACCGGTAAGTCTTATTTGGCAAAGGCGGTTGCAACGGAGGCAAACTCTACATTTTTCAGTGTTTCTTCTTCGGATTTGGTCTCCAAGTGGATGGGTGAGTCTGAAAGGTTAGTAAAGCAACTATTCACCATGGCAAGAGAAAGTAAGCCATCTATCATATTTATTGACGAAGTGGATGCACTATGTGGACCAAGAGGAGAAGGGGAAAGTGAAGCATCAAGAAGAATAAAAACTGAATTATTGGTTCAAATGAATGGTGTAGGCAATGACTCTCAGGGGGTTTTAGTCTTGGGCGCAACAAATATACCGTGGCAACTAGATGCTGCTATTAGAAGGAGATTTGAAAGAAGAATTTATATTCCATTGCCTGATGTAGAAGCTAGATCAAGAATGTTTGAAATAAATATCGGAGAAGTCCCTTGTGAGTGCACGACTCATGATTTGAGAACATTGGCAGAATTAACAGATGGTTACTCGGGTCATGACATTGCTGTTGTTGTTCGAGATGCCTTGATGCAGCCAATAAGAAAGATACAACAGGCCACACATTTCAAATTGGTTACAGATGATGATGATGATGGGAAAGAAAAGTATACTCCGTGCTCTCCTGGTGACCAGGGTGCTAAAGAAATGAGCTGGATGGATATTGGTACTGATGAGTTGAAAGAGCCACCATTGACAATGAAGGATTTTATTAAGTCTATAAAGAGTAATAGGCCTACAGTCAATCAAGCAGATATTGCCAACCATATCAAGTTTACCGACGACTTTGGTCAAGAAGGAAACTAACCCTTGACGCACTAAGCATCATTAACCAAAATTACCATCAACAGTCAAAACAATTTAAATTCAACCTGATCTAGATTTAGATTTTGAGTTTATACAGCTCTAAATAATGTCTTGGAATGATTTGCGAGCGGAGTCAAATTGAATTCGAAAGAAATCAGTTCTTGTAGTATACAACAAAAGGTGTTTGATAGATACCCGGTTACAATTGAATTGTTTACCAAAATCCACTTGTCCAGTTCACTTCTCGAGCAATGCAAAAAGTGAAACACCTCAAATATTTTTCTTTTTCTTTTTCTATCTACTTGAGCGAGCTAACCCATTGTTTCTTCTTATCGGAGATCTGGAACGGCTCTTTTTCAATTTTTCTGGAAACAAGTCCTCTTCGTCATTATTATCAGTAAATCTGTGATTTCTACTTCTAAACCTTCTCTCCTTTAGTCTATCTGCAAATAGATCCTCATCCTCATCCTCATTCAAATTCACATTCTCATTCACATTCTTTCCTTCACCTCTTTGTTTCCTACTTTCTCTATGAGGGTTTTGCCTATGTCCCGATCTTGCATGACGCGGTTGTCTCTCAGGTTCCCCGTGTAGTAAGTAATACCTTGAAAATTGAGATGCATTTTTCACCTTTCTATCCAGCTGGAATGACTGTCGAAGACGTAGTTCAACAAACGATTCATCCTCATCCATAGTGGCTGCTCCACCACCACCTTCTTCTTGTTGTTGTTGTTCTTTTGTTTCCGCTAAGCCCAAACGATTTAGTAAGCTTTGATTTTTGCGAAACGCTACAATCGGATTATAAGGCTTTGCCTGTCGCTCTTTTATCACCTCGTTTATGTAATCTGATTCCAGGTCATTGTTTATGATTGGATCCTGGCTCAATAGTTCTAAACACCTCCTATTTTCACTACTACTTTTAAACACAATATTGACATTTGAATCATCAATCCATTCAACGCGGAAACTCAATTGCTTGTCAAAGGGAATTTGATTATAGATAATTTTTGAGGTTTCTTCGTCTATCAGGGTTGTATAATTGAGATAATATTCAACATAGGATTTGATTTCATCGGTAGATAAGTTGTCAACTCCATTCAACCTAGTAGCTTCAGGCCGTACAAATTGTCTCACCCCATTGCTCTCAACTTCTATAGACAACTCGGCCAACTGGGCCTCATTAGCTTTTTCATCCTCTATAGTCTTTACTATAAACCCTCCGTATGGCGCCGGCTCCTCCATCATCACTAAGGAATAAGTAGTTTGCTTTTCCATCTTCCATCTCAAGCTTTTTACTGGGGTGGTTTTTTTTCCATCTCTTGTTGAAAAATTCCTCACCTGGCGTTAACTGAGAAAACGAAACGACTGGCCTGTTTTCATAACAGCTTTCTTGGCTAAGAGATATTGATTGAGTGATTTAAATTAAGAGACTTTGAACTGTTCAGGATGTAGAAGGTATAGTATGTAATGGCCTTGGTTAGATCCTACATTGGTACGGGGGCTAACTTGATATTATTTAGATTACAGATTATGACTCTTTTTACACTATCGAGCAGAGCGAGATAGTGGAGCACACTAGCTGCCACCAACACTATCGACACTATCGAGCAGAGCGAGATAGTGGAGCACACTAGCTGCCACCAACACTATCGACACTATCGAGCAGAGCGAATTAGTGGAGCACACTAGCTGCCACCGACACTTAGTAGCTACTTCTTCTTTGCCTTAGTAGCTACTGTCTTATCTTTTTTCTTATTTTCCTCCTTATTCTCTTTCTTATTTTCTACCTCGTTTTCCTCCTTATTTTCCTCCTTACTTTCCTCCTTGTCTTCCTCCTTATTTACCTCCTTACTTACCTCCTTACTTACCTCCTTGTCTTCCTCCTCATTTACCTCGTTTTCCTCCTTATTTTCCTCCTTATCTTCCTCCTTATTCACCTCCTCGTCTTCCTCTTTATTTACCTCCTTGCTTACCTCCTTGTCTTCTTTTACATCTTCTACCATAGCGTCCGCATCTTCTACCACAGCGTCCGCATCTTCTACCACAGCGTCCGCATCTTCTTTCTTATTTCCCTCTTTATCTTCTTCCTTGCTCATTTCTATATCTTCTTCCTTGCTCATTTCTATATCTTCCTCTTTATCACATTCAACCTTTGAATCCACCAGATTTTCAACACCCTTGACAGATTTTTCCTTATCCAACGCTGCACCTGCACCTGCAATTCCAGTCTTAGAGTCAACGGGCTTCCATTCTCGTATAAATAGCACATTGTTACACCTTATAAATATATTCCCAATCAATTCTTCTCGAACCTTTTCCTCCTCGTTCTTGCTACCACTAGAACTCGGCTCATAAATAATCTCATACGTGTTATCTAGCTGTAAATTCAAATAATTGTCCGTAGATATCAATTTCCCTCTATACTCTGTCTTGTTCCATTTCAAACGTACTACAACTTGTCGATTAATCAAAGACTTTATAAACGGTTTGGGGTTAACCGGTTGAAACTATTTGCTCAATGTTAGTAATTCGTATAAATATCATTTACAATTGTCTCTATAGTCCATACACTTGCCATCTTGAGTAATAATAACCCTACAATACCCTCAACAACTCGATGGTTTTTCACCTTTCTTCATTTTTTTCATTTTTCACTTTTTCATTTTCCATCGGAGATTTTTTTTTTTCCACTTTGAGATCAACATTGACTAGCGATTAGGAATCCAGAACTAGGTTTGAAGTTTGGTAATTAGGAATCCAGAACAAGGTTTGAAAGTTGGCGGCTGCAGGGACAAATGAGTAAGCTTTATCAGGTATTTATAATAGGAGGTTTAATTAGACTGCTTCTACCAACATTGGTACCGTCAATTACTGCGATTCTATCCTCTTCGGTTGAGATAACAACGCCTATAACCTCGTTCAAGGCTTTGAAAGAAGCATTTTATTTTTTCAACAACAATATTGATTTATACGATGGTGGTGTAAACCATAATCCGCCATTACTAGTTATGCTTTTGTCATTTATCAACCTGCTACCTTTTGCTGATGTTTGGTTTCATGTTTTATTTGCATTGGTTGATGTGGTTATAGCATGGCATTTGGTACGAATAAACCGCTGGTACAAGATGTACACGAGCAAGAGGACAGGAAAAACAGTTGCTTCTTACAATGATGATCTAATTGCAAGTTTCTATTTGTTCAATCCCTTGGTTTTGTTGCTGAATTTGAGTCATTCAACTATCGCGTTTGTATGGCTCTTTTTAGTCGTGGCAGTTTATCAAGTTGCTGTGAAAAGACAAGCATCTATTGCAATTATATCGCTTGCAATTTCAACATACCTTTCGTTTAATTCACTCTACTTGTTACCGTCGATTTTGGGGTTAATACATGCTACTTCCACTCTGAGAAATGTTGGTCAGATATACATTTTGAACATTGCTGTGTTTTTCACCACCTTGGCAATTTTAGCATCGTTATCCTTTGCATTCACATCATCGTGGCAATTTCTCGACAATTGTTATCTATCGGTGATACTTTTTGAAAAAATAACACCCAATGTCGGTTTGTGGTGGTACATTTTTACAGAGATGTTTGAGTTTTTCACTCCTTTCTACATTGGAATGTTTAACATATACTCATTCATTTTTATCATTCCCTTGACTTTGAAACTTTTCGAATTCAAAAAAGTTCCTAAACAAGGTGACTCCTTATTGGCTATTGTCTTGACGCTATTGTGGATTTCATTTACCAAATCGTACCCTACTATAGGAGATTTGGGTTTTGTTTTGTCTTTGATACCGATTTTCAGAGGAACTGTGTTACCCTACTGTAAAGTCATTCTCATTACAGGAATGACGCTAATGGTATCGCTCTTGTTGTCACCCATTTTTTATTATTGTTGGATTGTTCTTGGTAATGGGAACTCAAATTTTTTCTACAGTATCAACTTGATATGGGGAGGTGTGCACATTTTAGCAATAATGGACTTACTATGGGCAAAACTAATCAGCGACTACAGTGTTGAAAATAGTATCAACGAGGAGGATATACGGAAACTCAATCTAGCACAATTATAGTAAGGAAACCGACACTGACACTATCGGGCGGCACTATCGAGCGACACTATCGAGCAGAGCGAGATAGTGTTCAGTGTTGTTCAGTGTTACTCCACTATCTCGCTCTGCTCAATAGTGTTGTATCAAGCTAGTCAGTGTGTTGCACAAAATATTCAAACCTGCTACATTTGGTGACAGCTTACTCCAGTTGTATAGTCACGTGATACAGAGCGAGATAGTGAAGCAACACCGATACTATCGAGCAGAGCGAGTATCACTAATCAGCGTTGCTCCACTGACACTATCGAGCAGAGCGAGTGTTTCTAATCAGCGTTGCTCCACTGACACTATCGAGCAGAGCGAGTATCACTAATCAGCGTTGCTCCACTGACACTAGCTCGCTTCGCTCCCTAGTGGAGCAGCACTGACGATTAAAGGTTGTCTCCATATAACTACAAGCACAAAACACAAACACATAAATCTATAAGTACAAAAAAAGGATTTTTTTTCTTTTTACCAACTCCGCCGGTGAAGCATCTCAGCGCCGCGTCAACATCCCTCTGTCCAGAAAACTTCTCTCTTGGGACCAACCTTTGCAACATCACCAACCTTTTGTTGTATCACAAACCACAATCACAATCACAATCACAATCACAATCCGTCGTCGCTTATATATAGCATGTCACGTGATATCATGTCACGTGACTTTGTACCAATCAACGAATGAGAAATTGTAATTTTCAATTCCTCAATTTTTCAGCCTTTTTTCCTTTTTCATAAAGAAGGTGGAAAAAGTTGGAATAGTAGAGACTTTTAAGAGAAAGGTCGATAGTAAGGTTTGTAGATATGTTGTCTCGTTCTTCAATTCGTGCTTATAGCACAGTACCCAACGGTATTAAGATTGCTTCTAAAAGACCGCAAAATGAGTTGACCAAGCTTTCAGTTATTGTTCAAAACGCTGGGTCGAAAAATGGAAAATTTGGAACTGGTCATTTATTATCTAAATTTGCGTTTTCTAGCACCGGTCCAAAGTCAGCATTGAGGTTTACTAGGGAGTCTGAGCTTTTAGGAGGTGTTTTTGACGCGAAAGTGACGAGGGATGCCTTGGTTTTAAATGCAGCATTTTTGAAACAGGATTTACCATATTACGTTGAAGCTTTCGGTAATGTTCTTGCAAACACTAGATTCACTCCACACGAATATGAGGAAGTTGTTTTACCGGCCGCCAAGTACGAAGCTTTGGCTGCACATGCGGATCCACATTTCAGCGGGTTGGAAAAATTACACGAATTAACCTTCAATAAAGGTTTGGGAAATCCGCTCTTGTATAGTGACTCAACACCAGTAAATGTGGAGGAAGTTGCCGGATTTGCCAAAGAGAATTTCACTGCGGAAAACGTTTCTATATTTTCAGAAGGTGCCATTGAAGCTGACTTGGCCAAGTTTGTTGAAGAATCTGCATTTAGCTCTTTACCTAGGGGATCAAATCCAACTTCTTCTTCAACTCCTATCGACGTCCATAAGAACCAAGAGGCTAGGATCCCATCAGCCGGAAAGTCAGCTGCTTTACTTGGGTTCCCAATCAAACCAGCTGATTTTGGAAAATACGAAGTTTTATCGGCAGCTATTGGTACTTCAACATTGCCTACATCAGACGCACCATTGTTCAATATTCCAGGTGCTACTTCGCATTTATACAAATACAATGATGCTGGATTGTTTGTCATTTCCGTCTCCGGAAAAGCCGACGAAGTTGCACAAGGTATCAAGGCAGCTAAGAAAGTTGCTGAATCTATTTCAAATAGCCAATTGGAAAAATCTGTTAAAGCTGCGGAATTGTCAGTAGCATTACAATCAACAGTATCAAATCCATTGAGTATAAAGGTATCGGCAAGTCAAGCTCCACTCAAGGATTTCAACTACGTTGCTGTTGGTGATTTAAATGTATTACCATTTGCTTCTGAATTATAGAAGATGAAACAAAATGAGCCAACAAAATGAGAAAGAGAAGGTGAAAAAAAGTAGCAAGATGAAGAAAAATATATTCGGGGAACGTTTATAAATAATGTATATCTATCTAACGATAAATAGATTTGAGAGAAGCGGTCATCTTGTATAGTGTTGATACACGAGGAAGATGAGCTTTTCATGATATGGTGAAGCTATTTGTCGTGTTTTGTATGATTTTTTTTTTTTTCTCTTTTCTTTTTTTTTTCATTGAAACTTTTCCATTAAAACTTCCTTTTGGTGGGAGCTAAGATCATCTTTAATAACAGAAAGAAGACAAGCCGTGGCTAGATATGTCAGATTACGAGGATAACGCTTTTAATGAGGTAGCAGAAAACTTTGAGGACTTTGGAGAGCCAGACCATTTTTCCGATGACGAGTATATGGAGCATAATGGCGGCGATGCCGATATGAAGACCGAAGATGGAAAACAGATAATTAATGGAGGTACAGGTCCCGAGGATGCTGCCGCCGCTGCTGCCGCCGCTGCTAATAGTAACAATACAGATCACCAGACGGCCCCACGGAAGAAAACGACGAGAGAACTAGCAATACCCAAAGAACAAAGAACAACTACTCCATATATGACTAAATATGAGCGTGCGCGGATTTTGGGGACTAGGGCTCTACAAATTTCGTTAAATGCCCCAGTATTGGTGGATATTGAAGGTGAAACTGATCCACTACAAATAGCGATGAAGGAGTTGGCACAGAGAAAGATCCCATTGGTTATTAGAAGATACCTTCCGGATGGATCTTATGAAGATTGGGGGTGTGACGAGTTGATTGTTGATCATTAGAGAAGAAAGAGCATTGGTGAAAAAACCAAACGTTATGTACTATAGAAATTATTTTTTTTTTTTTTTAATCTTGTCTTTTAATCAAGATATGCATCTAACCATCAAGATATGCATCTAACCATCAAGATATGCATCTAGCCATTTTGATGCTAGTAATACTTGTTTCCCATCCATCGTTTCCAGCACGAACCCTTTCACTGATTTGTCAAAATCTTGACGTGCCAATATTTTGTTTTTACCGTTTATTTCGACGCTTATCGAGCAGCATGCATCTCTTAGTTTGTTGACATCTACCTGTAATTCTCCTTTGTACAGTTGATAATTGTCCAGTACTAGAAAAACTTGTAAAGCATTGAAAACCTTTGATTTTTCTTCTTGATTCAGTATCTCTTTAGCCATAATATTCAGAAACTGGGCAAAACTTATCCCGCTCTCTGAGTAGTCTTTACCGTCTATTGTCAACATACTTCTCAATTCCGTGCTATCTGGCAGGACTAGCCCAATACTTGAGTATATCTTTTCAAGGTCATCAAGAGTTATTTTGGAATCTCGCGACTCGCCGTCAATCAACGTAAAGACGTTTTTGATCTGTGTTTTCTGAGCAAAAGATAACGAGCTTAAATGCAGCATACTGAAACTTTGCCTTCCTGGCCCTTATACCTCTAACCTCTACACCTCTAACCTTTACACCTCTGGTCCTTTAAACCTCTGATTTTTATACTTTTATCGTATACAATTTCATCATTTTTTTATTTTCATTTTTATTTTTATTTGTTTACAATTTTTCAGTTTTTAAAACCAGGATCCTTTTATTCATTTGCCAAAGAAAAGAAAGGGAAGAGTTGTATATATGGAGGAGACGCTATATAACCAGCCAGTAGTGGTTGATAATGGTTCAGGAAATTTGAAAGCGGGTTTTGCTGGAGAGGAAAACCCAAAGACATTTGCTTCGGCGATTGTTGGGCGACCGAAGTATCAAAAGTTAATGGCGGGGTCAACATCTGGAACAGCGAATAATTTGGATTCCGACTTATTTCTTGGAGACGTTGCGCAGAATAACAGAGGGCTATTAAGGCTCAACTACCCTATTGAGCATGGCATTGTTACCAAATGGTCTGATATGGAGAAACTTTGGGAACATATGTTTACACAAGACTTGAAGATTCAACCAGAAGAGCACCCCTTACTCATAACGGAAGCACCGCTCAATCCGCGGAGCAATCGAGACAAAATGTGCCAGATAATGTTTGAGCAGTTTAATGTTCCGTGCATGTACATTTCTATACAAGCAGTTTTGGCTTTGTATGCCTCAGGTCGTACTACTGGTTGTGTGGTTGATAGTGGCGATGGAGTCACACACGTTGTGCCTGTTTACGATGGATTTGCTTTACCGTCTTCCATAAAGCGAATGGACGTTGCCGGCAGAGATATAACATCACATTTATCGTTTAATATACGGCGGATGTCGGGTGTGGCTTTGCAGAGTAGTTCTGAAATTGAAGTTGTACGGTTAATCAAAGAAAAATGCTGTTTCATTTCAAAAGATCCTGTTCTCGACGAGAAGTTATATAGAGCTCATTATATGCGGAGAAGTTTTGCTTCCAATAGTGATCTATTTTCCACTTATAAGCTTCCTGATGGTCATGAGGTACATCTCGGAGTTGAAAGATTTCGCGCACCTGAAATTCTATTCAACCCTCAACTCATTGGTGATGAGAATCCAGGAGTACATGAGCTCACGGCAACTGCTATAGCAAAAACCGATTTGGATCTTAGACCAGTCCTCTATCAGAACATCTTACTATCCGGAGGCAACACATTGTTGAAGAATTTTGGTGATCGACTATTGAAGGAGCTCAAAGAGCAGCAAGATCAAAACAAAGATGCGTCGACTTCTATTTGGAATAAATCGATAACAGACGATACATACTCGACCAAAATGAAGGTGAAAATATTTGCTCCACCAGAAAGAAAATACTCTACATGGATTGGAGGATCAATTCTAGCGGGACTTTCTACATTTAAGAAGATGTGGGTCACGTCAGAAGAATACAAGGACAACCCTGAAATAATTCACAGGAAATGTTTATAGAAAAGAAAAGCCCAAACCCTTCTTTGTCTATAATTCTTCTTCTCTTCTTCTTCTTCTTCTCTTCTTTTTGTTTTTTATTTTTATTCTTTTTCAAATGCAGTAATACCTATCGCCAAAGTCGCCCAAACCAGGTACAATATACTTATCCTCGTCCAACCTCTCATCAATTCCACCAGTTATGATTTTCACATCAGGATATTTACTACGGAATGCTCTAATACCCTCTGGAGCAGCCAACAAGTTTAAGAAAAAAATTCTATCCATTCTCACTCCTCGAGCTAGTAAAACTTCAATTGCCATCATTGCTGACCCACCAGTAGCCAACATTGGGTCAAGCAAAAACACGTAACGATCGCTTATATCTCGAGGTAGTTTTTCATAAAATAATTTGGGTAAAGCCGTTTCTTCGTCTCTTTGTATCAATATTTTCCCAATCTTGACTGACCTACAACAATCTCTTAATCCCATTTCCATTGATTCACCAGCTCTAACTATGGAAACTCCGCAGATTTTGCCCAAAAACCTATATCCTTTATACGTGTGTCCACCATGACACTCTATTATAGTATCCTCAACAGGTAGTTGATTCAATCCTTCTTCTACGAGAAGACGTATAATACGATCGGAATAAAATACAAAATCGCCCCTTTTTGTTCTTTGATCACGTATTATACTGTAAAGACCAATTAACTGGTTCGTTTGCGGAAGAAGGATGACATTCTCATCTACTTCAACTGAGACTGACATGGCCCCAGGTTTAATGTGAAAAAGCCAAAAAGACAAAGAGACCTGGTATACATATGAAGAAAATGAAAAAAAAAAAAAAAAAAAAAAAAAAAATAAAAAAGGGTTTTTTTTTTGGTACT